TATCTGAGTACAGTGAGGTCAACTTTTGTCAAACAAATAAAGAAGACATACTAAGACAGATGATGTAAACTGAATAAAAAAACAAATTAACAAGTGAATGAATAAACGAACGAATCAAGAATTTGACATCCCAACACTCGGGACATTCCCACATATGCTCCATAAAAGTCTGTCTGTGTCCCCCCCCCCCCTCCCCCCCCTCCAGTTTTCCACATCTTCCAGAACCTGTGCTAAACTTCCCCCATCCCTTCCCCATTAGTTTTTTAAGGTATGGATATTCTGACATAAATTCTAGTTAATCAATGAATTATAATTTAAAAAATGTGATCAAGCTGAGGCCACAAGGTCTCAGGCTAATGGGTCTCTGGCTTGCCAGATGGGATCCATCTGGTTAAATACTCCCTTAAACTGAGACAGGCCTAGCAAGCCAGCAGTGGATTAAATCTTGCACTGAGTAAAAGAGGAAAAGAAATAGGACAAAAGAAAAAGTGAACCAATAGAAATGGAATTTCAGCAACAAACCCTAAATGTAACTAGAAAAGACACGATCAGAAACTACAATATCAGGAAAGAAGTTGGGACAGAACTAGTACTAAGCAGCTACATGAAGAGACAACAGATCAAATGGCTTGGTCATATGTCAAGACTTCTACCAGACAGTGCACCACAGACAGCCCTGTTACTTAGACGAAATAGAAGGAGATCTAGAGGTTGACAATGCAAGCAATAGATAGATCAAGTAGCCAAAGCTTAACTACCAGCATTTTACATAGCCCATACCAAGGTTCGTATCTGATGCCTATTGCCCATTCAAAAAATGATAGTGAAAAGCAGAAAAGGACTAGAGAAGAAGAAGAAGAAGAAAAAACAAAAATATTATCAATCTTTATCTGTTTTCATGTATACCTGGAGACACACTGCAACATGTCCAGCAGCATTGGCGTAGCAAGGCCAGGTTCCCGGTGGATGAATGTTGCCAGAGCAGTGATACACAGCCCAATAGTATCATCATCATACTGCTCTAAAACCGCATTACACTCACTGCAGCGCTCCACTAGGATGTTCTCTCCATGGCGAATTGTCGGCGTTTTCTTGGCAGTTTGTTGTTTGGCAAGAAGTTCTGCCCTGCGGGATCTTCGGCTGAAAATATGATATCAGTTGTGAATGAATTATGGTAACCAGAAGTACCTTATAACACGTAACAAAAATCAAAGTATTTAACAATGTAATATCAATAAATGACATAGCCAAAGAAAACAAAGATAAATGAGAAGATAACAAAGAGAACAATAAACAAAAAAATTTATTTTTTGTACCACTATCAAAAACTCTAGAACCTTTGTTTTGTTTCCCCTTTAACCTCCCAAAGGAGGACAGGTTTTCAAGAAACTTATGCTAAGCTGTCTATCCGTAGACACATCCACGACTTGCTGGATTTGGTTGCTAGTTGTCTTTGAGATGAGGTAGCCATCGTGACAAATATCCTTCAAGACATGCTTGATAAGATTAATGTAGACTTGCCCATAGCTAGCTGGATTTTGCAGTTAGTTTTATATGAGATGAGGTAGCCATTCTCATAACAAATATCCTCTATTTCATGCATAGTAAGTTTACTGCAAATATCCATGACTGTCTGGATTTTGTAGTTAGTTATTCTTCGATATGAGGAACCATGAGTTTTCTATGGAATATTGTAGCTAGTCTCATGCCAACCTCCCTTGGTCACCTCTTATATCATGCATGGTAGGTTAGAATATTACTATTCTTTGACTTCCTTAAGGGTACTGGTAACACACAGTCGGTAGCCAAAGTGCTTTAAGTTTACTATTTGAACAAACAGTAGATTCCATGTAGTTAGAATCTACCTATCTTTCCAGACAATAGTGTTACATTGTGTTATAGAGAGGTATGGAAATCACAGCCAAATAAAACCAGGAATGAAGTTTCTTCTCTTGACACTACAAAGCCTGGGCAGTATTGTAGAGACCATGTGTCGACATGATGCATGATCCCTTTCTCAGCCTGCTTTGTTAACCCCCAAGAAAAGGTAGCACCAATTCATTAACCCTCTGGAGATGGAGCCTTTTTGGAGTTTCAGTGCCAAAAAGATGAAGCCTTCAGGAGGAGATTCTCAGTTTATATACACACAAAAATTATAAAAAATAAATTGTTTAATTAACATAAACATATAGAAACCTATATATTTTCGTGTAGGAAATTGAATGAGCTAACATAATATTTATGAATCAAAAAGAAATCTCAAACATTGATTCAAATTACCTATTCTGATTGCATAATTTATGCAAGCATAATTTTTTTAACTTGGGAACAAACATGACTAACCTAAAAGTGTGGGTGATTTTTTTTGGGATGGATGAAGTTTAAATGTTCTAACACTTGTGTTTTGTGAAGTAAGGCCCTTGGAGACACTTGTGGCACATGGACATGGTTCTACTCATTTTCCTGACTCCAGCTATGTTTCGGTTGCCATGACGCAACAGTCCTTTTTGCCACTGCTGGCAGGTAAGCCCAGAAATAATTGATGTAAAATTATTGAACACATCAAACTTTCTTGAAAGCCATCAATGAACAGCCTACATGTGTGAGAAATTTGAGAAGCAATCAGATTAGCTGGTAGGAAAACCTGCCAGCCAATCTCAAAGCTTGTATTACATAGGACCGACCGATCGGCCCCGTCATCCTTTATGGCCACTTTGTGTCGGGCCAATATTTTGGCCGCGTTGTCTCCAGAGGGTTAAGAAAAAGCATGCTGCAGAAACTGCTGGGTTAAAACAGCAGTGCTCTGTCTGTCTGTTGGAGCTTCACTCAATGACCAGTTGTCAACCAAGAATAAGCGCTTGGCCTGTCTTGCCATAACATTTATTTTTCAGGTTGCATTTCCTCTTCCTAGGATAATGCTAGGATCCTCAGCAATGCAATAGATTCCATAAGAATCTCTGCATTTTAGTGCTGGCAGACTGTGTACAAATGAGTATAAATTAAATTAAATAAGACACAGGGACTAGACTCTACAAGGATTTCCCATCTGTTTTGCACAACATATAAAAGTTGGAAAAATGAAACTATACAGCAACTGTGTGTGACCGGCCAATCTTCGATGCACCGGCCAATTTATGATACAGACAGTACTGAATGTTTCGCAAGTTCAATGTTGAAACCAGAAGCATAAGAAGGAGAAGAAGAAGGAGAAGAAGAAGAAGAAGAAGAAGAAGAAGAATAAGAAGAAGAAGAAGAAGAAGAAGAAGCAGAAGAAGAAGAAGAAGAGGAAGAAAAAGAAGAAGAGGAGGAGGAGGAAGAGGAGAAGAAGAAGAAGAAAAGTCCTATTTAAGTTAACAAAACGGAACACATACCCAGCAGAACGTGGGGTCTGGGCTGCCTCTGGGTGAGAATGCTTGTCCTCACGAAGTTCTGGAAACTTCTTTTGAAAATCAATTGTTGTTAGGCCCGTTTTACGAGGTCGGCGTTGTCTAAAATTTGGCTTAAGCACTGGACTAGCCCTCTTCTCTGCAACAGCTCCACTCTCTAGACATTTAAAAAGTTTGAAAACAAATATTTAACTGCAACATTACTGATACCAGTTGTACAGAATATTTCATGTTTGCATACACACTCAAAAACAGATGATTCTACTTCTACTTCAAATTCTCTGGCAGAAAGTTCTCCTTGTCCAACCATTTCTGGGCTCTGGTCGTGTTCCAGAACTTGAGTTTTTATTGTACATCTAGTTTACATTTATAGCTTTTGTAAATTTTTTTAATTTGCAGACTGTTTATTCCTTGCCACTCCGGCAAATGTACTCCAAGTTCAAGAGAAGCACCAATAAATTATCAGTTCTTACGACATGCTTGTCAGGGTGGACAGTTAGACTAACCCCCCCCCCCCCCCCCCTCCCCCCCACTACAATGAAGCACCAAAAATCACACAGGGAAAACAAATTATCATTAGCATTTTCATGTCAACACTCTACTCATATTCAAGTGCCTTTCCAACTGGAACTGATTTGAAAAAAAAAATGATGAACAAACAATTAGTCCAAAAACAATCCAGAAATACACGCACACAGTAAATGCATATGGCAGTTGCTACAGGTGCCAAAGCCAACGGTCGCTACCAGAAATGCAGTTTGCCGTTGATGGAAGTAGTCAGGCACGATAAGTTGGCTATACACACATAGAATTAGTACACAAGGTATTTCACCAGCTCACAAGTAAACTGACTACATGTGCAAAAGACCTGCTAGATGATGAATCTACTACCATACTCAATAATATAAATGCTAGCTGGTAAAGTCAAGCCATACTAGCCTATATTATATACACCTGCATTTTGTATAGATCAATCGGCACTTGATGGCTGAGTGAGTGACACTTAAATCCTCCAGGACCGCACAATTAGCGACAAGCACAAAGTGACACAAAGTGCCACCATTTGGATGAGAATCACCGGGGCACAAGTCCTAGAAACCCTGTTCAACTGTTAGGTAATATTAGGGCTTCCAATGACAGCCGGGGTGGGGCTTCAAAATAAAAAGAAACTGCATCTCATATTAGGCCATATGCTACTTATGCACTTGATGGCTGATGTCAACATCAAATTAACTGAGTTTACTTTTCAAGACTTTATCTGGTACTAATATTAGACTTGGTCAGACCTAGGAGTGAAGCTCAATTTTGAAAATAATTAGCCTCGTTGCAGATTTTAAAACCAGGAGTTTTCAGCTGGCAGAGAAGCATCTAGCCTCTTTGTTTAAAAAAAACGGTTTCCTCCCACTTCCCTCCTGATTTGCATTCTGTAGGATTAAAATCCCAAGAATGAGAATCAAACGGGTACAAATTCCAGAAACCCTGTTTAACCATTAGGAAATATAGACGAGTTATACTGTGCCACCCAAAATAGTTCTGAAGTAACCTGTAGTTCAGTGTGGGTGAGTTGCCGCTACGCTTCCGCAGCTTCCTGAAGCTAGCAGCACCATTATTTACCTGTTAAATTCTTATTTTCTGTGGCTGTTGTTTCTCCAGCTGATTCATTTTCACTAGTTTGTGTCTTGTCACTATCATCAGAGCTGTCTCCATCAGATATCCCATCCCTGCTGTGGTCTGAAGTTGTACCATGGTCACGAGCACTGGTGAGAAATTGATATGTTCTTTTATTTGTGTACTGGATAATAAACTTATCAAATGAATGACGAGCATCATTTAACAAGGCTTCACCTTTGAAGCTCTTTTTTCCTTGACCTTTAGATCCTCTGTACTGGAATTCTTAAAAGTATTAATAGAAATTTCACATCACTTATAATTATTTATGCACACCTTCTACTGAATAATCCAATTAAAACAATCTTCAAAATGCTTTACTAAAAAAAAAAAAAAATAAAAAAAAAAAATTATGAGAAACAAAATCATTTTCAAAACTGTGGTGAACTGGTTTTCTATTCCAGAGAACCCCATAGGTATTCACTGGCTAATCCAAACATCACATATTTTCCTTAACGATCATTATTCCAAAGTTGTTACCTCCAAAGCCTAATAACGCATCTTTCCTAAGGCAATATACCTATGTGAGTCACAGACTACTTCATAATCATTTAAAAATAAAATTGAAATGTTTTAAATTTATAGGAATTTTTTGTTAGCTAATGTTTGATAACCTAAGATAAGGAGAAATGCTGACACTCTTCACAGTCTGATCAGCAAAGCAACGGATAGAGGATATCAAAGTCATCATAGGCAGGAAAGTTCACAAGTTTGTTGGGAAGTGAATCGCTTTGAATTGTGTTATGATGAGAGGGATATTCTACTTGCTACTTGATGATGAAGAGTGTAATAATGTAAGAGGAAGATGATAGTACAAAAATCGTAGAAGGAGAAGGGGTTTGGTAACAACTTTTGGAGCCAAGATTTAATAGTAACTAGGAGACAGAGAGAGAGAGAGAGAGAGAGAGAGAGAGAAACAGAGACTGAGATCAAGAAAGAACAAATTAAGAAAGTTTATTTTCACAAGGTTAAAAATTGGACACCCAGGTCCATCTAACATTCTGTCCACTCCTCGCCTATGGTTATTTATTCACACATGGTTTCATAGTTGATAATAAAAATGTTTCACAACATTTAAGTCTTAACTACACATGCTGGAATGTTCTCTAATTATATACATTAGTGAAAAAATATAGTAATAAACCAAATCCAATAATTTTATAAGTCTAACAGGTTGCACAATAAGAACATCATTGACAACAACTAAAAATAGTTACAAATGCTTGAATGCGCTTGACTGGCACCTACAGTTTTAAATAATAATAGCTTTTTGAAAAAAAAAAAAAAATAACATACACAAGGGAAATATACTATAGTCTTTCAACTCTTTAAGGCGTGAACAACGCTGTGAGTGTTGACTGAAAAGTTTCAATTTGCCCAAACAACACCGTGAGCGTTGATTGTGTGTCCCATACATATTGCTTCCCACACGGCTCTGAATTTGTTTCTATTGTTTATTTTTTTTTTTTTTAGGGAAGGTTACTCTAACATTTTCTCTTTGTATAGGAGCTTTAATTGAGCTACGTGTAGTCGCAAACTGATCTCATCTCCTTCCAGACCGAGCATTGTGTAATTTCGTGTTCGACGTCATGAACACCAGTGTTCCAACCACAAGTACAGGCAGCACTGGGTGTCTTTCTGTGGCCTGAGCTCAAAAATTGTTTCAGTCGGATGTTTTCGATTCTGATGATAATGAAAATTGAGATTTTCCAGAAAGTGATTCGGATGGTTAGTTTACACCAGTGGCAGCTAAGCAATCAGCTGTTTGAGAATCTAGCGATTCTGATGAGTTGGACACAGAAAATATTCCATCCCAACCGTATTTAGGGTGTAGGAAAAGGTAAGTGCTCTAAACAAATAGACAGTACCATACTATGGCTAAGCTATATTTACATCATTGCAGCTATACAGTCTAAATATAACTGTACACAGTAATTAGTAAATAGCGTGTGGGCAATGGTAAATTTCTCTGCTATTTTTTCTCTGAAATTTTGTTCAGCACTCTGTGAGAACTTAGAGCCTCTGAGTGCTAAACTAATCCAGGAACTTATTATAACTTTGGAATATGTAAGGAAATTGAACAAACTTTAACGTATTATTCTCAAATTTGGATATTCACTGCTCTTCTGGCTGCAAAACTATGGTAAGTGAAGAATTTTGTTGTAAAATTTTGTTGTTGTCAAATTAACACCTGCTGATTTCTTCTTTCCAACTAACTATAAAAGTATTAAACATAAACTTATTATCATATTCAAAATGTACATTTATTTCTCTTTAAAAAAAAATACTTTTGGAGTTATTAGAAGTATATTACAATCTCTATTGCCTTTTTTTTTGTACACCACCCCCTCTGTCATTTTTGTAAAGGAAATTGATGTGGGCTAAGTCTGTAAAAATTCATGGGCCTGAAAGAGTTAGTCTGTAGTGAGATAATTTTCAAATAGTTTTCAATTAGTAGGAAAACAACTAAGGTGATTACTAATAAACTACACACTTTCAATAACCGGTGCCTGCTCAGAACAGAGGGAATTAAATGAAATGATAGAATCAATAATAATGAGCTTTGGGAAAGAACTAAACAAGTTCCAGTGGACCAATAGGTGAAGAAAAGACTCTGGTGTTGGATAGGAAAACACAATGAGAAAGCCTGAGAACAATATAACTAGAATGTCTTTGAACTGGAACCCACAGGGGCATAGAAATAAAGGAAGACCCAAAAAAAAAAACACACACACGGAGAAGGAACTTGAGAGCTGAGTTAAAAAACAATGAGGGGGACATGGGGAGAGCTGCATGCAATAGCGAAGGATAGAACCTATTGTCGTGAGTTGGGTAAAGCCTATGCCCCATTGGGGGATAGAAGTCAGAAGAAGAAGAAGCTTCTGACTGTATAAAAACCACATATAAGCAAAAGTTAAATTTACCTTGAGTCTGTTGTGACACTGCTACTATTGGCTCCACCCTGGCTGGGACCCCCAGAACTAACTGGACCTGATGAAGGTGGGCTGGTGTGGGATCCAGCTTGTCCAGATGAAACTGTGAACTCCTCAAGCTGGTGGGCCATCTGCTTCTCAACTGACAGATGGGTCTTGGGTTTCTGGGACAGCAAAGGAGCGTCACTTCTCTCAGTCTGACAACATGGAATACCAGCACACATCTATGTTTTCAATTACTTTAAATTTACCAACTACTCTCTTTCTTTCTCCCTCTCTTTCTTTCTCTCTCTCTCATTTACTAGCTAGTCATGTAACTATTTCTCTTTCTTTTATTTACTATCTAGTTCCCTTTTTATTTTATTAGCCTTTCACCATATCATCTATTTTTCCCTCTCATTTTCTATTTCATTTTGTTTTCCTTCTCAACCTTTACTGCTTCTACCTCATCCTTCAGTCTCTCTCATTCATAGCCGTTCTTTTCAACCACTTTTTTCCTCTTTTTCAAACTCTCATTCTTTTCTTTCTTTCTCTCTCATCCCATCTTTCTCAGTCATTGTCTAGTTCTCCTCTGTCTGCCCTTTATTTTGATGATGAAGCACAGGACCTCAACCAGCTTGAGCCAAACTTCCATATCCTTTGCTATCTTGTCCAGCTGACTTCAAATCTTAATTTTCTTCATACATTTTTTGTCTGTCTTTCCTTATTTCTTTAACCCAGTGCAAAGACATTAACATCATATCACTATCAGGTTTTCCTAGTGTGTTTGATTTAATTTGATTCAAGAACCGACATCACAGCACTGGGGCATTCCCATAAGCGCTCTGTCCCCATCTTCAGCAGCCAGCTAAGAGTTCCGATACTGAAGGTGCCAGTAGCTTTCTGATTAAACGTCGTAGTGTGTTTAACTCCTTATATTCTGTCCAGGTACCAGTTACTAAATATGTGTACTTTATTAGTAACTGTTTTAGTCATTCTTCATGTTTCTGCTCTTTTCTGACTAGGTTAAATATTTTAAGTTTAGCGATAGGTTTAATTTCTTTTGACTTTATAGAGTTCAAGCTGCTCTTGCCTTCTGTCTATATTTTTTATCAATGTTTTATTCTGCTAATTACTGTTTTGACTGCTATCTACATAAGTACACGAGTTCACATCTTGAAATCTGATTTCATAGAGGGTTTGCACCACTTAGTGGTAGATAGTCAAGTGGCCTGTAGACATAGTGGCCAGGGCTAAGCATGCTGAATTCTTCTTCTGCTTTTTCTTTGTTCATCCATAAGAGGAAGCTAGGCATGGTGTGCTGTGGTGGTGTACAGCAAATCCATGTTATCTGCACAAGAATCCAATTTCAGCAAATCTCTTAACTAGTTATCTTTTACAACATGCATGCTGGATTGGAAAAGTGAAGAGGGGCGGGGGATGGGTTGGTGGGTTTATTCCCCCCCCCCCCCCCCCCACAGACTCTCATTCTGAGAAGTATGTTGAATAAGCCAACATGGACCACCTCAGGCAGTGGTCAGTGAGGCGGATGAGATAAACTAGTTACTGGGACAGCTACCTTGAAAATACTTGACAATTCTGACATGACTATTGGTGGGTAAGAAGCACCATGCTGACATACCCCCCCCCCCCCCACCCTCCACCCCCTCCCACCCAGCTGCCATGCAGAGTATGTATTTTTAGGCAATAGCTGTAAAAGTAAATTTATACACAAAATTTGCATGGGAAAACCATTGTATTAACACCTAATAAAACTTACTTCTTAACAAAAGGCAACTTTTCATAAAGCTTTTAATAAACATCAGAAAGAGGTGGTCATATTTTTTCATAACTTTTTTCTTTACATGGTCATAATATTTTTTTACATGCCGGAGAAAGAGAAAAATCTGAATCTGTTACAGCTGGAAAGATTTTATGGAAAGACAGAGGCAGAATAAGAGATAAGATTCTTAACTTGACAGCTGTTTGTCATGGCATGGAGGGGTATCAGCACAGGAACTGGATATAATAAAGTAAGCAAAGGACTCTTTTCCATGCCTTCAGGTGTATTGGGCATATAGGGCAAGACTTATATTTTACAGACCAGCCAGCAACTAGTGAGAAATGTGGTCAGCATCATGCCAGTTGCCTTTACTTTTCTAGGAGTTTTAACTGGCAACCATTTAAAGCTGAAACTGGATATAAAGGCTGCTAGAAATCACAAGATGTCACCTAGGATGTTTCAATTTCTTAGTTGAGTCCGGTAAAACAGCACAGTATATTAGCGAGACTAGAAGAATGCTACTCCCTCCGAGACCAGAAAAGTGGAACACTTTGTACGGAGGAAAAGAACAGCTTATGAAAACACAAATTCCACTACATGGCATTGGGCCAGAGGGCGAAAGATTATCTGCCGCTGGATCGATAACAACAAAAACAACAACCTGGTAACCATTTAAAGCTGAAATTGGATATAAAGGCTACTAGAAATCACAAGATGTCACCTAGGATGTTTCAATTTCTTAGTTGAGTCCGGTAAAACAGCACAGTGTATTAGCTCTGCATTTATTGAAGCCTCTAGAGATGATGGGAAATGCTGCTGTTCTGTGCCTTCCTTCAGCAATACTCTGGGGCTAGCCTGCTGTGGGGAGGAAAAGGATGGGGGGGGGGGGGGGGGGGGGGAGGATGTTTCGGCTTTACTTATGGATTGGGAAGCAAGGATGGCATACAATAGTGAGGCTGTCCCATGTCCCACAAAACTGACTTGGATAGCTAACTGGGGCAACAAAATATCCCAAGAAGTAAGACAGCTGGCCAAAAGGCACAAATCTTGCAGCCATGCTGTTAATGGCACAAAGAAATTACACCCTTGGATAAAGGCTGAAAAAAAGAAAAAGAAATTATCGTACAAGGCACATGATGATGATGATGGTAAAACATGCATACCAAATCCTTAGCATCATCATCTGCAGACTCTGGTTCTGAGTACTCAATGAGTCTCCTAGGTTGTCTAGGCTTCATCTTTCTGGAACCTTCCTTCCTGAGGCTTGAAGAAGCTGGAGGTGTCCCTTCAATGTCACTACTTTCTGCTCCATCCATATGTCCTTGCTGAAGTGATACAAAATGTAGAAATAACTAAGCACAAAAACAAACTTTGACCAGATAACTCAATGTAAGAAAGGAGACAAAGCTTGTTTGGCTTGTTATTAATGGATAAAACAACAAACACAAATAAACAGCTGACATGGAAGTGAAACAAGTTAAACAAGAGAAAATATGGAAAGGATAAGCTATTAGAAAACTAAGCACACAAATAGGAGCAGGAAATGGGGGAAAAAAAGGGGGAAGGGGGAGGAGTAAACAAATGTTTAGTCTGAAAAAATAACTCGGTTAAAACAAAGAAACAAGGAAAGACATATGCACATGAGAGCATAATAATGCAAATTTTTCTCAGGCTGCATGATTCTTTTCGTTTTCAGCACATTAAGAAAAAAAAATTCAAATTTAATGAAAAGAGTAACTGAAACATTAATAAGGAAATGAGGAATCAGGCACGCACACACACTTCCGCACGCACACATGTGTACACACACAAAGACAACAAATTTAATAAAAAGAAAACAAGCATTTGAAAAGTAATAAAAACTAGTAATTTTATGATAGTTAATAAAACTAGGATTTCGCACACAGAAAGCTAGTAATTACCAAATACCATACTTTCATACAGGTAAGCCTGCTTGTCTGTCAAGACAGTGGTCCAGGCACAGTCACCAACACAGGCAGTTTTGTTTCCACAATCAATGCTGTGATGGGATAAACCTAGCCTCTTGTAAATGAATATGGATCCCTTTTCTAACACGAGTCAGGAATGGAATGGACAAAGTTGGTTGAGGGCCTATGCACCCATGGATGCTCAAGAATACAAAAGAACCCAGCACCCCGACATTATGAAGTGCATTTGCAGCGCCTTAGCCACAGACGAGTCTTAGGCTTAGAAAATGAAATATATTTATGAACCAACCATACATTACCACTGAACTCACCTTGAAATAGTGTACCACACTTCCTGAGGGGTGGGTCTTAACCTCAATGCTGCTTATGTCGCCTTCCTGTTTCTGACTGGAAGGTGACTGTGGAGGGGTGTCTGTCTCCTGGATGTTCTCCAAATCACTCACTGATATTTTACTGAAATCTTCAGTACATTGAGGGTAGAGATAATTCTATGACAGATAACTTTCTAAGGGATAGGAAGTATAACTTATTCGCATATATTTGATTACTGTAAAAATGAGGGGGAGCAACCAGTTCTCTTCTCATATTAACTTTTACATGTAGCATACACACACATAAAACCATAGAGGTACACCCACATAAACAAATATTCTAAAGGGAACAAAATCACACACAAAATGGAATGATGGCAAAAAGAGAAGCTTTAAAGAAATGAAGATTAAAATTTATGCAACAAAGTAGAAACAGCACATGGAAGATTCTTACATGCTCCCAAAACATTGTTGGTATAGCTGAAGAAAAGGGAGGAGGAGAAGAAGAAGAAACAGAAAAAAGAAGAAGAAGAAGAAGAAGAAGAAGAAGAAGAAGAAGAAGAAGAAGAAGAAGAAGAGGTGAGGAAAAAGAAGAGAAAGAGGAGGAGGAAGAGGAGAAGGAAGAGGATGAGGAGTAGGAAGTGGAGGAGGAGTAGGAAGAGGAGAAGGAGGAGGAGGGGGGAAATATAATAATAATAGTAATAATAATAATAATAAGAAGAAGAAGAAGAAGGTGGTGAGGAAAAAGAAGAAGGGAGGAAGAAAATAAGAGGAAGAAGAAAAGGAAGAAGAGGAAGAAGAAGAAGAAAAGACCCATTTCCACACTTTTGAGTTTTACTGGGCATATGGTGCTAGCCGCATATTCTTGACTGAACAATGGCACTTTGTTAGTGATGTGGTCAGTATCATGTCAGCTGCATTTTACTTCCTCTGATATTTCCTGGTAACTATTTTACAGAGGGACTCAAGAAAAAATCTAAAACAAATCTGCATCAATTGGGAATGGTACACATAGGCTCCAGGCCAGCAAGAAAATGTAGGAGCCACTGCAATACTGCCACTCTCGCTGCTACTTTCATTTCCTAGAATATTTCACGGTAGCCATTTTAGTGAACCTGGCTTCAGGTCAAGTTAAAAAATAAACAGACAATCAGTGCCTTGAAAGAGATTTGAACTTATTACAGCCAGGCTTGTGACTATCCATGTTAGCCACTGTGGCTTCTTGGCTTTTAAGATTTCAGTATCTTATTTTAGTGTCAGCCTGACAGGTTATCAATAGATAATATAAAAAAGTGAACATAAAAATTGTATCAGACAAACAAACCAACAAAACTGAGCTTATACAAATATTACTTACTAATGTACTATGTGATTTATTTGTCAGTTTAACCCATAATCTTTTATGTCAGGTCTTCTAGCTCTTTCCATTCACAAGAAAAGCACCTTGTGAGATCTTTCAGTGGCTGAATCAAACTGGGAGCCAATGTCAATTTTGAAGAAAAAAAAAAAAAAAAAACAACAACAACACTGAACTGGATGCAGAAGTTCGGGTTGGCAGGTGAGCATCTAGCCACTGGGACAGAGGTGGGAGGGGAGGGGGCAAGGAAGTTTCAGGGAGGGGAGGGGGCAAGGAAGTTTTCAGGGAGGGGAGGGGGCAAGGAAGTTTCAGGGAGGGGAGGGGGCAAGGAAGTTTCAGGGAGGGGAGGGGGCAAGGAAGTTTCAGGGAGGGGAGGGGGCAAGGAAGTTTCAGGGAGGGGAGGGGGCAAGGAAGTTTCAGGGAGGGGAGGGGGCAAGGAAGTTTCAGGGAAAGGGGCAGGGGGGAGGGGGGAACTGGGGTGTCAAGCAGTTTTTAAACTGATTCCATTTGTACTTTTAATAATGTCATATAAACATTTTGTTTTTCAGTTTAATTGTTAAAAAAAAATAATTTAAAACTACAAACAAACAAAAAAAAATAGCCAAGGATGTTATGTTATCTGACACTGATTCATGCAAGGTTTTTCCTCCAAGCTATCGTTAATTGCTTAAGAGTTTTTTTCTTATGGTTGTCTTTTTTAAAATCCCATTTATTTTCAAAGTTAGGTAGGGTGTGGGCACAGGGGTATTGCCATTTCTTCAAGGAAAATGCCAATTGAAAAGGGTTAAAAACCCCTGTGCGGGAATCTTCTGAGGCCAAATGAGTCAAACAGAGGCTTCGCCATAATATACTTACTTCTGTGAACAGTAGGAGTAGGAGGCGGGAAGCCATCCTCAGTTTTCTTGCATCGATGGTGTTGAGCATCAACAGTATTGATGACCAGCTGGATCAGAGTCTGTATAATTGCTGAACGTGGAGAGGTGCTGATCTGATACTGGTAAGTACATTACAAACAGGAAAACATTAACATTAATTGTATATATCTTTGGGCATGATGCATCAGTGCTTCACAGGGCATGACACATCAGTCCTTCACAGGGCATGACACATCAGTCCTTCACAGGGCATGACACATCAGTCCTTCACAGGGCATGACACATCAGTTCTTCACAGGGCATGACACACCAGTCCTTCACAGGGCATGACACATCATTTGTTGGCTGTCTGTGACCTTCAGGCATATTGGGCATATATGGCTGGATATATATTTTACAGACCAATTGGCACTCGGTGGCCACCTTTACTTCCCATGACTTTACCTTGTACCCATTTAAGGCTGTGTTGACCTGGCAGCCAGGATCAGATTAAAACAAGTCAGACTCCGTCAGGACATGAACCCATGACTTTTGGATTTGCAGATGAGTCTCTAGCCGCTAAACCATGGTGGCTCTTGTTTGTGGTTTTACAAGGAAAATTCCTCTCATCTGTAATAGGTTTCATTTGCTCAGGTTATCAGTTGTGTGCCTCCATGAACCAGTACGGCAGCAGCAAATCTCCAAGGATCATGCAAAGTTGGTCCTGGGTGCTACTTCCTGCAGTTCGGCACTACGTGCTCAGGCGATTGGAGTGTGGTTCAGCAGGAACATTGGGCAGATTGTGCAACCTTCATTCTATGCATGTGTGCGTTAAGTCTGCAGTGTTCTATTCTGTTAAAAAAATGGTGGTGTACTGTCTTCTGTATAGTAGGTATATTCAAATTCAGGAGTTGCAGGACAAAGACTACACTTTTATGTAAGTTAAAAAAAACATCTAAAATAAAGTAAAGGATCCTTTTCCACACCTTGAGGCATTTTAGGCATATAGCATTAAAACTACATTTTGAAGATCAATCGGCACTCAGTGGGTGGTGTGATAAACATCAAAGCATCTTTACTTCCCAGGACTTCACCTGGTGCCTATTTCAAGGCTACTTTGACCTGGGAGCCAAGGTCAGTTCTGAAAGAAAAAAGAATCTAGTCAGTCAGGACCTAAACCCACAACCTTTATATCCGCAGGTGAGCTTCTAGTCACAATACCATGGTGGCTCCCACTACATGTCTATACTGTATCCAAATATATTTTCGTTCCGGGACATGCACGGATCAATGGAATGATGTTTGTTTATTCAACGGATCAACATCATGGCACGCGGATGTAACCTAAAGGTGCTCCATTCTACTTCTAACTCAAGCCAAAGGGAAATGATTTTTGTTTATTCAACGGATCATTATACTCTAGTTCTGTACCAATTATTGTAGACAAAATCACACACACACACACACACACACACACACACATATATATATATATATACATATATATATATAGATAGAGAGAGAAACATTTTACTTTAGTTGTGTAAAAAATGATTGTAGACCACATTATAGAGAGCGAATCTTTATAGTTTAGTTCTGTATCAATGATTGTAGACCACATTACAGAGAGAGAGAGAGAAACATTATAGTCTAGTTCTGTATAAACTACTGTAGACCACATTACAGAGAGAGAGAGAAACATAATTTAGTTCTGTATAAACTACTGTAGACCACATTAGAGAGAGAGAAAAATTATAGTTTAGTTCTGTATAAACTACTGTAGACCACATTATACAGAGAGGGAAACATTATAATTTAGCTCTGTATAAACTATTGTAGACCACATGAGAGAGACAGAGAGAGAGAGAGAGAGAGAGAGAGAGAGAGAGAGAGAGAGAGAGAGAGACAGAGAGAGAGAGAGAGAGAGAGAAACATTATACTTTATTTCTGTATAAACTATTGTAGACCACATAACAGACAGAGAAACACTGCCACAACCCACATCTAGATTGACATAAATGACATTTAGATAAATACACTTTTGACAAATTCCAGATTAATATAAATGACATCTACATAAATATAATGTTGCCTTGATTAACACCCCCGGCGACCCTAAATATCATATAGGTAAACAGAATGTTGTCTGCATTTACATAAATGGCAGCTAAGTAATTAGAATGCTGCCTTGATTAACATACAGTTCATCAAGGTATTAGAATGTTGCCTTAATTAACATTCATGGCATCTAGGTAAGTAGAATGTTGCCTTAATTAACATTCATGGCATCTAGGTAAGTAGAATGTTTCACATCCTTAGTTTATCATAAATAGAATACAGATAAAAAGAATGCCACCTACCCCTAAATTAACATAAATGGAATCTAGATAACTGTTGTGATGAATCTCCCATTAAATGTCAGAAAATGAGTACTGGAATGTTACATCGAGCCTGTTGTGTTGTATGGCAGTGAATCTTGGAACGCGAGCAAATAAATTAAGAAATGCTTCGAGGCAAGTGAGATGTGGTTCTTGAGAAGAATGTTGTGAATACCTTGGACTGCCAGAATAACTAACAATGACTGCCTGGAAATGGCTAATGAAAGTAGAGCATTATATACAAAAATGAGATGGAGACAAACAAAGTTCTTTGTTCATGTTATTAGAAAAGGAGCACTGGAAAATACTGTGATGACTGGAAAGATCACTGGTAGAAGAGGCAGAGTCAGAAAAATATAAATGAAGGTGGATGGCTTAAGACAGTGGCATGGAGGAATATCATCAGTGAAATTGATCCAGAGCACCAAAGACTGAGATCTGTGGAGATGCATGAATGCCTATGATAGCTGGTAAGGCACTTGATGATGATTATGATGATGATGAATGCTCAAAGATTTTAAAGATGAATCTCGCCAAAGTGCATAAGTAACCAAAAATACAAAACAGGATACCAGGATTAAATGACAACATATGCTTACCTTGTAAAGAATGACTAGCAAAGATTTCAGCCAGGAGATACGTGTATGTGGCTCCAAGTACCATAAAGTATATGTAGGAGGCTGGTAATCCGATGCATACCTCTGGGGGGAGGGGCAGTATTGTAAGACAAGCAGAGTGATTGGCAGAATGACGTAACCAAGCTTGTAGTTGCGATCAAGCACCTGTAACAATGAATTTTGTTGTCAGAAGAGTGTTAATAATTTATTTTTTTATTTTTCTGTTCTTAACATCCTCTTGCTTGCTTTTCCTCTGCTTGTCTTACACATCCATGTGTAGCAGCTTCCCCAGCCCTGTTCTGCCTTTCCAGCCCTGTTTTTGTCTTACACATCCATGTGTAGCAACTTCTTCTCCAGCCCTGTTCTTGTCTTACACATCCATGTGTAGCAACTTCTTCTCCAGCCTTGTTCTTGTCTTACACATCTATGTGTAACAACTTCTTCTCCAGCCCTGTTTTTGTCTTACAAATCCATATGTAGCAACTTCTTCTCCAGCCCTGTTCTTGTCTTACACATCCATGTGTAGCAACTTCTTCTCCAGCCCTGTTCTTGTCTTACACATCCATGTGTAACAACTTCTTCTCCAGACCTGTTCTTGTCTTACACATCCATGTGTAAGCAACTTCTTCTCCAGCCCTGTTCTTGTAGACACAGCCATGTGTGGCAAATGACTTCTCCAGCCTGTTCTTGCTTATCAAGCATCCATGTGTGGCAACTTCTTCTCCAGCCCTGTTCTTGTACACATCCAGTGTTAAGCAACTTTATTCTCCAGCCCTGTTCTTGTCTTACACATCCATGTGTAGCAACTTCTTCTCCAGCCCTGTTCTTGTCTTACACATCCATGTGTAGCAACTTCTTCTCCAGCCCTGTTCTTGACTTACACATCCATGTGTAGCAACTTCTTCTCCAGCCCTGTTCTTGTCTTACACATCCATGTGTAGCAAATTCATTTCCAGCCCTGTTCTTGTCTTACACATCCATGTGTAGCAACTTCTTCTCCAGCCCTGTTCTTGTCTTACACATCCATGTGTAGCAACTTCTTCTCCAGCCCTGTTTTGCCTTTCCAGCCCTGTTCTGCCTTTCAGCCTCAGATTGTACAGAGGCATTAGGTGTGAGCGTTAGGTTTATGCTACATAGATGCTGGTATTTACAGCCTCGGATATTCCACTGCCGAAGCTGAAGTGCATCTGTCTGAGAGGCAGAAAACCAACAGTCTGCATACAAATAAGCATACAAATGGATATGCACACAAAATTCAAATTATGGAACAAAATCAAGGTCCATAAATGGATGAGCCATCAGGAATTTCCACCAGCTGGTGAACGAAAACTAGAAGAACATACATTCACCATCACCATCACGTGTCTTGTCATTTATCTCAGAAACCATATCTCTGCTCCTTTCAAGTTTCCACTAATTTGTTCACATTCCAAGATTCGGCACCGTACAACAGAAGAGATTAAACTGAACATTTCAGCAAATCTCTTTCTGACATCGAGTGAGTTACTCAACACACACTGCGGCTCTCGGTGTCAAAGTGATGAGACCCGCAGCCTCGCACTATGCAGGTCATGGGTTTGTTACGGTTGCTTTGTTCAGTGCACAAGGAGATTTCTTAGATCTGTGGACGTGGTCAAAGTCCTTTGGCAGCAAGTGAACAATGTGGAGGCTCAAAGAGATCATTACGGTCTGGAGAGAATGGCACAGCTAACAGTAATTGGGGATCTGATCAACACTCTACACCCGGAGGAAAGGCAAGATGGACATATAATCAAACTTCCAGTGGCACCATCGGAACTGAAACTCTTCGTGGCTGCTGAAAACAAGAATGGAATGTTTATGGGAATGTCCAGAGTTTTGTGATGTCAGCTCTTAGCTCAATAAATCAATACTTTCTGGGATCACTGCTGGAGCTACAGAGTCCATACTTTGTGCCATGCTCTTGGCATTTGGCTAGCTATTCTGTGGAGAGAGGTTAAGCTATATGGTATAACACCTGGTGTATTGAAGTTGATTTCTCCCCACTTCAACTCTGTCTACTTCTTCACATTCACCGGCTGTAAACTCCAGGAGAGTTCTGGTTGTTCATCCCCTTCTGGAGTTTAGTCATGTTAAGAACCTGAGTTTTGTGTAGACATCCATCGTACACACCTGGCTTATCTGTATGCAGACTGTTGGTTTCTTGCCTCTCAGGCAGATGCACATGTTTGTTAGGGGAGCAGTGGGTCTATTCCTTTCCCCCCAAAAAAATGACAGCCTAGAACCCACAAGAAGAAACTTAAACTTAATGCACAAGATGCTTTAATCTTCTGGAATGTAGCATGTAGCATCTGCTTAGCCTACATTACTTTTAGTCTCTGTCTATCTTCTGTCTGATGTCTGTGATATGATGGGACGTACGTGTGTGTGTGTGTGTGCGCGTGCATGTGTGTGTATGAGTGTGTGCATGCGTGTGTGTGTGTGGGGGGGGGGGGGAGGGATCAGTAAGTCAATTTAATTTTCAAATTAAAATGACACCTACAAAATAAAATATTGGGCATTTTCATGGTGACATAGTCAATCTAGATTCATTTATGGACTGTGTTATTTGGTTAAAGCATGTTTTGTGTGTGTGCGTGTGTGGTTGTGTGGAAATTTTGGGGGATTAAAACTAAAGGTTATAGAGCTTGTGCTTTGTGCAACATTTATGGTATATGACAAACTTCTCTACAGAGATATAGTCTTTATATTTTTTTTTTTAAATCCAGCTACATAACCACCCTAATCTTGCAACAGTACTGATAAGAAACATAAAATATATTGTTTTCACACTGCATTTGACTGCTGCGAAATTATGCCATACAAAATGAAACAGCAGAAATCTGAGATTTCAAAGATTACAAAAATAAGTTTCAAAGATTGATTTGCAAGCTACAGGAACAAAATAATACTTACATACATTACTCCACTAAGAAAAGCATTGAAAACTGCAGATGATCTGTGGGAGGAAACAAATTCAACACAAGAAAAGTAGTACAGTGCAGTTTAAGATTATTTTAGCCCTTCATATTCATAACTGCTAAATAACACAGAAGACTTAGATGAATGACAAGCTAGATGTGTAAGAGCCATTTGGAGGTTTGATTGATTGACTGATTTGCTTCAAGAACCGACATCACAGCACTCGGGTCTTCAGCAGCCAGTGAAGAGTTCTGATACTAATTGTGCCAGTAGCATTCTGATTAAACGTCCGTCTTGCCTTTACTCTGAACCTCGAGCATCTGCCAGAACCTCTCGTCACTCCCCCCGCATCAGTCTCACCAGACTGTGGTGATCCATCTGCTCCTTCGAATTGTACACGCTCTCCCACAAGGCACTAACCACGTCTGCCCTATCATGCATCAGTATTCCACTAAGTTGTGCAGAGCCAGCCAGTCTGTCCGCCTGTTCATTTCCCAACACACCGGTGTAACCCGGTAAAAAAATCCAGACAATACTCCTCACTCGTGTCCTCCGCAGCGAAGCATGCCACTCTGCACGAAGCATACCTATTCTGATCTTCCTTGGCATGCTTTCTGAATCAGTTACAATCACGATGTGTGTGTGTGTCGTGTTCTCTAGCCAGCGGAAAGCTGCAGTGACCGCCTCCAACTCCATTCTTAAGCTGGATGTTGTGGTATCATATGCTAGGTTCTCCTGCACCAAACATCGACCATTAACTTTTGCTAAGAAGCCCCAAGCACTTCTTTTGCCTCTTGACACTGAACCATCTGTGTAAATGATCAAATCCTCTGAGCGAGCATTATCTTGAATTAGTTGCTGAATTTCCACCTCTGTGGCACCTGCTGGCCAGTCTCTGCATTCCCCGCTCAGCGTGATTATGACTCTATACAAGTCTGACTGTTCAGGTGGCACTCTGACCCACTCCTCTCCTCGCCTAATGTTCTCAAGGAGGCAAACCTGTCTGACTGTGTCTTCTGCCTGAGCCATCCATGACCTCCCTCTTATTAGCCGCTGACCCTTAACCCCACCCAGAGCTTCATGCAGAGGGTGGTCTGTGTCTGCAGCTACCCTGAGATATGACTTCGCCTGCAGCACCTTGTGCCTACCTGAGACAGTTGGCAAACCAAGGATGTATCGCATACACACCACTGGGGTGTCTCTGGTGCAACCCAGAATGACCTGCATAGCCGTGTTCTGTATGCGCTCTAATTTGTCCATCTGACTCTTTGAGACGGCAAGCAGTCCCAGGCCATAATCCACCACTGACAGGATCCGGTGCTGATATAGTGTGAAAAACATTCTCTGCTCTATGTCAATTGCAGCCATAGTCTCAAGTGCACTAAGTCCTTTTGGCATCTCGTCACAACACTCTCCATATGGTCCTTAAATGACAGGCTCCTGTCGAATGTAATTCCCAAATACTTCAGTTTGCCCTCTCTGTTGACGTTTCTACCATCTATCGTGAGACTTGGGACATTAGTTTTAACGATTCTGTTGTCCAGAGAACACCACAAAACAGACGTCTTTTCCGAGTGGACGACAGCCTTCATTTCTGTACACCACTCAGTCACTTTGGAGGTTCAAATTAATAATAATCACAGTCTCAAGAGCATGGTGCAGCTAAGAGTGACTTTGGGATCTGGTTGGCGCACTTAACACTCAGTGGAAGGGTGAGATGGACAATCAGACTGTTACTGGTACCACTGGAATTGGAACTCTGCCTTTGCTACTGAAGATGGGAATGAAGCAATTATGAGAATGTCCCAAGTGATGTGATGTTAGTTCTTAACTGCCAACAAACTTGTAGCACATACCAGAAGCTGAAACAAGAGTTCTTCTCTCAGCCTTTCAGGATATCCTAACTCTCCTTCAGCTGTCATCTGGTTCTTCTCCTACTCCTGTGTTCACCCTTTACTCTACCAGCACCAGAAGGTTTCAAAGGAGTTGCCAAAGTGAAGAAATAACCATGATGAAAAAAAAAAAAAAGATAGAGAATATGCACACCTAGTTAAAACTGCTTATCCTAGGAAGAGGAAAGGCAAGGCAGGTAAGGCAAGGCCCTTAGCCTTAGCCGACAGGTGGTCTAAGAGGGAAAATAGACAGATAGAGATAGAGATAGATGGACAGATAGAGCCCTGCTCTTCTGATCTGGCAGCTAATGCAGCCTGCTTTGTTCCAAATGTACTGGTGTCACCTTTCCTTTGGAGTAAACAAGGCAGGTCATAAGCAACATATGGTCTCTACAATACTGCCCAGACTTTGTGCTATGGAGAGGAGGATAACAAGTTTAATTATTACCTTTTATAACCTGGGTATTAAAGGGAAGCTAATCTAGCCTTCTTCTTCTCCAGAAGGGAAATGGGGACCAGGGACCAAAATAAGAAGTCTTCAGTTCAATAAAAGCTGCTCTATTTGAATCCAATTTATCATAGAATCAGGAGGATGAGAAAGAGGAGGGGAAGGACAAGAAGAAAGGGCACATCGGATAAGGAGGAGAGGCAAGAAGATGTAGATGAAGACGATTAAGAAGGACAAGGAGGAGGATTAAAAAACAAGGATAATAATAATAAGAAATGCAAGGATTTAAGAAACATACCGAAGTTTAAATGGCGGAACACTGAAAGACTTTTCTGTCTGATTGTAGCCCAAAAGAACATTGAGATGTCTGAGAACAATATTTTGGCATTTGTTGTCAACTCTCTCTTCTCCTTCTTCATCTCCAGCACAGTTCACCATAAACTGTTGAAAGGAAACAGAAATGAATTTTATATTTCCCACACCATACATTTTAATACTACTAATTTACATCAGGTAACACACACAATAAGAGTTCCATAGTGGCACAGTACCTTTGCATTGGATAGGACACACACTAAAAACTAATAATTATAACTAGAATGTCTTTGCAATGCAACCCACTTGCTTTGAAAAAAAAAAAGGAGACATTTAGACTCACATGTAATAGTTAATAGGTTGGAGCTTACCACCATTAGGAGAGATACCAGTTGATAGACTGTGTCTCTATCCACCCCTTCAAGGTCCATGGCTCTTTGTAGCAAAGCAGCAAAGTTGCTCTCTTCATCTGTGAACTCTCTCAGTTGACCTCCTGCACAAAGTACATGAGAGTTGCTTACCTTTTCAAAACCAACAGGGGAGGGGCTTTTTTTATTCATAGTAGATATTTAAGGGGGGAGTGCAAATTTAAAAAAAAAAACTTACAATTGTGACATAAATTACTGTAAACATGTCATTGTCTTGTAACCTGTCAAAATTGTTCTTAAGGGTGTCAAGAGTGTTAAGCACAGGACATCACATGACAAACACAGTGATGACATAATGACAGTTTAAAGACGGCTGGCCCACTTTTGATATGTACCTAACTGGTGCAGTGTTCTGTTATGTTTTTTAGTTTTATTATGAAGGGGTGAAATCTACAGAAATGTATCAGCAGACTAAGGTCCGGCATGGTCAGCGCATGGCTGTCACTAACAGTCGATTAGTAGTTTTCCTGTATGGGGCCTTCAACCGCTGCAATCAACTCTGAGGTCACTATTCGTAAACAGACTGTCACAGAAGTCACGCAGTTTGGGAAATGCCGACTCCCCTCATAGACTAGCTGGACTGATAGGCATGCATCATCATCATCAAAAACTGCCAATTACTGCCTTTATTATATCACTTTTGTGGTTTAGGCAGGGGTTACTCAAACCTGAGGATTTAGGGCCACATGGCTAGTGCTGTTGCCATGGACTGTACAGGTGAGTGTTTTATTTATGCCCTCAACAGAAAGAAAATCTTTAAACTTACCGAGGATTTGAACCCAGGTCACCCGGTTGACAGCCCAGCATTCTTACCATTCAGCCACCCACGCCCCAAGCATCACCTTAATGGAGCTTCATTCAATGATGAATTCTGTATAGGACTAACCTCTTCAATAATTGTAAAAACAAAACAGATAAAAGAACACTGCTCTTCTTTGGTGCAGGTTAAATGTGGGGCAGCCATCTTTAAACTGTCATTGTTACATCACTGTGTTTGTCTGCCATGGCATGTCATGTCAATAATAACAACAATAATAATAGGTTACAAGACAAGATGGCATGGTAACTGAAATTTCTATCACACTTTTAAGGTTTCATTTAAGAACTTCAAAGAAATATTTGTGACTGCACATATCACCGACCCAGTGCCAAATGGTCTATACAAATTTAAGTCTAGCATCATATGTCCAATGCACCACAGATGTAAACAGGGTCCTTCACTTTTACTTACAATGACTGCAGGTTCAGAAGGTTATGGGTTCATTTCAAGGAATATGATGTTAAGTTCACAAGTGCACTTTTTCAGAGATCCATGAGGAACTTTGTTGGAACAATGGAGTTCACATTTGTGCAATACACTCACAGGCAGCTACCTGTTCTGCAGACAGAGGCCAAGTCACATGGAATAAAACCCAGTGCAATGAAGTTGATCTTCTTGGCGTTTAAACCTGAAAACTGTATTTCATTATTTCTCCTCACCTTCTGCAGCTATTCTATTGATAGACTGTCCGGTTGGTGAACTGATGTATGACAAGCTAGATGTTGTGATGGCCCTTTGGGAGTGAGTGAATAGTGCAGAGGCAGAGATAGATCATTGAGGTCTGAGGAGAATGATGCTGTGAGGATTTACAGGGGATGTGGCCGACGCTCAACACTCAAGGGAAAGGAAAGACATATATACAATCAGTCAGTTACTGGTGCCACTGGAACTGGAACTCTTCGCTTGCTGCCAAAGATGAGAATGGAGCGCTTATGGGAGTGTCCCGAGTACTGTGATGTAGATTCTTAATCAAACATTCAATATATTGATAGAATTAAGACAGCTCCATGGTTGATTTATTAATCTCTCATACCGTCTGTCCCTTTTCCAACTGATGATAGATTCTTCTTCTTCTTTTGTCAAAATCTGCTTGTGCCGCTAGGCGTCGCAGTCTATCAGATGATCGGCAACCGAGCCAGGGTGCGCTCAGTCGCTTCATATGCCGTGATGTTATGAAGTCTCAAGTTGTCCGTGACTCCTTCAATCCATCTTCTTCTTGGTCTTCCCCTGCCTCTTGTTGTTTCGATTTTCATGTTGTATGCTCTTGATGCTGGCATCGTTGGTTCCATTCTCATTAGGTGACCAAACCATTTCATTCTTTGCTTCTCAATAAATTTTACGATGGGTATGGTTCCAATAGTTCTTGTAATCACATCGTTTCTCACTCGATCTCTTCTGGTTTTATTCGCAGCCATTCTCAAACATCTCATTTCACAGGTGGTTAGTCTTCTCTCATGTTCTTTTGTTAATGTCCAAGTCTGACATTGATAACCTAATGTCGGTATAAAGATTGTATTTATAATTTGTCTTTTTATCTCAGCTGGGACAGCAGGGTGTTTTAAAATTGGGGCAAGCTGGTATGATAGATTAAAAAAAGCTAAATGACTGTTTTGTTATTCTTCTCACTTTCTGTGCCTTTCCTATTCAAAATAGATTAAGACAGCTCTTGGACTGTTTCATGATTTTTTTTTTTACTGTCTGGATATTTCTAACTCGAAATTTATTAAGATAGCTCCTTGACTTATTTTTCCTTCCCACTGTCTGTCCCTTTTTCTTTTAATATTAAATTAAGAATGTTCTGTGACTATTTCATTATTCTCTTCACTGTCTATCTCTCTCATTATTTTTTTTTTAAATGGCAGCTTAAGAAAGATATACGACTGGTTCATTATTTGTTATTCTCCTCACCATCTCTACTTTTTCTTATCCAAAATAGATTCAGAAAGCTCTTTGTTTCATTTATTCTTTTCACCTGTCTCTTCCAATCCCTATTTGTGACAGCTAAAGAAAACTGTGACTATTTTGTTATTTGCTTCTAATGTTCAACCATTACCACTGTCTGATCATGACATATTCATAGCAGACAAAGAAAGCTATGAGACTGTTTCATTTAGGTATGAGGCATGATGCCCACTTCTTCTGAGCACGGATAGTATGGCTTATTGTATGAATGGTGTTTATTTAAAAAAAAAAAAAATAAATTTAAAAAAAAAAGTGTATGATATGTTCCATTTCATCTTGATTTAATCACAACAAAATCTAATTATATTCTCAGCAAACAGAAATATAAATCATAACTTCTTTTTCTTAAATCTTGTGAGCTCTTGAGGTTCACTGCTACAGACATCACTCGCCTACATTTATCTCCCTAATTTGTCTTCTTCACTTCCTCTTTTACTGCTTCGGATGTCAAGGGAGATATAAGGATCTGCTTCTTACTCTTCAAAGTCAGCAAATAAAATGGTTTGCCCACTTAGAGAGAATGCCTTGCGACATCATATCACACAGGGCATATATCAAAAGAGGAGATGGACAAAGATCACGAGGTAGACCAAGAACAAGATGGAAAGATAATATAAAAAAAAATGCTACAACAGCACAATGTGTCTATGGTTGAGGCAGCCAGAAAGGCAGGAAGCAGAACCTTATATCTCCCTCGACACCCAAAGTGGCTTAAAAAAAGGGAGTGAAGGAGAAGAAGAAGAAGAAGAAGAATCTCTCTAAATTCCCCAATTATAATATCATACACCATAAAACAAAATCCACATTCTCACCTGGGAACGCTGAAGAACCTAAACTGCCCAGGTTCAGCTTTGATGGTACCCTGCGTGGGATGTTGAATTGTGGGGCTGACCACTGTCTCACGCACGATTTCTCTTTTTCCACTGTAAAATAATTTGATATGTTACATTTGAATATTACAACCATGTTTTTAAAACGAAAAATCTTTTCAGTCTTTATGAAGCTGTGGTAAAGATATATATGTTTATTGTTTAATAAAGGAATAGTCCAAGACTGTTTAAAATATTTTATAATTGTATACTTGTTTTCATAAGAATATTATATTGTGGGAAAAACTATTATAATGCTGAAATTAATTATAAATCCAAAATGATGAAGAATAACAGAAATATAACAATACTGACTTAAGCAATTATGCCAAACTAAAATAAATAAACTGCTGCAGAAACCTAGAGGCCAATAAAAAAGAATGATTTAAAAAAAAAAAAAACTGACATGTATTGACTGACTGGCACTCACAGATGGAGAGGAAAGCATCTGAGACAGCTGGACACAGCAGACAATATAACAATCAGAAGCTATAGTTATCATACCAGGAACTGAACCTGCCATTCCAAAAACTATGTTTCCCAGTATGGTATCAAGGGCTTTCAATGTGTATGTTTTCTAGTGTGTCCTTCTACTTGCTTAACATGTAGAGTGGGCTTCATAAGATTCAAATCAGGAGCATAGCATGCATTTTCTGCCCAGGACATTCTGAAGCGCAGGGTAATTGGCAGACTTCTGTCACTCCTCTGGTAGAGAGCTATTTAGTGATAAAGTAGATGTGGTGAAGGCTCTTTTGGGATCAAGTGGACAGTGGAATGGAACAGAGTATCCACATTTAAAAGATTAATTCAGCATTCAGCAGGGAGTAGGAGAACAGTTTTTAACATGCAGGGAAAAGACAGGCAGTTGGGTTGCAACTGGGGCAATCAGCATGGGAAATCTCCATTGACGACTGAGAAAGGAGACAGAGCATGTGTGGGAATGCCCTGAGTGCAGTGATGTCACTTCTTGATTAATTCATTCTTTTATTTCAAATTCTTTCTTTAAAAACGACCTTCCGATCCGCCTTGAACGTAATATTCATGATACTGTTATTATATTATATAAACATAAATTACACAAATGTGCAATTAACAACATAAATTATATAGCACAATACATATCTTTAGATATAATATAATATAATGCACATGTAGATTGAAAAAAACATGACATTGTAACACTGACAATAATAACATTTGTGCATGGAAACAACACATCAAAAGACAAATCTCAGACTTTTGCCAGTGAAGTTTCCAGCTTTAACTGATGCTGCCTCCATCACCATACTGTAGTATGAGGAAATAACACAAACCACATTTTGACCAGAACACTTAAAAAAGAAAAAGGATAAGATGTGCCAAAAACACACACACACAAACTGAAAAATACATCAATCACCAAGTGCTGACTGGTCTAAAAAATATAGGTCTACCATTACATGCCTTGGGGAGCCACTGTGGTGCAGTGGACAGATGTTCACCTGCCAGCTCAAAAATCTGGGGTTAAAACTAACAGGCAGATATTTTTTTTGAAACTGACCTTGGCTCCCCCATAGAGCCAGCATAAAATGGCTACTAGGTAATTTCCTGGGAAGTAAAAACAGCCAGCATGATGGTGACCACATCACCCATTGAGTGCCGATTGGTCTATACAAAATATAGGTTTAGCACCTTATGCCCAATGTGCCAAAAAATGTGAAAGGTATCCTTTACTTACTACTTTGGTATCTGTGGCTTAAAGGTTGCAAATACTTACTTCTTTACTCACTTAGTCGATCATTTTCTACCCTGAGGTGTAGAGGTCTGCCAGAGAGATCTCCACACTTCTCTGTTCGCAATTTTCTTCTTGGCTTTGTTCCACTGCAGTCCTCTATCAGTCAGGGATTGTCGGATATTGTCTTCCCAGCAATTGCTGGGTCACCCTGGTAGTCTGATACCCTAGTTCTTGACCTCCCATGCCTGCAATTGTGGCTAATTCTCTTCCATTCTACATACATGTCCAAACTATCTTAGTTGTGACTGATCCACTCCGGTTTGTAAGGTCTGAGTTTTAATATCCTGACGTATTGACTGATGTGAACTTTGTCCCTTCTTGTCACTTGGACCACATTTCTCAGATATCTCATTTCTGAGGCCTGAAGCTGGCTTCTGTGAGCTGTCATCATTGCCCACGACTCACACCCGTGGGTCAGGACTGGCACATAGGGTTGCCAATACCCTTTTGGTATTCCAAGAAACTGGGTTTGATTCCAGTTGCACACAATTTGGCAGCAGATTGCCTTGCATTGATTCTGACAATGGTACAGAGAGCTGGCCATGCAGGAAGCAATGACAAACTACTGAACTTTACAATTTAAAAAAAAAAAATTGCCTATTAAAACCACAAACAGTCTAAATATGCTGGGTTTGGTTTGCAATGTCCTCTAAAGCAGTGTTCTTCAACCAGTGGTTGTGGACCACTGGTGGGCCATGGACAATTGGTCGGCCAAGGACAGCTGGTGGATTGTAAACAACTGGTGGGCCACGGACAACTGGCGGGCCGTAAACAACTGGTGGGTCACGGACCACTGGTGGGCCTCGGAAATGACTAGGCAGCCCACCAAGAATTTCTGCAAAATCATGTAGCTGCTACTTGATTCCGGCAACACATTGTTGCATAACGAGTGAGACTTTGTACGCGACACAAATATAAGATTTTCTAACCTCTAAGTAGCAGCAAATATCACTTTAGTTATAAACTGCAATTTTGTGACATCGGATGTAACTAAAAAACTGATATCTACATTTGTTTTTGTTTCTGTAGCTGACTTCAGATCTTTATATGTTGGGATTATGAAATTGCACTCACAACCATTAAACCACAAAAGCGACATGAATTTTTATTCAGCAGTTAATATTCTGAGAAGTTTAACAATAAAAATACAGTGCAGATCTCAGAGTGTGCATGTGGGTCAATAGCGGCTACAGAGATGTAAGAATGAATATATGAATATATATCGACCAGTCAGACAATATAAAAAAGCTTTACACAAACCGCATATAAATTTACAAAATGAAGCATGTTAAAGATGTGTAGACAGGGCGGTTAAAGGGTTAGAGTACTGGTTCCACGCATTATAGAATGTTGGTTTTTATTCACGGTAACAGAAGAGATTTGTATCTGTTGGAGATGAAACAAACACTGTAATCTGTATACTGTGCGACGTCTCCTTGGGCAAGTGACCATTAATCTGTAGCCATAAACAAACCCTTTCTGATGATGGGTTACAGTTTCTCAAATTAACCACTCATATATACATCTCATCGGGTGTGATACTGACCAAATTATCCATCGAGTGGTGATTGGTTTATATGATGAAACTTCAAATGAAAATCTTAAACAGTGCGGCAGACATTACAATAACCCTGCCACTGACTTGTAACTTGTCAATACTGTCCCAATACTGGAAAGGGACATCTTGCAAATAATTTTGTCTCCTCATACTCCCTTCTCAGCACCATCCTAGTAGACACTTCTCAGAAAGGTAAAGTGAAGTTAAAGCTAGGGAAAGTGTAGGTAAAGTGAAGTTAAAGCTAGGTAAAGAGTAGGTAAAGTGAAGTTAAAGCTAGGTAAAGTGAAGTTAAAGCTAGGTAAAGTGAAGTTAAAGCTAGGTAAAGTGAAGTTAAAGCTAGGTAAAGTGAAAAAGCTAGGTAAAGTGCAGTTAAAGCTAGGTAAAGTGCAGTTAAAGCTAGGTAAAGTGAAGTTAAAGCTAGGTAAAGTGCAGTTAAAGCTAGGTAAAGTGCAGTTAAAGCTAGGTAAAGTAAAGTTAAAGCTAGGTAAAGTGAAGTTAAAGCTAGGTAAAGTGAAGTTAAAGCTAGGTAAAGTGAAGTTAAAGCTAGGTAAAGTGAAGTTAAAGCTAGGTAAAGTGAAGTTAAAGCTAGGTAAAGTGAAGTTAAAGCTAGGTAAAGTGAAGTTAAAGCTATGTAAAGTGAAGTTAAAGCTATGTAAAGTGAAGTTAAAGTGAAGTTAAAGCTAGGTAAAGTGAAGTTAAAGCTAGGTAAAGTGAAGTTAAAGCTAGGTAAAGTGAAGTTAAAGCTAGGTAAAGAGTAGGTAAAGTGAAGTTAAAGTGAAGTTAAAGCTAGGTAAAGTGAAGTTAAAGCTAGGTAAAGAGTAGGTAAAGTGAAGTTAAAGCTAGGTAAAGTGAAGTTAAAGCTAGGTAAAGTGAAGTTAAAGCTAGGTAAAGTGAAGTTAAAGTGAAGTTAAAGCTAGGTAAAGTGAAGTTAAAGCTAGGTAAAGTGAAGTTAAAGCTAGGTAAAGTGAAGTTAAAGCTAGGTAAAGTGAAGTTAAAGCTAGGTAAAGTGAAGTTAAAGCTAGGTAAAGTGAAGTTAGAGCTAGGTAAAGTGAAGTTAGAGCTAGGTAAAGTGAAGTTAAAGCTAGGTAAAGTGAAGTTAAAGCTAGGTAAAGTGAAGTTAAAGCTAGGTAAAGTGAAGTTAAAGCTAGGTAAAGTGAAGTTAAAGCTAGGTAAAGTGAAGTTAAAGCTAGGTAAAGTGAAGTTAAAGCTAGGTAAAGTGAAGTTAAAGCTAGGTAAAGTGAAGTTAAAGCTAGGTAAAGTGAAGTTAAAGCTAGGTAAAGTGAAGTTAAAGCTAGGTAAAGTGAAGGTAAAGCTAGGTAAAGTGTAAAAGCTAGGTAAAGTGAGGTTAAATTTTCATTTATTTCATATAACTGCTTATATGCTTTATAACTGATTTAGTATTAAGAGGGTCTAAATTATTCTATACAACTCCATCAATACATAAATCACCAGTAATTATAGGATAAGATTGCTTTTCATGGGAATGGATTAATCAGTTTTCATTTATTTCTTGTGAAAGAATTTGTTTGGTATATGATCTGTCTGGTTTAAGTCCAAGGATCTAGAATGGATTAAGGACATATAACAAGGTACCACTGTATTGTTAAAATACATTTGTCAATAACTTTAGCTTGTACGAAATGTGAATCTTAGAATATATATCACATCATAAGAAAAGCATATGTGAATACAAACAGGCCTCAACACAAATCAGATCAAATACATTATGCAGCAAGAATATGAAGAAAACAGGAAGAATAAGTCGGGAGGGCTGTGGTGATATTAGTTTTAAAAAAAATGACTGGGTGGGAGAAGTGGTGCATCACGCCAAAGCAATACCTATCAGAACAGATTCTTACAAAGTAGTCTTTTATACAGTAAAGTCTTCGAATGCTTGTTAAAGCTGGTACGTGAAGGCTTTCGGTCAGAAGTAGCTGAAAATACACAATTATTTATTACTCAGCTTATTAGAAAGCTGTAGTTTAAATGCAGCCGTCTTTGTGGACTGAGACACAGCAGGAGAGACATCATCTTAAACTTTGCATACCTAGAAGAAATCTGACATAGAAGGCTCAAGATAATCGATAACACAGATCAGCTCTTTCAGCATTAGCTGCTGTTATTCAGCTCCTTCTACACCAAGGATTTGAGCTTAAAAACAAACCATATGAGGAGGCTTCAAATGAAAACTTTAAAAGTGTTAAATAAATTACAGTAACCATGCAATTGTCTTGTAACATGTCAATACTGTTGTTTCAGTACAGTTCATTGGATTAATTTCTCAAAACTGTTGTTAAGAATATCAAGAGTGTTAAACACATGACATCATGGTGCAGACAAACACAGTGATGTGGGGCCATCCTACTTTTGACATGCACCAAAGAGAAGCAGCATTCCGTTATCCATTTTGTGTGTGTATGTGTGTGTGTGGATCAGCGAAAGGGTGAAACCGACATAAATTCATCAGCGAATGAAGGTCCTGTATGACAATGCACACCTGTCAGTCCAGCAAGCGTATGAGTGAGCAGGAAGTTTCAAAATGATGTGTCTTTTACAGCTGCTGAAAGCCTCATAGAGGAAAACCACCGACAGACTGTGGACAACATTGCCATCATATCTTGAAATCAGTCCAAACTGTCTGCAAGGTGGGTGTCGTGGCAGCTTATGCCGGAATTGAAAGAACAAAGCACTGATGCTTGTCAAGAACTTTTATGGTGCTGTGAAGCAGAAGGGGATGGATTCCTATCAAGAATTGTTACTGGAGATGAAACAAGCTGGAAACAGAGACAGCAAGCAAGGAATGGTGCCATCCCTCCTTTCCGTAATGAAAGAAGTTGTGCACATAGCCATCTTCAGGAAAGGTTGTGCTTACTCTCTTTTGGGATCAATGAGATGTTATTTTAGAGCATTACATGCCAAGAGGGAAACTGTCACAAGTGATACATATACAGATCTTCTCAGGAATCATCTTCAACACACAATCAAATCCAAATGAAGTGGACTTCTAAGTAAAGCATTTTTTTGCAACCTGACAATGCTTGATCTCATAATGCTGGTGCAATCGTTGTACCATGGAAGACCACCAATGTCAGTGTGTACCACATCATCCATACTTGCCATTCCTCCATATTTGCCAGACATAGCCACAAGTGACTTCCACTTTTTTGGACAACTCAAAGAGTCACTAGGAGGAAAAACTGTCTGATCTGATGAAGATGTACAGCAGGTTGTGCCTGAGTGGTTACACATGCTACCAAGAGAAATTCTTTCTAGATGAATCTGAGCATTTGATCATCACTGGAGGAGTTGCAGAGGTGACTACATTGAAAAATGATACATTTGTTCTTTACTTTTTCAGAATATCTTCACGAAAGAAATAAGATTTCATGTTTTGTTTTGAAGCCCCCTCATAGATATTTATACACAATTAATTCAGCAGTGATATTTTCAAAGACATCAGATACTGATAGATTATATAAACAAATTATCAAAAAGGCAAAAAATACAGCAAAAATTACCATTAAACAACTATTCTTTCAAAATAACATCCTTATTTATTTTTTTCTAAACATCTTATACATATCAATGTTTAATTCTTGATGATGATAATTTCTTTAAATGAGGTTTCATGTCTGCTCTGCTACCTCAAGGTTTGACAGCAACATTGACCAGACTTAATAAGCTATAATTTGGTTGTCAATCTGACAAGAAAAGATTCAAATGCTTTTTCAACCTTACACAAAAATTATAACTAGAGATCTTTAGCTAAAAAAAAATAATAAAACCATCTGCTGAGTGACTGAGTGATGTTCAACTCCCCAGAACTGCACAATGAGTGATAAGCACTCAGTGACACAAAGTGTCACCCTTCGGATGAGAAACCCCTTTCAACCGTAAGGTTATATTAGGGCCCCCAACAACAGCTGGGGTGGGGCTTTAAAATAAAAAGAAACTGCATCCCATATTGGGGCAAGGTAAGCAAAACACATTGGTTGAGCAAGCTGAAAATGATAAAATAGAAAAGCTACATTTGTTGTTGACTTCTGAAAAAAAAACTAGATAAATGATCACTAAAATTATACAATTGATTCTCACCCGCCCCTCTACCAACAAAGAATCAATCCAAAATCTATGCAATAATTTTAAAGGTGGCAAATTCATGAATAGACAAAATGAAAAAGAAATAGGAAAGTGCTTACATTTGGGAGGGTTCAGTCCCTTGGTGATGAGGTGCAGTGGAACAGAGATGGCTCTCCGGTATGGTGGCTTCCCTTTGATACTCTGGCTGACAGAGCGCACGCTATCAGTGCGGGCCAAAGCAAATCTTGCCCGATTGAGTTTCCTTTGAAAGTGCTCACTGTGCCGGTCACTGCTGACTAAATCTACATGGAAAGTATTAATTCATGACAACAAACATGTTATGTCGTACTGATTTCTCTAGCCTATGGCTCAGTTTCAAGATCAACAGTTTAAAGTGGCGGGATTAACTGCACTGCACCGAGTTTTTTCCTATATATGGATTGCCTTTTCTTTTTCCCAGATCAGTCAGTCGCCTGCCAAGAGTGTCATACAAAGCATGAACTGTGTAGCTCCAGTGACGATCCCTAGGGATATCTATAGGAGCAGGAAGAAAAAGGGCTAAACACTTAGCCACATTTACATACAGCAGGAAAAAAGGGCTAAACGCTTATACACATTCACATCTGGAAGAAAAAGGGCTAAACGCTTAGCCACATTTACAGCAGCAAGAAAACGACTAAACACTAAGCCCCATTTAAAGCAGGAAGAAAAGGGCTAAACACTTAGCCACATTCACAGCAAGAGGAAAAAGGCCTTTGCATGAGGTTCACATTAGAGCTATCCCTCATCAAAGTTTGACTATGAATGACTGAAACAAATCTACTTCGCATTGTTATCTATCTAACTTCGGATAAATCTAATAAACACATGCTTTATTTAAATCTGTAGCTTCTAAAGCCATAGATCATGTTGGCATGCATGCAGAATACTGCTCAGTGGCCACACTATTTTCAAATAAACACTTTTTAACTCTACAAAAGACTAGATTTTAGGTTTTTAACGGCATTTCCAAATAAGCCCGATGATCAGCATGCCTGATACCAAACAGGAAGAACTGGAAAGGAAGTTAAAACTGAGCGGTCCACATTTTATTGCTGGTCAGTGGTAAATTAAAAACTTTCACGCACTGACTGGGCCTCTTGGTTGTAACCAGTTAGTGCGTGATATGTTCCATGTGACTCAGAGAGTTAAGGAAGATGGTGGAAATCAGTAAAAAAAAAAAAAAAAAAAAAAATTAGTTTACACTAAAAAAGAATTAAAAAATAAATAGGGAGTGACTTGGGGATCTTGCCAATACTCAACACTCAGAGAAAATGCAAGATGGACATATAATCAAATGGCTACTAGTAACATTGGAAGTGACTCTTCATGCTATCTGCTGAAGATGGAGTCTCTGTGGCCAAGCCATTAGCGTCGCGCTCTGAAGGTCGTGGGTTTATTTCACGGCTGAGCCTTTCAGCTCACAACTGCAATTTTTACAGAGATCCCTGGGGATCGTAGCCGGAGCTATGGAGTTCGTGCTCTGTGCGGCGCTCTTGGCAGACAGCCAGCCATTCTGCGGAAAGAGACTGAGCCATATGGGATAAAACCTGATGCAATGAAGTCAATCCTTCAACTTTGAAGATGCGGGACAGAGTGCTTCTGTAAATAACCTGAGTGCTCTAATGTTGGTTCTGCTCTCCGTTCAACTCACAGTCACACCCTAGAAAGCCTACACTTTAACTATAATGGTAATACTGTTATAAAATCATCATAACATTTGACACAAATGTTTACCTGAAGGGTACGGTATGTCACCTGTACTTTCTAAGTCCACCTGAGCTTCCAGTGACAGTGTGTCAAACCGACTAAGGAAAAAGTCCCAGCTGAGAATCTGAACATCTTTCAAAATTGTGTCTAAAAGCTGAACCCGATGCAGGATGAGCGACCTGTCCTCAATGACAGAGTCAAACTGAAACTCCAGACAGTTGACAAGCAACTGGAAACCAGATGGAAATGTTTTAGCTGTGTGCAGGGAATCACTGAATAATATAATATTGTTTGGTGTATAAACAAATTTCAAGTTTTAAATAATGCGGACACAAACAATACACCGCACAATGTACTGCCAGGAGTATTTAGCCACATCTCACCAGGTGCTTTACTTTGGAGTTTGTTTATTCAACATATTATGAAACACAAACACTGAATAAATGCCACTCAAATTCAAATGGTCTCTCTCGATACATTGTTCATCTACTCGCCGAAAGTTCATGATACCAGCAGATTTTGGACATGTTATGAGAAGAAATAAAAGCAAGAATATGAGGACAACTGGCAAGATTGATGGAAAAAAGAATAAGGAAAAGGTCAAATAATTATTTTGATTATTTGCCCACATGGATGGATCAAGAAAAGAGCACTGATTGATCCATGATTCGGTGATCATGTGGGATTGTAATTCATGATCGCTTACACTTAGTTAGTTAGTTAGTTAGTTAGTTAGTTGGGTTATCCTCATTGCACTCCGGACATGTCCATAGGTGCTCAGATCCTCCCCTCAGTATGAACCCCAACGTCCGATGGCTAATAGTACCAGTTCTATGTTGATTAACAAGTCTTCTGGCGTAGCTGGTGTGCGTCTCGTTTTTTGCTGTGCCGATCTTAATTCCCAAGTCTGCCATTCTGGCGAGTGATGTGGATTCACTGCCACCAAAGTCGTCTATCCTTCCCATTTCTCTGAGGGCATTGATAATATCAGCATGATCCATAGGCTGACCGTCGGTAGTGATAGCGGATCCAGCCAACCTGTCAGCTCTTTCATTTCCATCGACGCCTGCATATCCCGGAACAAAAATAAAGGTGACTCCACGGACAGTGGACTTCTGTAATGATTCAAGCCATTGTCTTCGCACTGAACCTGCCTGAACCCTCCGGATCATACTCATTGAATCACTGAGTATACACACGCGGGTGTATTTTTGTGTTTCAAGCCAGGCAAGCGCTTGTGTCACTGCCATCACCTCCATCGTCATGCTGCTGGTTGTCATGGAGAAGGCGCCGTTGGCTTCTTTGACTGTTCTGCCCGCTGAGCGTGCTGTAAATGCCCATGCGCTTCTTCTTTGGCGTATAACGGATCCGTCTGTATAGATTAATGCATCTGCTTCGTCTGAATTTTCACCGATGAGAGCGTTGACCTCTGCATTAACAGCAACAGGATTCTCTTCTCTACATCGCCTGTTGAGTGTGACAATACAGGAAAATGTACAAATAAACGCCTGAGGCACAGGTATCCATTCTGCACCAGGTATGATGTCAGTTAGGCTGCATATTTGCCTAATAACATCTTCTGCCCGACCTAGCCACGATTTCCCCCTCTTCAGTCTGTCGCCCTTTTCACTAAAAAGCGCTTGATGCAGTGGGTGTTTCTTATCAGCACATATTTTGAGATATGCCCGAGCCCTCCACATCCTGATCCTTTGGTTCATTGTTGGAAAGTCAAGTAGATACCTCATTGCTCCACAGGATGTGTCTCTTGTACATCCCAAAATAATGCGCATGGCTTCATTTTGCACCTTTTCGAGTCGTTCAATCTGGGTAGCACTGACAGTGAGGATGGCCAGAGCGTATTCAATGGGGGAAAGGACCAGACCGTAGAATAGAAGTATTAGTAGTCTTTGCTCAATGTTGGAAGCAGCCATAATCCTCATTGCAGATAGACCTTTGCGTGCTTTTGTTATCACATGGTCAACGTGTTCCCTGAATGACAAGCTGCGATCGAACCTCACCCCGAGAAACGTCATAACGTTGGTTCTGATCAATACATTATCACGCATTTTCACTTCTGGTAAGTCCGACTTGACAATGTGATTGTTCAAAGAGAACCATGACACTGATGCCTTCGAAGGATTGACATAGGCATTGGAACCATCACACCAGGCGGCAATTCGATCGAGTTCTTTGTGCATAGTGCTGGCGATCTCCTGTCTATCACGCCCTTGTCGATAAATCAAAATGTCATCAGCAAATGACAAAGTCCTCCCCTTACACTTATTAACAGGGAACATAAAAAAGAAATTAATGACAAACAAAATGAATTACCTTCAGAGCTGCCGGGCGAATAGTTTCCAGAAACATAATGGCTCTCTGAGCAACAGCAGCATTGATGTCCTCAATTGAGCCAATCAGATGACAAAAAGCATGAGTCAAAGAGGTTTGGATTACATGATTGTTTTTGATTGCTTCAGGCTCCAGGCATCGAGCCAGAACAGTTACCTTCTCCACTAAAGGAAACAACAGAAAGTGTGACAATTTTCAGTTACCTGATCGAACTAATGTGACCTAATTAAATAAATGTGATATATATAAAAACACAGTTTGGGTTTGAATTTGCATGTAGTCAGATTTTTTTTTCTTTTCTAAAAATAATCTTGGTTCACAGATCAACCCAGCCTAAAATGGCTACTGGGTAATGTCTTTGGAAGTAAAGGCAGCTGGCATATTATTGATGTCATCACCCATCATGTGCCAGTTGGTCTATGAAAATATGAGAAGCATTATGTGCCTGATACATTACCCGTGTGAAAAGAGTTCTTTACTTCACAGTAATATAATGTCAGAAAGGATGTTAGCCAATAGTGTCAGTTATGGTTAGTATGTCTTTCTGATACCATTTAGTGTTTCAGTTCTGTCCATTTCTCATCTGCTTTCTACTATAGCTTTGTCTGTCCATAAGGTCCAATATTCTTTTATACCTTAGGTTAAACTAAGCAGGACAGAAAGAAGATAGGTCCAATATTCGTTTACACCCTTGAGAGTTATCAGGATAGAAAGAAGTTTAGGTCCAATATTCCTTTACATCTTGGGTTAAACTTGAGAGTTAGCAGGACATAAACAATATAGTCCAATATTCTTTTACACCCTAGGCTAAACTTGAGAGTTAGCAGGACAGAAAGAAGATAAGGTCCAATTTTCTTTTACACCCTAAGCTAAACTTGAAAGTTAGCAAGACAGAAACACTATAAGGTCCAATATTATTTTACACCCTAGGCTAAACTTGAGAGTTAGCAGGACATAAACAATATAAGGTCCAATATTATTTTACACCCTAGGCTAAACTTGAGAGTTAGCAGGACATAAACAATATAAGGTCCAATATTATTTTACACTCTAGGCTAAACTTGAGAGTTAGCAGGACAGAAAGAAGATAAGGTCCAATATTATTTTACACCCTAGGCTAAACTTGAGAGTTAGCAGGACAGAAAGAAGATAAGGTCCAATATTATTTTACACCCTAGGCTAAACTTGAGAGTTAGCAGGACAGAAAGAAGATAATGTCCAATATTAGTTTACACCCTAGGCTAAACTTGAGAGTTAGCAGGACAGAAAGAAGATGAAGGTCCAATATTATTTTACACCCTAGGCTAAACTTGTTAGCAGGACATAAACAATATAAGGTCCAATAATTTTTTACACCCTATGCTAAACTTGAGAGTTAGCAGGACAGAAAGAACAGTTTCTGGTGGCAGTACAGTGTAACAATGGACTTTGTGATTTATGCATTTTAATTAACGGATGAATTTATTTGCTTTATTATGTGTTGATGGAAATTCTGAAACAAAATTACAAGTGAAGAAATGATAAGAAGACTAGGACTGAGACCAGTCATTCAATTTATTAGAGAGCAACAGGTAAGATGGTTTGGTCATTCAATGAGAAGGCCATTGATACCATCTGCCAGAGAGAGACAAACTGAAGAAATAACATGAATACAAAGCAAGTGGAAGACCACACAAAATATGTAATGTCGGCATCAGAAACAACCTTAGAGAAATGAAGTTACAAAACATGTTAGAGAGAGCTCTCAGATGATCCTTACATTTCCCCTCATCACTTTGCTGACTGAGCTGAAGGGAGTGAAAGAGGTGGAAGAGAGGAAAAGAAAGAAACAATGTAGGAATAATAATAATAATAATAATAATAATAATAATAAGAAGAAGAAGAAGAAGAAGAGGAAGAAGAAGAAGAAGAAGAAGAAGAAGAAGAAGAAGAAGAAGAAGAAGAAGAAGAAGAAGAAGAAGAAGAAGAAGAAGAAGAAGAAGAAGAAGAAGAAGAAGAAGAAGAAGAGGAAGAGGACGACGAGGAGGAGGAAAAAGAGGAGGAAGAAGAAAAGGAAAATGTTATAGTTCTGTAATATGCACCTACCTACTGAGGTATAACAAAATATACCAGGCAATAAATGTCTCTCCTTGTTTAAATGCACAACAGAAAAACACTGCTTTGAATGACAATTTGCATATGTGTCTGTGTTGTTTCTACTAATCTGACCTGTGGTTATTCTTACTGATTCAGAATTGTCTGAGGTAGTGCTATTTTGCTTTTTATATTTCAGAACAGGATCTATATATCTACCCTTTTCAGTCTATGGAGAAAACCACTACAGCACTGGAGCTGTGGGTTTTATCAAAACTTACAGAAGAGGATTGCATTCTTTCAAAAGTTGATTTTGTAAATGATATCACAGACTATTTAATTTTGTTCCGCGGACCATCAAATGGGGAAACATTACTTGAGAGGATTAAACAAAATATCTTATTCTCAGAAATGTGCTCACTCTCAACTCTTTCAAGTTTAATGGCCACTATTTCAACTAGATCAGCAGCGTCGCTATGGGCACCAAGACGGGACCTAACTATGCCTGCCTCTTCATGGGCTGCCTCAAGCATCAGATACGTCATGGATATACCAGAAGGCTTCCTGAGTTCTACAGGAGGTATATCGATGACTGCATCAATATGTCTATGTCAGGAGAATGACGACTTTCACAAGGTCCTAGAAATGCTGGACTTCTTCTGGCTTCTGGGGTATCCTGAATATGTCTTCTCTGCTGCCTTTCACCTACCATGTTCTATCCATCGTCCTGAGGCCCTCATTTCCAAACCTAAATGTCACCACAACAGAACTATCCTCATACTTACTGTGATGAGGTGCTGTGCATGGTCTTCACGCCTCACATATGGCAGATAAGTCATGGATAGGGACTAGAACGAGATACTGTCCTAGTCGAGGAAGCGAGTTCCCCGAGCTTGCCTATATCGATCATCAGAAGACAGCAGAATACGGTTATAGTCATTTGAAGATGACGTCTTTATGTTGCGCAACTGTTTAATGTTCACAATGTCCTAGAAATAAATGTGAACTTCTTCATGGCTTAGATGGACGGGTATCCTGACAGAATGTACCTTCTCGTTTGCCTTGTCACCCTAGACGTTGTTGTATCCATCGTCTGTCAAGTCCCTCAAGGTTCATTCCAAGTGAAGCATAAATGTCATTCCAACAGAACCTTTTCCTTATTATACTTACCTACCACCTTCACAACATCCATGCCAAAAATTTTCTCCTCAGGCATCTCTCCATCCTTAGGGCTGACTGCCATCAGCACGATTTTCTCTGAACTTCCTCAAGTGGTCTACAGACATGACTATAACCTCAAGGACATTCTAGTTAAAAGTCGGTTACATCCTGCATCTGAGTCCCATTTCAGCATGGTCTCCTGCCACAGACCTGTATGCAGGACTTGTCCATATGTAATTCAGGGGACAAGTCTGGAATTCCCGAATGCCTCTCTTCCACATACGCGAAGCATTCTATTGCATGAGCTGCAGTGTCATCAGCTGCAAGACATGTGGCATGAAATACATGTGAAATGGGTTTACGACTGGTTGACAGGTTTAGACAACATCTTGTGGATGTGCAGAAAGGTGATCTGAAGCCAGTACTATCGCACTTCTTGCACTTCAACTCCCAGGATCACCAAGGTGTCCACGACACAGAGGTGACAGCCATTCAATCTAGCCACTCCAGCGACAGAGTCCACAAGTACCTTGAAAATCCCCTTATTTTCAACCTGAGAACCCTAACACCCAGGGGATTGACCTGTCAACACAGTTTTATTTAAAATTCTTGAGTTACGGTCCTTGGCATTCACAGGCTTTTTATTCTCAGGCCCATTTGTCTCTTCATTCCAATGGCAAGACATCAACATGGCTGCTTTGAGATACGTCATCTAAGTGATTCTGTGTGTTTGTGAGATTTTGTTGGATTTATGTATGTGCTGATTAATTCTCTATAGCCACAATGTTCACGTTTCGTTTGTTATTTTGTGAAACTTGCTGATCAACTTTTCGTTCGGTTTTATATCTTTCCATGATATTCTCAGAAATGTCATGCACACCTTGCATAACACTTAACCAAGACAACAATGCAAGCAGTTTAAAGCAGAAGTACTCACCAGCAGCGTATCTGGCTCTCCAATCATCATGGCCAAAATCCTGCTCTACCAAGAACCAAAGGACATGTGAACCAGTGGGTAAAGTCATGCAGTGCAACAGAAGTGGAATACACAGTGTGGACAGCTGGGAGTGTTCAGTCTGAAGTAACTTCCACAAACTATGAAAGCAAACATGACATTTGCAGAGATACTTTATGCATACCATAATTGCTGATGGCTTTACATTTTCTTCATTTCAAATATGTATTACCTCTTTCACTACCAAGTAAGTCACTGTACCCTCATTTGTTACTCTTTATAGCATACGCACTGTTTTACTTGTCATGTTCCATTCTTCTGTTATATTAACCCTGTACATTTCAATTGTTACTATAACATATTCTGTCTTATTTCTCAGTTGTAGGAAACTAAAAATATGTTGCTCTAAGATACTAAAATTGTAGCACAGTCAATGTTAAATTGAAAGCTATCCAGTTATGAAAGTATTAAATAGCAAACATTTGTTATGAATATTTTACTTGTTGTTTTCACATTTCCCTCACAGTAAACTATAATGAACAAATATCTGTACTATGAAGCACAAACCCTTTCTGTATTTCATGTGTTTATTATAAATGAAGTATTACCTCCTCCTAAACCATGACCAATACACGGATTAAATTTTTTTTTGCCATTATGACTACAATGTTTAATTTAACATTCACAATGCCAGCCTAGGTTGTTGTGCATTTCTCTATTTACTGCAACAATTAGTAAAAGTAAACTTATGCTAGTGTTATGAGGGGAAGACAATAAGTAAGTCACACATGGTTATGGGATGGCAGGAAAATGTAGTTCTTGGTTCTAAAGGTCTCATTAGGTGACAGTAACATCGAACTTTATGTCTCCATTTGTTAAGTGGCGCTAGACGTTGCGTGTGTATTCACAACACAGAAACAAAATGGCGACTGTTCTTACGGAGTGTACCCTCAAAGAACAACGTGCTGCTGTGTTTTTTTTTGGGGGTGACACAAGGGCTGCCAGCAAAGGACATTAATAAGGAAATACTTCCTGTTTATGCTGAGGAATGTTTATCCCGTAAAGTGGTGTATAGCTGAGTAAAATCATTTTCTCAAAGATGCTTTTAAATTGTTGATGAGGTCCAATCTGGTTGTCCTGTTGAGATTGCAACATACATATCCATGCAGTGGGTGGAGAAGATGATTAGAGAATAACAGGTGAGTAACAGTTGACTGTAACAGCTGCAATAGGATGCTCACATGGTTCAACATACACCATAATGCATGATCGACTGATATTTAAGAAAGTGTGTTCAAGGTGGGTACCCAGACAATTGACGAACACAATAAAATTAACAGATTAGGCCTGTACTTGTAGCATCTCTGTCAATATGCAGATAAAGGAGAAGACATGCTGAACAGGAATATTACTGGGGACAAATCATGGGTGCATCACTACCAGCCTGAATCAAAGTGTGCTTCAATGCAATTTAAACATCCTTCTTCGCCTTGTGTTAACAAATTCAAGGTTACACCATCAGCAGGGAAGGTTATGCTGATAGTAAACTGGGATTATCATGAAGTGCTTTTAACAGGTTTCGAAAAAGAAAAAAAAGGTGACAATGTGAATGCTGATTCATACTGTAAAGTTCTATCAATGCTTCTTGATGCAATTCGAAAAAAATGTCCAGGTGAAAAAGAAAAAAAAGGTGACAATGTGAATGCTGATTCATACTGTAAAGTTCTATCAATGCTTCTTGATGCAATTCGAAGAAAATGTCCAGGCCTGCTGATTTGAGAAGTACTGCTACTTCATAACAATGCCAGACCACGAACGTCTGGGTTAACTTAGGTGAAAATTAACCATCAAGGATGGGAACTTCTGGAACATCCATCTTACTAGATTTCCCGACTTAGACCCCACTGATTTCCACCTTTTTGGTCCACTGAAAACCCATCCTGGTGGGAGACATTTCACAAATGATGCAGCAGTTGAATGTGAAGTGAAAATACGGTTTAGAAAACAGAGCACACAGTTCTATGCCGCAGGTTTGGGAGGACTGATAAAAAGATTGTGCATCAATGTAAGTGGAAATTATGTTAAAAAATAAAGGGACAGTGTATGTGTAAAAATGAACACTGTTTTTTTTGTTTCTGTTATCTTTCTTGAAACCATATATCTATATGTGTCTGAGACAATTCTCAAACTGATAAATACTACTGTTAGTATTACAGGTGATGCCTCGGGTGCACTTAGAGGTAATGACTAAAGATATGACAGCGGTGGAGACAAAGATGAAATAAAACATGGGATATTAAATACAGGGTTTTAGTTAGACCCCTATTTCCACTAGGCCTACATATAGGGCAGTGGTGGAGACCAAAATGAGGTAGGGGATGGGAGAATAAGTTTTTCTTTCACTATCCCGGGCAAAGCCGAGCAATTAAATCTTGTACTGTATAAATATAATTAACCTACTGATATACTGTTTTTCTATCCAATTTCTACCCAAAGTTTACACACCCATGTGAGTCAAAGGGCTGGACAAGAAGCACTAACCTGATCCAAGATTCTGGTGATCATGTGAGATGGTGAAACATGAGTAACTAGGCTTAGCAGGGCTCATGATAAGGATGATGATGAATTTTTGTGTCTTTACATTTCCTCCATTTCAAATTTACATGCAACTGCTATTATCTAAATATGATGGGGTGGGTCTCCATAGTGAAGTGGTCATGCTATTTGCCTCTCACTCTGAAGGTCATGGGTTTGTTTCATGGCTGCATCATTCAGTTCAGGAGCGCAATTTTTACAGAGACCCCTGGGGATTGTCGCTGGTGCTACAGTGTTAATAGTTTGTGTGATGATGTGGTGGTTTGCTGTTCCATAAGGACTGATCCAAATTTTTAAAAAAATTAAAGAACCTTTTTTCACGCCTTTAGACTATAGACCTATATTTTTAAAGACCAATCAGCACAAGATGGGTGATGTAATCAGCTTCATGCCGGCCGCCTTAACTTTCCGGGACTGCACCCAGTACCCACTCAAGGCTGGGTCAACCTAGAAGCCAAGGTCATTAAAAAAAAAAGTTCTGCTCAGCCAGGAAGCGAACCCACAACCTTCTGATCAGCGGCGAGTGTCTAGCCGCTCCACCAAGGGGACTCCCACTGGTCCATATATTGATTTTAAAAGTCCATCCTCTCCACTTAAAGTTTATAAATAGGATCCTTCTTATTTTCTCTCTACTTTTCCTCCACCACAAGTGTGTATGTCATCATCATCATCATGTAGCAGGTCCTTTGCAGAACGTCGCTCTCATCACAGTCTGCCTAAAAGAAACTCGGTCTCTTGCCAGTTATCCCACCTCATGCATTTTCACATTCAAGGAGTCACCTATATCCTGTGCCCATTTTCGTGTCGGTCGGCCCCTGCCCCTCCTTCCTGGTACCATGCCTTCTGCTATAATTTCTTCCAATCCGTCATGGCGCTTGATATGACCAAAATATTTCAGCTTTCGAGAAAGGATGCTGTTTATTAGCCAATATTTCTTGATGTTCAGATCTTTTAAGATGTCAATATTTCTCATCTTCTTTGTCCAAGATATTCTGAGAATCTTTCTATAACTTTTAAGCTCAAAAGCCCCTATTCTCTTTCCCAAGGACTGAGAGATAGTCCACGACTCACATCCGTATGTAGCCACAGGGAAGATGCATGCTCTCAAAATTCTAATTTTTATCATCTTGCTGGTGCTTAACTATAGACTTTAAAGGCTGTTCAATCTTTGCATTGCTATGGCCATCCTCCTTTTAATTTCTGTCTCCACTGTTGTTTATTATAGAGCCTAGATATTCAAAGTTTGTGAAAGTGTGTATGTAACCAGCAGAAATATTTGATGAATGTCTTCCATTTAGTTCCCTTTACATTTCTTTTACTTCAGCCATGTATAGTGGGGTCAGCCATATAGACTTAGCCAATTTTAAAAATCTGTCTTGATGGGGGGAGAGGAAGGGGGGGGGGGGGGGGGGGAATTGAAAATTGGACCACATGGTAAGTAAACCAGCAGGTCTACTATTATTTCGGCATAGAAAATAAACAAAGAGGGTATGAGAGGGTCTGGCCGGCTCACTACACTCAGAGGAATGGCAAGACAAACATATAACCACATTGTGGCCAGTACCACCAGTATTGGAACTCTGCCCTGACTGCTGAAGATGAGGACGGAGCACATATGGGAATGCCTCGAGTGCTGTGATGTCAATTCTCGACTCAACAGAAAATAAACAGATATCAGTTTACTCAGTCTGACAATTAGTCATCAAAAGGTTTCTTCTTCTTCTTTGCGTTCGGTTTCCTATGCTCAGATTAGACCATCAAGGGGGTTGCCTCAATGAGCTCACATGTCAGCAGCAGGTCCTTCATGGTTCCCCATAGCTTGTTCTGCACACTTTTAGCTTGGGACTCTGTATGTAGAGTGGGCAGGTCTGCAGAATGTGCTCAGGTGTTTGTGGTCCTGTTTGATAGGCACACTGTGGGGGCTATACAATCTTTATTTTATGCATGTTATAGTTGAGCCTGCAGTGTCCTGTTCGTAGATGGAAAACTGTTGCATGTTGCTTTCTGTCGAGTCTGCTGACGGGGTCTTGTGGATGTTTGATATTGGTTTGTTCTCTCCTCAATTCCTTGTATTTTCCCTTGATAAGTGTCCCGATTTCTGGTAATGACAATGAATGGGTGTGTTGCTTCTCCTTTGTTCCATGTTTTGCAAGTCTGTCTGCTAACTCATTTTCTGGTATGCCGCAGTGAGCCGGGATCCACTGGAGAAGGATTTGATTGTTTTCTGAGAGTCTGTTTAGCTGGCGGATCAGTTCTCTCTCCATGTTGTCTCGTGGTTCCAAGTCACCTGGAGGACTGACATGCAGTCACAAAGGAAAACAATTTTTACTGTTTTTAATCAAAATCAAAAGGTATCAGATTTTCTGTCTGACCATTAGTCATCAAGAGATATTAGACATTTGATTAGTCATCTAGCGATATCAGGTATCATTCTTTTTTTCCGTTTAAAGCAAATGTTTCAATATCAAGGATGGAATCCAGCACAGCAACTTTGACCTCTCTTATCAATGTTAAACCTATTACTCAATCATAAATCTCATTGCATATAGACAAAAATAGCTCACGTTGGAATGAAACGCCTGCGGAAGCCAAGAGTTATGAAGTCTGTGTACTGGTTTATTGAGTAGTTAAGGCATTCCCCATGAAGAATCAGGTATCTCAATGAGGACAGCACACCGTATAGAGCATCTACATCGGAGACATGGACCAAGCTCTGGAAACAGAAATATATGAATAGAACTGAAACACAGTCTTAACTACAAATTCAAAACAATCCTCAATATTTTCCTTCTTCTTATTCACATTCACTGGCTGTAAACTCCGGCAGAAAGTACTGGGTGTTCATCCATTTCCAGACCTTAGTCTTGTCCCAGAAACTGAGTGTTGCAATGATTCAAACATTTTTTACATTAATTTTATTTAGAAAATAATTTCAGGTTACAAGTTATTCACCATACGAGCTCAGTCATAGAACAGATTATATATATCAATTGTATATTGACGTTCCACTGCATTCTGAATTGTTAATAACACTGTGTAGATCAGGGGTGGCAGATATGAAATATTTTGGTTATTTTTATAGATTTTCTTATAAAATCCATCATCAATGCTGCTGTTTGGGTTAGACTGGTAGTAGACAATGATGAGTCTCAGATGCTAACCCAATTCTGTGATCTGGGGGTAAAGCCCAGTGAAGTAGGTCTATGATGTCTTCAAGGTCAAGACAGAAGGCATTTTAATCAACTTTTTATGGGAACAATCAGTAGATGTATCTTGAAATGGCTGCATTGGAGGACTGAGCAAGCACTAGAATGCCCAATGTGCAATGAAGTCTGTTGTAATAAAATAACTTATGAAATTCATAATGGAGTGGAAAAGTGAAGGCAAGCGAACAAGAGATAGGCAGCAATACATGTGGGAGAAAAACATCAAGAGATAGATGAACAGCAGTTTCAAGGAAATAGTTGTACATGTGTAACAGCCTTTTTTGAACATCCAATGCAACAAATCCTCATTGTGGAGATGACATCCGATTGACTGAGATATTATAGATGTAAATAATGTCAATTATTTTTCTTCTCCTCAATCTTAGTGTTCACCGGCTGTAAATTATGGAGAAAAGTTCTGGTTGTTCATCCACTTCTGGACTTTGGCCTTTTTGTTCTTAGTGTTCACTAGCTGTAAAGTACGGAAAAAAAGTTCTGGTTGTTCCTCCACTTCTCGACTTTGGTCTCGTTACAGAACTTGACTTCTGCATGCACATTTGTTTTACAGATCTGGCTTATTTCTATGCAGACTGTTGGTTCTCCACCTCTCAGGCAGATGCACTCTGACTTTGAAGGGAGCACCTTTAACTAGTAAAACTTTACGATAGCTTGTTAGGAAGGCAATGGATCTACTCTGTTTCCTTCAAAGTGTAGGTCCCAGAACCAACACAACACAGAGAAGTTATAAAACATCACGGAAATCTACTCCCTACAAATATCTTTACTGCCTGTAGTTGCCACTTTTTTAAAGAGAGGGCAGTCTTGAGACAGACAATCCGCATGGATAGTGCAGTTGCCACAAACCCCCCGAGAAAAAAAATTGCTGAATTTACCCATGATTTAAACCTGGGTCTTCCAACTAAGAGCTCACTTTTCATTTCTATAACACACAATCAAAACACTTATAGAGAGGTAATCTGAATGTAAATATTATAAACTATCTATAATACCAAATTTAGATCACGACTCGACACATGTATATAAAATCTCAATCTAGGTAATGGCATTTTTAAAACTGGACTCTCATGTCAACCTGACTTAAAATCGGTCTTCTTCCTGACCACCGCTTTTACTGCTGTTTTGACATCAAAGGAGACAAAAGGTTGCTGCTTTTTGCTCTTTTGTCCGCCTAGTGCTTTTGTAAAGTTTCTCTTATGTTATCTTCCCATGTTATCCTGTTCTTGGCCTACTTTGTGCTCTACAAGGGCCGAATGTAAGACAGGCCTGCGTGCCCAACTTGTGACCCTTTGAAAATAAAGTTTGTTAGTTCATTTGTTCTACATCCATCTATTCTTTAGGTGTATGCCTTGTATGGTATGAAGTCACAAGGTACTTACAAGGGGTACTAGGAAATACTGTGAGAAGAAAGCTGTTATGATAATGATTCACATAGCCTATCAAACGCTACATGGTCATAAAATCTAGCTGGCACCATATACCCAAATAAGTAATGGAAAAGGGTGATTTACAAAGAATTATACAGTGGAAAATTTCAATTAGGAAGCCAGATTTCTTTTGCATGATTGGACCTAATGTAAACAGTAAAGAAGACATTATGCAACGATTGGGGCTGCAATTTACGGGAAAGAGAAAGTCACACAATGCACATTTCTTGGAACTGTAAGAATTAATATTAACTTTAATATCTCTGTGGCCAAGGGGTTAAGGCACTCACTTCCTGCTCTGATAATCACAGGTTTGTTCATGGATTATACTGTTTGGTTCATGAGTGCTATTCCTGGAAAGCAGCTCTTTGTGTGATGCTTTTATCAGACAACTTGACATTCTGCTGGGAGGGAGGGATGGATTGAGGGGGGGGGGGGGGGGGGGAGACAGACTGTGTCATATGTGACACTGCACTGAAACAGATCCTTTCAACTCTGAACTTTTACATATGAATGCACACTGAAAGAAACCATTCTTCTTCTTTGTTCACCAGCTGTAAACTCCAGCAGAAAGTCCTGGTTGTTTGTCCATTTACACTTTGGCTTTGTGCCAGGGCCTGAGCTTTGCACAGACACCAGTTTCACTGGCTTATTTGTGTGCAGTTAGTTGCTTCTTGCTACTCAGGCAGATGCACTCCGACCTAGAAGGAAGCTCCCATTTTGTCGACTCTTACGACATGCTTTTTTTGGGTAGGCAGTGGATCTTTTCTTGTTTTCCCTACAATGGGCCCCCTAAAACACTCACAGGGAAAAGAAACCATTCAATGTGTACCTCTAGAAGTGCATTAAACAATTGTAAATAAACTGGCATTGAGGCCACATCAAACACAGGGTCAAAGTCTTCTTCATCTTGCTCCAGACACTCATCTGAAAGGTTGATAATGAATATATTGTGAATGGAAGAAAAACCAGCAGTAATGTGCACTATTAATATAGTATCTACAATACAATATATACACAGCACTGACCATATGTTAGCAGCAATCATTTGTCAATTTCCAATACCTAGAGAAATAGTCAGTACAATGAAAATCATCATCAAGTGCCTTGCCAGCTGTAAACCATTCATGCATCCCCATAGATCTCGGTTTTTGGTGTTCTGGATCAATTCCAATGAAAAAAATTCCTCCATGAAACTGTCTTAAGCCATCTACATCTACCATAATTTCTCTTGGTCTGCCTCTGCCTCCTCTACCAGTGATCTATCTTTCCAGTCGTCATATTTTCCAGTGCTCCTTTTCTCATCACATGACCAAAGAACTTTGTCTCCTTCTCATTGTTGTATATAATGTTCTATGTTCATCAGTCATTTGCAGATAATTACTGTTAGTGATTCTGGCAGTCCAAGGTATTCACAACATGCTTCTCAAGAATCACATCTCAGTTGCCTCCAAACTCTTCTTCATTTGTTACAATAAAAATTCAGAATTATCAAATGTTATCTATTTAACCCTAATATATGGTGCAGAGCATGGACAATGAAAAAGCAATTTAAAAGAAATCAAATTAAGTCTCCAGAGGTGTAGATAAATTTTAAAAAATAGGTCAAATACAAAGGTTCTTGAGAGACTGTGAAAGAAAAGAAAATTAGTGAAAAAAAAAAAAAAAAGACAACCAGATCTGTCAAATGTATGTCGATGCAAAACTCAAGTTCTGGAACAAGACTGAAGTCCCGAAGTGGGTGAAAAACTAGAGTTTTCCACCAGAGTGGAAGAAGAAACTTAATGAAATAATTCTCTTTCACTGAATGTCAGAAAAAGAAAACATTGAAATGTTACATCAAACCTGTCCTAATGTGTGACAGAGAATTTAGGACTGTGAATAAATCAACCAGAGTTAACAGGCATGCAAAATGTAATTTCTTGAATGTTGGAAATACTTTGGACAGCTATCAACAACTATCAACAAACAACTTTCAAAAAATGCGAAGAAAAGCAGTACATCAGACATAATTATAAGACAACATATCAAGGCAAAACTTTTGGCCAAGAGAAACATCGGTGCAAGTCAAACTTTATGGATCGCTGGGTGAATTACAAAAGACAGTGCAAGTTCATACTAGAGACAACACTGCAGATATAGATAATTTTTTTAAAGGAAATGGAAGAAGAAGAAAAGAAGAAGAAGAAGAAGAAGAAGAAGAAGAAGAAGAAGAAGAAGAAGAAGAAGAAGAAGAAGAAAATTATAAGAAAGAAACTTTTTATTTATTTATTTTTTATTACTTTTTTAAACACAAAAAACTGACCTTGGCTCTCAGATCGATCCAACTAAAATATGTACAAGTAATGCCCTGAGAAGTAAAGGCGGCCTTATTATATTAACCACATCACCAAGCAAGTGCTGACCGATCTATACAAAATAAGTTTAGCATCATATGCCTATTGTGTCACTGGTGTCATAAAGGGTCCTTTGATACTTTTTAAAATGTAATTTCTTTAATGAACCCCTTGAACAGTCTGAGTACAAGTAACTAACAATAACCATCTAGAAAAAGTTACTAAAAGGAGCACATCAAATCCTATTACAAGAAAAAGACATAAAAAGTGTCTCATAAAGAGAAGAACTGCACTGGAAAATATCTTAAAGATAAGAAGGATCAGCAGTAGAAGAGGCAGAGGCAGACTAAGAGAAATGATGGTGGGCAGTTTAAGGCAGTGGCATGGAGGAAAATCATCAATAAATAAAACTGAGCTAAAACACTCTCTCCATGGGGTTCTGGGACCACGTTTTATTGTAATAATAGAAAAGACCTCTGCCTTCTAACAAGCAGGTCGTAAGAGGCGACTAATTGGAAGTTTGCTTACATCAGATGTGGTGAGCCCAGAAGCGTAGATATCGCAGGCCAAGTATAAACCCAAATTAGAAGAATCAGAACGAAAACCAAAGCCAAGATTTATGGAGAGACATGAATGACTACACCACCTAGCAGGGTACACAATTATGATGTGATTTAAACCTCAAACAACCATCTGAGCCTGAGGCAGACACTACAACCTTTTAGCCCTGCCAAAGCATTACAGTCTGCTGTGTTTGTAAATTGCTGCTGTGTTTGTTATTTGGCCTATGCTTGGTTTATATAAATTTATGTAACCGATGGCGTTATTTCAATGGTTTGAGATGAATTCTATCCGTATTCCATAGTTCTAGATTTCATGCTGTACAATGGACATTCCTACTGAAGACAACTTTTTAGGGGTGCCTAGTTGGTCATGTATCTTAGTAGACTTGTTTCAATAGCAAGGTACATACGCCATTTGGATATTACAGGTTTAATTCCTGGCAAGGTAACTAAATCTTTACATTTTTTATGCTGTCTAGTGTGTCCTATCTTTCTATGAGTTACGATCAATACAGTGTCTGTTTGTTTATTAGATATATCACACTAAAGTAACCTAAAGAAACCTTTTGTGTCAAGACTTTGAAAGCATGAGAACTTACTGGGTGCTTCTGTGATGGTTTGATGCTTGACTTCATCCAGCTTTGGGAGGTCCTTACTGGGTATCTTTAAAGGGTCTCTTGGACACACATGCTCCATCAGCTGGGCAGCTAGCTGATGCCACAAGGAAATATTCTGGCAGAACACACAGTTGACCCGCTTGGTGTCTGTGTCACAGGTGTGCTGTCCATCCCAGGTTTTCTGCAACATTCCTGTCAGCAGGGACATGACTTCTCGACTTGTTTCATTATAGATTCCAAGATGTTTTGGTGACTCTTGCAAATCCATCTGCAAAATACACCAAATCCATTTACTTGTGCAATGATAACATTACCTGGACAATGACTGTTTTGTATATGTAAAAGACGTTTTGGTAACCACTGCATCTATCTGTGAAATATATTAGCTCAATTACTGGTATAGTGATACAATCGTGCATGCAAGCTAAATGTATCTCATCTCTGAAAGGCATAAAGGTCAGCCTACAGTATAACATTCTCAACTCCATAAATAATTTGTGAACAATCAAATTATTTGATGAGTAAAACTGTCTGTAATTGTTAAACGACACTCCATAATAACTTATTTTGGGTGAACTGTTCATTACATTTCCCACCCAGGCAATGTGATTATCTGTACAGAGTAGTCAAATCATCGGTCAGATTAACTGACTATAAACTATCTAAACGGAATAACAGTTGTCAAGACAAAACCAGTTCTTGATTCACTACAACTGTGAGTGATCAAATCACCAGTTAAGATCATCATGATGGCGCTTAATAATTTATGTAATCACCTGGGGTCACATCTTCTAAATGTGGTCAAATAATCTATCAGAGGCCAAATCATCTGTTTAAGATCTAATCACTTATGTAAGATCAAATGAGTTATGTAAAGTCAAATAATCTAAGGTCAATTAGTTACAAGACGTAACTCGTCTTCTTCTTACAGTCTGGCGACTGTAAACTCTGGTGGAAAGTTCTCATTGTTTGTCCACTTCTGGATTTAAACCTTGCTCCAGAATTTGGGTTTTGCATGCACATCCATTTTACAGATCTGGCTTACTTATATGCAGACTGTTGGTTCCTTGCTTCTCAAGCAGATGCACTCTAACTTTGAAGGAAACACCCCTAATCAGTAGACGTTAATGACATGCTTGTTGGGGCCAGTGGGTCTATTCAATTTTCTCCCATTCAGGGCCCCGGAACCAACATTAAATCATTTCAGAGTCAAAATATTAAATGACTTATGACTGATCAATTAAGCAGAACATGAAAACAAATCATATATATTAAAAAAAAAAAAATGGCAGATGAGCAGTATCAAAACAACGCTTTTAAAATATGGTTCAACAAGAAAGAACAGCCACATCCAAAGACACACCTGCTTCAAACACAGATCCAGCATCATAATAAAACATGGCAGAACCAGCTCTGACTCCTTATCATACACATCATAGGTGTCACCAACCACTGGAAATCTCTCAGGGCTCAGAGGAGCCGCCTGCTCCCGCACTGGTGACCCTGGAGACAAGATGGAGTGGCCTTGACCTCCTTCTTCTTGCTGCAGAAGGTCATTTTCGCTATCACAGCTGATTCTGTCCACCCCACACTTGAACATTTTCAGAATGTGGTGCATGGGTATCACAATGTCTAGGCTGCTGAGTATCTATTTTGGATAGGAATTCAAATAATGCATTGCTAGCTTATGCAAACTAGACTTGCAAATGATAAATAGACTTGCAAATGATAATAACACTTGCAAATATTTTCTAGACTAGGAAATATTAAATTAAACTAGACTTATAAATATTAACTGGGAGTCGCCGTGGCGGAGCAGCTAGGCGCTCGCTGCAAACGGAAGGTAGTGGGTTCACTCCCTGGCAGAGCTTGATTTTTTCAAAAATTACCATGGCTCCCAGGTCGACCCAGCCTTGAGTGGGTACCGGGTGCAGTCCCGGGAAGTAAAGGCGGCCGGTGTGATGCTAACCACAACACTCATCTTGTGCCGATTGGTCTATACAAAATATAGGTCTAATCCTATATGCCCTATACGCCTAAAGGCGTGGAAAAGGGTCCTTTGCTTACAAATATTAATTAGACTTGCTGATTTTTGTTAGAATATAAAATGTTATCTAGATTTTGCCCAAGAGAACTGAAACTAAAATGAAACTTCTACTATATTTAAGAATGAAAGGTTTGAAATATCCCGTAGCAGCACTGAGAAATTGCCACATTCTTTAAGAAGTTAGTAAATGTCCACTGAACAAAAGGCAAAACCAAACAAAAAGCAAAACCAAACACAGCCATTAATATTATGTGTCATTATAATTACTGAGGGTGCATAGTCTATTCCCCCATTCCATTCTCTCATTTCTATACTGTGCAATCCTTTTGATATCTTAGATATAATACAGTCTATGGCTTCTCTTTAAAAAAAAAAAAAAAAAAGGTTTGTCCCAGAGTTTCTCCTAAACATTCTTGTTTGTTAAATCCATTGGTTTCCTATTTCAGCACCTATTTAGTGATTCTCAAAACTAAGCATTATCAAATCTATAACCCTAAATATCTCTATGCACAGAGACAACAAAGACAAAGAAACATTTTGTCAATAATCTCCACAGAGACAACAAAGACAAAGAAACATTGTCAATAACCTGCACAGAGACAACAAAGACAAAGAAGCATTTTGTCAATAACCTGCACAGAGACAACAAAGACAAAGAAGCATTTTGTCAATAACCTGCACAGAGACAACAAAGACAAAGAAACATTTTGTCAATAACCTGCACAGAGACAACAAAGACAGAGAAGCATTTTGTCAATAATCTCCACAGAGACAACAAAGACATTTTGTCAATAATAACCTGCACAAAGACAACAAAGACAAAGAAGCATTTTGTTGTGCACAAAGACATCTCCACAGAGACAACAAAGACAAAGAAAAATTGTCAATAACCTGCACAGAGACAACAAAGACAGAGAAGCATTTTGTCAATAATCTCCACAGAGACAACAAAGACAAAGAAAAATTGTCAATAACCTGCACAGAGACAACAAAGACAAAGAAGCATTTTGTCAATAACCTGCATAGAGACAACAAAGACAAAGAAGCATTTTGTCAATAACCTGCACAGAGACAACAAAGACAAAGAAGCATTTTGTCAATAACCTGCACAGAGACAACAAAGACAAAGAAACATTTTGTCAATAACCTGCACAGAGACAACAAAGACAAAGAAACATTTTGTCAATAACCTGCACAGAGACAACAAAGACAAAGAAACATTTTGTCAATAACCTGCAGCCACTGCAGAGCCTGTTCCATGACCAATGCACTGGTATCATCAAACCTGTCGCTGACAAAGTTGTACATCTTGTTCAGTGTAAATGGCAGGGGGCACATGTCAATATCAAAGGCTTTACTGAAAAGGAAAAGATAGAATAACCATATATTAAATAAAATATCACACTGCAGTTAATATTTAAGAAGCATTGTATTTTAATATCCAAAAGCTCTTTCCTACAAGTTGAACCTGTTCTGTTTTATGGCAGTGAAGCTTGGAAGGAGCTGAATTTTACTCTTCTGGTCACTCCTGCAACCCTTCTCAGACATCTTTTTTCCAGGGATACTAATGTGAGAAAGCTGTAACAACAGGAAAGCTCAATATTATTGGCAGAGGTTTGCTGCCGCCACTGCTGCTGCTGCTTCTTCTCCTTCTTCACTTCTTATTTTACCCCTTCGGATGTTGAGGGAGATATGAGGTTCTACTTCTTGCTCTTCTGGCCGCCTCAACCTTACACACAAATTGTCTAATGATCTTCGTCCATCTCCTCTTTTGTTCTATACCTTGTATGATATGGCATCACAATCATTCTAAGTGGGCAAACCATTTGATTTGCTGTCTTTGGATATCATTTAGAATTGGTTCTGTGCCGACTGGAGGTTTGCTTAGGAGAGATAATTCTGGGTGGGTTGGCACAGAGCTATGGAAACTGACAAGCAGCTGTGAACTAGTTTTGGAAGAGCAAGACCACCTGAGACATGTGGCACATATGAGAATGATACTTTCCAAACCTAGCTGTGATGACACAGTGGTCTGTGTAACCACCTGCCTGCCAAGATTATGCGGTCCAAATTGTGTAGGAGCATGAAGATGATACTTTTTACCTCTTTGAGTCCCAGGGAATGCATCAGGTGCTAATCTGTTTCAACTGTGCAGCCCAATCGACACGTGACAAGTGAAGGTTTTTAATCTACCACTGACCGGTTGAAAAATGCGGACCACTCAATTTCGAGTTCTTTGTGTCTGATATCAGTGGTGCTCATTTATTAACGTGGTTTGAAAGCCATAATTATAGTATATTTGTGAGATTTGCCAAGTCAATAAGTGTTTGTTGGAAAATAATATGGCCGCCAAGCAATATTCTACATGCATGCCAAGATGAATTGCAGCTTTAGAAGCCTCAAATTTATATAAAATTTGTGTTTTTTTAATTTACCTGAAGTTAGATAGATAGCGTTGCGAATTAGACGTGTTTCAGTCATTTATAGAGTCAAACTTTGATGAGGGATATGTCTAATGTGTACCTCACGCAAGGGTACAACAATAGCAAACTCAGCTGGCACAAATAGAATAAACATTAGACGATTAAAAGACGATTTTCTTCAGTGTCAGTTAGTTCTAGTGCTATTCCCCTTATTATTTAGGAACGTAGCTACACAATTATAGGCAAATTGAGTGTTATATAAACTTCATTGTGTGTGAAGATACTTATTATTTAGGGAGTCCATATCAAAACTCCAGGAAAGTGTGAATAATGTCATAAACTGGGCCAACAAATGGGACCTCGAAGTAAACAAGAGCAAAACTGTAGCAACACTCTTCTCATTGTCTACAAAGGAGGAAAAGTTTACATTAAATTCAACAATGATGCTGTTCCATGCTCCAATACTCCAGCCTTCCTGGGAGTCAAGCTTGACAATCGTCTGACATGGAAACATCACATACTAGAAACTAACAAAAAAGCTATGAGAAAACAAGGTGTTATGAAGAAATTGGCAGGCACCACTTGGGGAGCAGACAGTTGCATCTTGAAGCAGGTATACACCGGCACAGTCAGACCAACTCTCAAATATGCATCATTGTCATGGATAACAGCAGCCCATTCCAATAAATAGGTACTATACAAAACGCAAAACCAAGTCTGCGTACAATTCTGGGAGCCATAAAATCTACACCTATTGTAGAAATGGAAAAGGCAGCCAACATCCTCCACTTAGAAGAAAGAAGAAGGACAAAAGCAATTCTACATGCCAAAAAAAAATGAAGAGAATGCTAAACCACCCACTACACAAAAAACTGGCAGCCAGGACAAAAAACAGAATAAAGCGCACAAGCCTAAACCATCTTATAAAGCAATTTGGAAAGTCATTCTCTTCACTACTTAACCAACAATGTACACCTGAAGAGCTATCTTTCGATCTCTGGGACTCAGAATTATTGACACTCAATGTGTCAGCATCCATCTCGAACCTGGGAAACAAAGATACGGAGCCCACTTTAGTAAAGAAAGCACTCACAATGGAACACCTCAACAACATGTTCCCACAGGACAGCTGGACGAGAATCTACACGGATGGATCAGCAAAAGAGGCAACTACGAATGGTGGGGCAGGTGTTTACATAAAACACCCTGGTGCCACTACTGTGTCCCTGGCAGCACCCACCGGACGAACTTGCTCTAACTAGAAGGCAGAGCTCTCAGCCCTATTGATGGCAGCACAGTATATGAACAATCTGCAAATCACCACAGGCAGGATGGTTTTTCTCACTGACTCCCTGTCAGCTATACAGGCCCTTGGGTCCAAACCTACCAACAGCACACTACAAAGTCTAACAAAGGAACTTGCTATGTTGTCAAAAAAGGCAGAAACTCACTTGCAGTGGATTCCATCTCACTGTGGCATCAAGGGCAATGAAAACGCTGATGCTTTAGCCAAGGAAGGCAGTAACAAACCACAGACCTACCAGCCACTATCTTTTCCAGAAGTCAAAACTCTCATTAAGAGAAAATCAAAAACAGATTGGTAAATCAACACTGGTTATAACTACAAAAAAGATTTTCTGAAACACCTGAACAGAACAGACCAAGACACCATTTTTCACCTACGTACTGGAAACTGCAGACTGAATAAACACTCATATAAATTAGGTATGAGCCAAACAGCTCTCTGCCAGTGCCTTCGTGCTGAACAGACTCCAGAACATGTCCTGCAAGACTGTCCTCTCCTGGCGGAGCTGCAGAGCAACATATGGCAACACCCAGTAGTACTGTCAACTAAGCTTCGGGGAAACCTAAAAGACCTTGAAAAGACATGCCAGTTTATGGTCCATAGTGGATTATGCGCATGACCAGAGATCGCTGAAGAAGATTTTGGGAGTCAGTTTTCTTTACCAAATATTGGTGCTCTGTTATGATGCTTCAAAAGATTCTTTGGAACAAAATCTAATGTATACACTGAGTTAATATTTTACTTATACATTACTAAATGGTTCTTATTTATTTGTGATTTATTTTGAATATATTTTAACCAGTTTTCCTTGAGTGCCATGGTGTTAAGTGGAAATTTCTTTTATTTCATTTTACAAATTGTTGTAAACATACCTTCTGTTTATTTACTAAAATTTAATTACTCACATAATTATTTGTTGTAGCTATATTCTGTAACAATCCCTAGTCACTTTGATGTATAATATATGTAAAAAAATATATTTTAAACCTGTTTTCTACCCAGAAATATATAAAGAGATATAAAGGGGCAACAGAGTAATGAATTAAAATTAACACTGCATGAGGCTACAAAAAATATGTACCAGGTGACTCATCATGTGACCCCATGACCTCTATCACTGGGGCTTATGGAAAAATTTGACAACTTGGCTTACAAAAAGCCATTGTGGCCATAAGGAAACGACTAAATGCTATTTTTAGTTACTATATTTATATTCTGGCGTATGAAACACTGCACAGACGCACATAGCGCCAATTAAATTAAAGATGCATATAGAGAACAAATCACTGCAGAAATGGCTATATATTGGCATTTTAAGGACTGTGTCACAACCAGAAGTGACTAGATTTAGGCTTCTTGAGGTGATGGTACTGCTTGGCTGGCACAGTAGTTAGTGTGACAGCCTTCTGAGACAGTGGTTCTGGTGCAGTGTACACAGGAGACTGGACACATTTTCTCTATCAACACGGTTGTAGGATTGATATAGCCTCACAAAATATGAACCGAACAATGTTTAGAATGTTTAGATAGAAACCAATGAGAAAAGGAATTGCCAGTTGCAGCATTCTGGTCTAGAACATGCAGTGGCTTAACACTTCAAGGACCCAGTGGTGGTATTTGTCTGGAATTATGTTTTTTGTTTTTATTTGTCGAAACTATGGGGGAAAAAAAAAAGCAAAGCAAAGAAAGAGCTACAAACTGTTTCACCTCAACAAGACCTTCAGCTCATGGAGTTCATCTTCTGGGACCTCTGTTCGAATTGCCTCCAACCAGTATGGCATCACATAGTCCCAAATCTGAAAGCAGAATAATATGAGCATGAATGCAATCTCTTTCTCTCTCAAGCTCCATTATTCTCTTTGTCACTCTCTTCTTCACTTTCTCTCTCTCACTCATATGCACATTAACACATTTAAGTATACAGTCGAGTCCACTTAAGTTGAACTCTGATAAGACAAATTTCACTCAAGACAACATGACCAGCTTAGTCCTGGCCATTTTAAAACTTTATTATTGTATAAAAAAATACTGTTAGGTTGAATTTGGTTAATTCAAATATGTGGATTAGTTGAATCTTATAATTAATTCCAACTATATACACGTTCCTGTATAAGTCAAACTGTACCTACTAATCATGATGAAACCAATTTTTTTTTTAATCGAAGAATTCTTTTTTTTTTTAGTCAGCTTGGGAAATAACATGAAATCTCGCACCTATGATATCACCTGACATAACAGTATTAACAATGGCGGCTGGTGGTCAAAAGCTGACAAACTTTAACTTTAAAAAGAAAGATTACACTTTTGGAAGTGGATATAGCCAGGAAATATAGTATTCCAAGTTTGACGCTTCCTGGCATTTAAAGCGTAAAGAATGCCACAGAACACTGATATTCAAATGTCAAATCAATAGCGACAGACAGCGAGCTAGAAGAGCGACATGCGATTTTGTTAATGCTGCCTTTTAAAAATGGTTCATCATGTTTAGGTTGGCAAAGATACCAATAAATAGGCCATTAATTATGATAAACGCAGAGGAATTTGCTTGTCTTTGAGGCCAGACAGACAGGAAATGCAGTACTGGCTAGTCGGATGGTAAACAAATGCCACTGCATACATACAAGAGTGTGTGTGGAGAGAAACAATCTGTTGATGAAGCAATGACTAATTCATGGAAAGAAGATGTGCTTAAACCTGTTTTGGTTAAATATAATTCTGTGGATGTATGTAATGCAGATGAAACTGCTTAGTTTTGAGACTGTTACCTGCTACCAAAAATTAAAAAGTGTCATGGTGGGGGGAAAAAAAGAATAACAGTGGTTGTGTGTTGCATAATGGATGGTAATGAAAAATGACCTTTATTCGAGATTTGAAAATTTTAAAATCCTTGTTGTTTCAAATGCATGACAAAACTGTGTTAATTACAGAGTCAAATGCATGAGTGACTTCAGAATTGTTCACTGAATGGCTAAAAGAATTTGATTCTTCAATGATGCGTTAAAAAAAACCCGTTCTATTCAGCCTACAGAAGAACTGATAATATGAGTGCAACAGAACTTTGGTTTCTGCTGCCTAAGGCCACGTCAATACTTCAATCTTGTGATCAGGTTATAATTCAAAAGTTTAAAGTCCATTATAGATCGACAATGTTGTCAAAACTTGAAAGTCACATGGATGCTGACTTCAGTTCTGATCATTTTTAAATAACTCTTCTTGATGCTATTATAATGTTAAAAACTTCACGGGACAGAGTTTTGTCGGTAACTATTGCAAACTGTTTTAGACAAGCTGGCTTTTTACATGCATTAGATGTGCCAGTAAATGAGAATTCGCACCATTAACGAGCAGTGAGAGTAATGTTATGGATATTTCAGTTAAGCCATTACTTGCTAGGTGGTATCAAGAGCTGAGCACTGAACTAGAGGATTATGTGAACATTGATAACGATGTTTTTACCAGTGCTACTTTTTCAAGCAATGATATTCTAGGGCTATGTCTGCCAACCACTCAACCAGCAGACCATTTGAGTCCTGACTCTGATGATGAGGAAGACTGTGGGCTGCAAGCACAACCTGTATCACAGTCACATGTTTTGGTACACATGGACATAATTAACATTTACATGATGTAGACTGGGTGTTCAGATTATGTAATCTAACAATTTGTTGCATTTAAACATGCTGTGGAAAGACATTTTTCACAATCCAAAAAGCAGACTTTTTCTTTAATTAATGTCTGAATTTCATATGGTTGTAATGTTATACCATCTAAAATTATAAAATATTTCAACATTTCTGATGTTGTATAGTTATTTATTTGCTAACTTATGATGTTTCCTAACTGGTTTAATTGTTTTACTCAATGCTACTGCTTGGTTTTAATGTACATTCTCTACTGCGTGTGCTATCTTGAAAAGAAAAAGTTATGTTAAGTGGAATGATTTTCTTAGGTATCTGTGACTTATACCAATTCCTACTCGGTGTCACTCCTCTAACACTTCCAGCATAACAACCACAATTTTCTCTGCTGTCACAATTTTCTTGAGCTTTTTATCCCACAGCACACAATAAAAGAGAAAAAAATTGACAACAGAAATATACAAATGTAGTAGAAATCACCAGATTATACCAGACTACTTCATAGTGAATAAAAGTTAAACAAACTAATTATACACATGTGGCAGATAAATAAATCCTTTTAAATGGAATACAAATATATACTGTGCTCAAACATAACTGTTTCACTAGGGCAAACACAAGTTAAAATTTCATTTCTTGTTTGCTTTATCTTGTTTAATTTTGTAGTATGCATCAGCAAAAATGGAGTAACATAAGCTACACTAAATGGGGAAATATATTGTTTCTATCTTCTTTACTCAAATTTACAATAGGGAAGCATTGCTTTAATTTTTTTAAATATCATCCTAAAGTGCTTTGGCAACTGGCATGGGCAATCATGTCTATCCCTGATTTGTAATCTTCAACAGCATATATCAGTTCATGTGTTGCCATCCCTCCATGCTATGGCAATAAATTGTCAAGAGTCTTCTTGCACTGTCTTCCTATATCTCTTTTTCCACATATCTTTACTTCAGATGTTTGTGATAAGTTATGTTTGGGCTTTCGCCGCCTTCAAAATATAAGGGTTTCTCTCTCTTTGGCAGTCCAAGGAATGTTAAGCATCCTTCTATAAAACAACGTTTTCTTTTTTTTTAAAATATATAATAATAAACACATTTTTTACACTGCTGATATTAGAAGAAGTAAACAAGATTTGTCAAAAATTACCTCAAAAGTGATGACATCATACGGGACCAAACAGAAGAAACAGTTCAGCCCTTCTTTAATTTGAGTCGTTCTGGTGCAGAGTGTATCCCTGAAGTTTAACAAAACATACACTTGGTAAATAAATCTGAAAGCACAATCCTTATTAATTATGGGCCCGGAGTAACAAAGATGTCCTATCAAAGAATTAGGTTCTCTCTTCTTTACTGATCTTGACATAGGATCACCACTCAATTATGTGTGGAGCCATTTAGGGATATGTTCTGCTGTTCTGTTTCCAAGCTGTCTCTTCATTTCACCAATGTAAGTTAACTGGCTTTTACATGTAAAGTGATAATACATTTAGTAGTTTTTTTTTTTAAATTCCTGAATTTACTTTCAACTTGATTTTGATTTAATTTTAAACTGTTAAGTGCTGACTTTGCTTTCAAATACAAATTGTCAAAGCAGTGGTGAAATACACAAAATAAATAAATATAGTAACAAATAAGACGAGGAGTGGCTGGCCGAGCGGTTACAACATTGGACTCCCATGTGGGGGACCTGGGTTCGACCCCTGGTAAGGTGATGGAGTTTTTCTGTTGGGGGACAAAACTAAACATCCTAATCTGTAATTCCCTGGTGACAGCACTAGGCATGCAGCCCTAAATCCTCAGGCTCACAATCATGTGTCTACAACGCACTAAAAAGTGGCACATACAGACAGTAATGACACTTAATAAACAAGTTTTTAGTTATGAGATCCAGCCTTGAGTGGGTACCGGGTGCAGTCCCGGGAAGTAGAGGCGGCCGGTGTGATGTTGACCACATCATCCATCTTCTGCCGATTGGTCTATAAAAATATAAGTCTAGCCCTATATGTTTAAAGACATGGAAAAGGGTCTTTTACTTTTTTTTTTAACTTTCAGTTATGAGTCGCCTTATCTTCGGACACATCCATAGGAGCTAAGTTTCCCCCTTCCACATATTCATCAGCTACATGTGGTTACTAGTGCCACTCCTATGCTGGTTGACAAGACTGCTTGTGCATCCAGTGTGCTTCTCATGCTTGGCTGTGCCAATATTTACTCCCAATTCTCACACTCCTTGCAGTGGTGTTGACATACTGCTTCCAAAATCCTCGCAACATCCTTTCTTTTTAAGGAAACTGATAATGTCTGCATGATCCATCGGCCGGCCATCTGCAGTTAATGTAGAACATGCCAGTCTTACAGCTCTTTCACTGCCAACAACATCTGCATACCCTGGGACAATTTAATTAAAAACATAAGGCTCAGGTTAGTGTATTCTGATTGCAGACTGGTGATGCCAGGCATGAACTTTTCCTTAAAAGCCTAAGATGTTGGTTAATAAACTCAGAATAGGTGGGAGCAGATTGAATTTTTTTTATCTTTGTGTGTGTGTGTGTGTGTGTGTGCTTAGCTATTGCAGAATAGATTGGAGCATTTAGTCTGTCTGAAATGCTATGGCAATAACAGTCCTTGCTAATCCTATATTTTAGAGAAGGATAAAGTTGGGTGTGTCTTAATTTTACTCTGTAATGTGACTTCTTAGTATTCTTTCTCACTGTTGTCCTATTCTTCATATATATAAATCCGTTTTTTATTTTTATTTTTTGGCATTTGTTTTAAATCAGTCTACATATGTAATTTTGTTCCCTGCATGAACTGTATGATCAATCATGACGATATTAGAAAACAGGCTGAGATGGAACCAGTGCTAGAATATGATGTCTGCAGTGACCTGTTTCTGAGAAGCACAGTTTAATGTCACTGGTTGTATTTGGGCCTGCACAGCATTTAGGATGCCCCAGCAGGAATATATTTATTGGATGCCCCAGCAAGAATATATTTATTGGATGCCCCAGCAGGAATATATTTATTGAAAAATAAGATTTAGGAGGATCTTATTATAATGAGCCAAATGCCTTTTTAAAACCATTTTCCCATAAATACATTTTTCAGACCCTGGGAAATGTATTCCATTTAATACTTCACTCTGCTCATGTTTACTAATTACTCCTTTTATATATCTTTATACAGCTTGAAACAGTCAGGTACTAGTAATGAGGGGAGTCGCCGTAGCTGAGCGGCTAGATGCTCGCTGCAGATCGGAAGGTCGTAGGTTCGCTTCCTGGTGAAGCCGGACTATTTTTAAAAATGACTTTGGCTCCCAGGACGGAAGTAAAGGCAGCCAACGTGATGCTGACTACATCACCCATCCTGTGCTAATTGGTCTATAAAAATATAGGTCTAGCCCTATATGCCCTATACGCCTAAATGCGTGGAAAAGGGTCCTTTACTTTTTACTTACTACTAATGAACAAACTGACTGAACGTTAGAATGTGCAACATCTGGATATAAAAAAGGTCTGTAACAGAGTGAAATAACTTACCAAAATCCTCCAACTCTGGAATACTCCACTGGGTGAGGTAAGAGACAGGAGACAATGACTTCAAAGTGTGTCTTCATCACTTCCAGCAGCCAGGTATGGATATACTAGTGGAGGATAGCAACAATGTCTATAGGTTAGTTGCGTATCCTTTACAGGACGTTGCAGAACCAACCCCAACAGCCCCTGGCTGTTGTGTGGTTTTTCTAGGCAAATTTACGTCAAGTAGTTTGCCACTTTGACGGTCGGCTTTCTTGATATCACTGTTGAAACCAACGCAGGGCGCATGGCCCGCAGCTGGGATCGAACCCGGCATCCCGGCATTACAAAGCGTTTGCATCGACTTAACCACAGAGCCGACAACAATGTCTATACTATACTCTTCATTTTGAAACATCAGTTTATCTAAGACACTTTTATATACTACAAAAAAAAAAAAAACTAAAAAAACAAAAACAAAAAACACAAAAAAACTAGTCCGTTATATTAGCGTTGGATAAACATGTCCGAAGCCAGTTACAGAATTTAAATATCAATCTCAGAGAATGGCCGAATAGACTGGGAAATAGGAACAAGAGGACAAAGGGTCAGTCAGTGGACTTATGTATCAATTTATGCCTTTATTAAGATAACCACAGATAAGAATGAATGCCAAGAAACAAATTGTAAATAGTACATACGAACACTGTTCTACCAGAGCAAACTTAAACAGTATCAAAGGCTAACCTAAGTAAAATTAACACATGTAAAATGAAATACATGAGGAAGGCAGCCAAATTAACCATTCACAACAGAGTAAGCAAAATAAAGGATCCTTTTCAACACTTTCAGGCATACTGGATATATAGGGATGGATGTATATTTTATAGACCAATTGGCACTCGGTGGGTGATGTGGTCAGCTGTGTTGAATGTTGAATTAAGAATCGACACCACAGCACTCGGGGCATTCCCATATGTGCTCCATCCTCATCTTCAGCAGTCAGCACAGAGTTCCAATACTGATAGTACTGGTCACAATCTGGTTATATGTCCGTCTTGCCTTTCCTTTCTTCTTCTTCTTCTTTCGTTCGCCTGAAATAAGTTGTCTTTATCAGCAGTTTTGTCTCTTGTATACATTCACTGTCGTTGTTAGTTCATTCAGATGTCCATAGAGTTTACGTTCAACTGTTGTTATTTCTGGCCAAAAGGTTTGCCTTAATGTGTCAAAATCGGTGCAGTCCTGGAGTGCATGCTCTGCTGTCTGGGGCACATTTCCACAGGTGCACATGGCTGATACACCTATCTTGAATTTTGTGTACATGTGGTTACGTAATCGGTTGTGCCCTGTTCTGAGGCGGAGGATAATGACTTGTTCTGATCTGTCAAAAATAAAATAGTCGTCTTGTGCTGGAGCTGGTGGTTTCCTGATCGATTTAATGATTCTTTTCTTTTAGTGGTATGTGACTGGTACATCCGGCTGCTCTTTTGTCGCACCTTCCCCTGCCAGTTGATCAGCTTTCTCATTTCCAGGCACTCCACAATGAGACGGTATCCACTGCATTACGACTCTTCGCTGAAGGCTGAATTGTGTCAGCAGTGTTTGCAATTCTGGTAGTTTCCTAGACTGGAGTGCTTCAAGTACTGATTTAGCATCTGTCAGCCTTACCACATACTGTGAGCCAAGGTTGGTATTTAGCAGTTTCTCTGTAGCTATCTTGATAGCCTGGTTTTCTGCATCATAGTTATGGCAGTACTTCCGGTTGGTATGCTGGACTTATCCCTAGTACCATCTGGGAATTCGATGTACACTCCAGCGCCACCATTTCTAACTGCACTTTCTGCAGACCCATCTGTATAGACTCTGACCCATTGTTCTTGTGGGGATTCTTCATCAATATAACTGAGGGTGGCCATTCTGCATTGTACACTATCTTGCTCTTTCTTGTCAAATATCCCTTTCACATTTGTCTGGATTTGTACCGTTAGTTTACATTTTTCTCTCCATGGGGTTTGTTCCGGAATACTTTTAAGTGGGCAACCAATTTCTGGAAGGTCAGGAGTTTGTCTACATATTCTTTTTGCTTGGTGTATAAAGCTGCTTCTTTTTAACCGTCCCAAGGCTAGGTTCTTAAATCTATTTTCCATCGGGTGATCTGGCATACTGAGGAACTTTTCAGCTTGTATTTGCAACTTTTATCTCTGCGTTCTCTCAGTGCCTGTGTTTTCCAAGCTTTCTCCATTTCTAATATGGTGGTTAATTTCATCCCTCCTGTGATGACTCTAAGCGCTTGATTTTGCACTTTGTTTAACTCCTTTAATGTGGTACTAGATACTGAACACCATGCAGTTGACCATATTCCAAGTGTGGAAGTATGCTCTGCTTGTATACTTTATTGAGTATTTTCCCATCGGCTCCCCATGTGGTTCCACTTAGTTTTCTTAGTATTGCTGTCTTCCTCCTGGCTTTGGTTGCTGCCTTGTTGATATGTTTTCTCCATATCAACCTGTCATCAAATGTGACTCCTAGGTATGTGGGCTCTTTATCATCTGGCCTTTCCTCTGAGTGTAGCGAGCCAGCCAGACCCTCTGGTTACACTACACCCAGGTGCCTCATTCTCTCCAGGCCATAATAATCTTGTTTCTCCATTTCTTACTTCTCTGTTATCCTCTGCCTCTCTTGCTTAGTATCTTAGCAATTCCCCCCCCCCCTCCCTTTTTTCGTTGTATCTATTCCACCGCTTCTGTTAACATGCCAAATATTTGACATTTATCTTAAATAATATTATTAATGTTTAAATTGAACTGCCAGCTACTAACCTCTGGCTTCAGTCTCTCCAGAGCATTTCCAACATTATCTGGAAAGAAAAAAAGATAAATCAGATTAGAATTCAATGATTGTGAAACAATGAAATCAATATTACCACTAAAAAATAATAACAGCAGCACATCAAAAGGAGTGAAGCCTGACATGGCACTATGCAGGCGGTGACAGAAGAATAGTAAACCAACAACTGATGTGTCACTAAGAGATGTACTGATGAGGGGATACATACAGGGACTAAGACAAATCATATGATTGGATAAATTTACAACTGCAGAGAACGTTAGAGTCCTATGGATGAAGTCAGTACCTAGTAAACATATAGTAACTGTATACAAACAGTCAAGGTTTTGTGAGAATAAGTCAGAATGATCAAATGTTCTAACTGCAGTTTAGAGTCCCTCAAGGATGTGTCTCCCCTTCCCCACACACTTTTTGTTACATACATAGACCAATTCAGTAAAACACCATAAATTAAAAAGGACAATTAATGTAACAAACTCCTCTTTGAGGGCAACCAAATCTAGACAAACTAAACATAGCAGCAAAAGCATAAAACATGAAAATTCAGACAGGGAAAAATAGAAGTTATTACCATTGCAAGACCAGAACAACCAATCAAAATATGCCTAGAAAACCATTAACTCAAACGAGGAAAAGACTTTAAATATATAGGGAACATAATAATCATCTAACAGAATAACAGAAGCTGAAACAGAATATAGATGCAATAAAGCAAATCAAATCATGGGACAGATGTCATCAATACTGCAGAACCCAAGACAGCACTATTAAATAAAGTATTTACCAACACTGTGTGCCAGTGTCAAATCTCTACACCAAATCAGGAATGTAAAAAGAAGATAGAGGATCACAAATAACATTATGAAACAAGTGCAGATGGAGCTGGTGCTATATGTTGTCAACAGACAACATGTCAACCACAGACAGCCCTGTCACTTATACACAACAGAAGCACAGCTAAAGGTGTCCCACACAAGCAATGGATGAATAGATATCTGAGACCTTGGATACCAGCATCTATGCACCATACACCAATGCTGGCTCCGGATGCCTCTTTAAAACCTGATGTTGAAAGGAACAATACAGATAAGAAAAAAGAAGAAATAGGAGAGGATACATGCAATAATGGTTTCAATGGTTTGATGTGCAATGAGGATGATCTACTGACTAACTAGTCTAAAATATCTACAAGGTAAAATGGCACTATTGTGTAAAATAATGTAGTTACATGAGCTGTTAACAGTGAGTGGCAGACTGACTGGATTCGGGAAGCACATTAAACTGTGAAAGAATGCACTGATTCTCTGGTTTCTTTCTTAACATTACATTAGGAGCTCTGAGCTCAGTGCACAAACTCCCCAGAAAAACTAGCAAGCATCTCAGTGTGTGAATACCACAGTCCACATACATTAAATTAACAGGCATCACATTTCTTTTGCTTAATAATTTCTTATATTTACCTGCAATTTAATCTCTTAATGTAGGTTTAACAAAAGAAAATTGGGTTGCAGGAATCAGAGCATCTGTAGGTATGCTCATATCTATAAAAATTAATCAAGCTATCATGTAAACTGTAATCCTAACTCCATGGTTGCGTCCATTAGAAAATCAGAAAGGAATTATTGAAAATATTATTGACTTTAATAAGTAAAAATAACCTACCATCTGGCAAGTAGGCTGTAGCATCAAACCACTGGAACAGCATTCCAAGCAGACGTCCTAGTACTTCCTAGAAAAATCAATATACATTTCATTTCCATCATCCTTGTCCTTAACATCATAATCAGCATTATCACCATAACCAATAGCATCATCTCCCATTGTTTGTTCTAGAATACAAAAGAATATAAAAATTGGAAAAAAGGGGGGGGGGGGGGGGGGAGGTCTGGGGCCAGTAATTTTGTAAGGTTGTTAAATTGATCTCATTTACCAAGTATACATATTTTCTTTTAGAGTATTTTTTTTTAATTCATTTCAAGTATATTACTATATTTATTTTCCATTTAGAACCTTTTTTTTATTACTATTGTAAGTAAGTAAACTAAAGATCCCTTTTCCTTTAGGCGCATCGGGCACATGGGAAGAGCACCCCATATTTTTACAGACCAATCGGCACTAGGTGGATAATGTAGACAGCATTGAGCCGGTCGTCTTTACTTCCCCAGAACATACATCCTGGTACCCATTTGAGGCTGGGTCGACCTGCGACACCCCACACCATGATAAACATCCATGCAGCAGCAGTGGGTTTCATCACGTTACGTTGAAATTACGAGCTGGACTCATAACGCCTAATAGGCAAATAAAAACACTAAAATACTTAAAATAATATTAAATGTATGAACAAATACTTTTAAAGAAAATGTATTAAGTGATTACAGTTTTTTTTTTAGTCACCTTACCAAATCATTGAAAGGGGGTGGGGGATCTACACAATTTGGTGGGGGCTAAAAGAACTTAAGCTCCTAGGTGAAAGTGGAATGGAACCAGTGCTAAACTACATCAAGAGACAACAGATCAAATGGTTCAGACATGAGTCAGGACTACTCCCAGATAGTGCACCACAGACAGCCATGTCACTGACACACAGGTGGAAGCACAGCTAAACGTCACCCATGCAAGGAAAGGATAGATGAAATATCTGAGGCTGTGTATATCAGCTGCTATGTTGAACATACCAAGGTCCACACTAGACACTCTCTTCGAAACCTGACATTGTAAGACAAAACAGGCCTAGAGCAGTATTCCTCAACCTTTTTACACCTGCCACCCATCAAAACAGTTGTTTCATGGCCCATCTGACGGCTAACGAGGGACAGAAATGTAAAACATGTAGGTAACAGTTAATGTGTTAAATCTGATATCACATGATTACAAGTTTTAGCTGATGCGACATCTTTTGATTCTCTTCATCGATGTTTGAATCCTACAAAGCGCAGTCCTGAAAGAGAAAATCTACCTATTCTATGTGGTTGCAAGATTATAAGAACATTTTTGGTGGCCCACCTGGCCCAACGGTCTAGAGAACAGAAGAATGTTCACATTTAATGCTATGAACACTTTACCGTCATCCAGTGCATTGTCAGCGGGCGTAGGTATTCATGCCTCTCAACAGATCTTAACAGATGTAATAAAAAAAAAACAGGCGATGTAGAGAAGAGAATCCTGTTGCTGTTAATGCAAAGGTCAACGCTCTCATCAGTGAAAATTCAGAGGAAGCAGATGCACTAATCCACACAGACGGATCCGTTATACGCCAAAAAAAGAAGCGATTGGGCATTCACAGCACGCACAGAAGCCGGAACAGTCAAAGAAGCCAAGGACGCCCTCTCCATGACAACCAGTAGCATGACGATGGAGGTGATGGCAATGAGGCACGCGTTCGCCTGGCTCAAAACACAAAACTACACCCGCGTATGTATATTCAGTGATTCAATGAGTATAATTTGGAATGTTCAAGCAGGTTCGGAGCAAAAGCAATGGCCTGAATCATTACAGAAGTCCACTGAGCATGCAGTCACCTTTATTTTTGTTCCGGGATACGCAGGTGTCGATAGAAATGAAAGAGCTGATAGGTTGGCTAGATCTGCTATCACTACCGACGGTCAGCCTATGGATCATGCTGATATTATTAATGCCCTCAGAGAAATGGGAAGGATAGAGGACTTTGAGGGCACTGAATCCACATCACTCGCCAGAATGGCAAACTTGGGAATTCAGATCAGCATAGCAAAAAATGAGATGCACACCAGAAGACTTGTTAATCAACATAGAACTGGAACTATTAGCCATTGGACGTTGGGGTTCACACTGAGGGGAGGATCTGAGCACCTATAGACATGTCTGGAGTGCAATGATGATAACCCAACTAACTAACTAACTAGATCTCAGTCTTTGGTGCTTTGGATGAATTCCACTGATGATATTCCTCAATGCCACTGTCTTAAGCCATACACCATCGTTTCTCTTGGTCTGCCTCTGTCTCTTCTACCAGTGATCTTTCAAGATACTTTCCAGTGCTCCTTTTCTCGTCATATCACCAAAGAACTTTGTCTCCTTCTCATTATTGTATATTATGTTCTACTTTCATCAGCCATTTCCAGACAATCACTGATAGTTATTCTGGCAGTCCAAGGTATTTGCAACATTCTTCTCAAGAAGAACCACAGGTGTCTAAACTTTTCTTAATTTGTTTGCTGACATTTGAAGATTCACAGCCATACAACAGAACAAGCTGGACGTACTTACATAGGGAATATCTTCTGCTGGCTTGCACAATTCAACCAAGAGCCAGATTCCATATCTGCTCAGCAGCCTTCTTTCCCCAGCATCCTCCAGTTCAAATCCAACCTCATCTTCTCCTAGACGACGCAGATCCTCTCCCATCTCTACCATTCTCTTTGTGGCAATGGGTGAAGCCTCCTTCAGTAAACTAAAAGAGGTAACTTCAGTCAAAAAAGCTGCCAACAAATTTTACACATACAAAAACAAACTAACTTCCTCACCCTACTGTGCCATTATATTTCCTCATCATCATTAAGTGCCCTGCCGGCTGGCATGGTGATCATGTCTCTCTGCAATCTGCAACCGCGTGTATCAGTTCATGTGTTGACATTCTTCTGTGACATGACAAAAGGCTGTCAAGAATCTTTACATGTTGTCTTCCTCTGACTCTACTTTCACATACCTTTCCAGTGGTCACAACATGTTCCAGTTTTCTTTTTCTCATAACATGACCACACAAATGATAACTGTTTATCTTTGATGTTTTCTAAAATGTTATAAAATTCAGTTTTGGCCTGTCCTATTCTGTTTGTTTTTTCTGTAATACATCTTCCATTGAACGTTATTCATGTGTCTAGATTCTTATTTTCGTACATGTCCAAAAATAATGCCCTTTGCTTTTATTTTATATTTAGGCACTATTGTTTTCTTTTATATTACCACTACTTCTGTCCTCACACTATTCAAGCTGAGGCCCATTTTATCACTTTCTAAGACCACCAAATCTATTAATCCCTATAGTTTTGACTCATCACTGTCAATATAGCTTTATCAGCATAACGTAGGTTGTTTATGTTATAACCCCCAACCATAATTCATGGCATAGCCATGACAGATCTCATGATTTATTAACTGTATAATGTAAACAAAAAATTTGAAAGTATACATCGTTCTCATACTCTCTATAATATGTTATGCAAGACTAAAATCTATTCCTCCTATTCCATTCTTTCCTGGTGTGTTTCTATGGCAAAGTTATTATTTATGTGTGAGGAAGCTGTTCCCATATCCAAGCCTCCTCTTTTCTCCCCAGAGCTTGGAACTGACAATGGCAGAAACAAAAACAAACAAACCATACTCTTAAAACAAGAAAGACAAGAAAAACAATAACAGATTGCACAATATTTTCTCCGGTAAATTTTTGTATTTCTTTTTCTTCTTCCTCTTCTTCTTCTTCTTCTCCTCCTCCTCCTCCTCATCATCATTCTCCCTGCCAGTTGTTTTCAGATGAAAAGTCCACAGGCCTCTGTGTGACGCATGTCTTCAACTGATTTGTACAGCTTGGTTTCCATTGGAATACAAACCGACCAAATCTGGAATCTTTCTACTGCACGTACAGAACATTTCTGTAGCTCATATTCTATCAAAGTGTACTCTCCACAAACATAACAAATAAATCTAGTGAAAGAAAACATGATCTTCTTGTAGATAATGCCATTCTGGGTTGTTGGAGTAAGAAAATATTAACAGGCATGCAATTAAAATCTAAAAAAAAAAAGCAATTCTCGGAAGATCCTTGTGGAAAATGAAAGTAAACAAACAGTTTCATTTTGTGAAGGACTAGAACTATTTTTTTCCAGAGCCTGAAACAAACAAAACATACTGTAATAATATTGATCAAAATTAAAATATCTGTATATAAAAAATTAGAGCTGCTACAAATAAATAAAAGTGATATATGGATTTAGCAGGCCTCATTTATGCAAAATAAGTGTAAAATGTTTACCACCCACCTCCCCCACACCCAATTTTTTTTAACAGCAACCGGTGACTCAATGAACAATGATAAGTGTCCTTAGGGGACTATAATTATTTTGATGGCATACCTAACTACTGCATCCATCAGGTATCTCTGAACTTCCGGTGTGCAACTCCAAATGTCGATAATACTGGTGTGAAAAATGTGATTAGGTGAGCCGCTGTTACCATGGCGACGATCATGGCAAGTTCTGCAGTATCTGATTGGTCGATTGCTGTTATAGCTTGCACATTCAATACTGAAGCAGGTGCACACAGCAATGTTGTATGATGACTGGCAATTCTGATTGCACACAATAACAAGATATTAGCATATTAGGATTATACTGGAAGGAGACTTAGATAAAACAAAACTGTGGTTAAACAGTATAAAGAATCTAAGATATAATATACCAGTAAATAAAACAAGTAAAGAATCCTTTCTTATGCAGCACCAGACGCAAATTTTTATGAACTCATTGGATGATGTGGTGAGCATCACTTCTTTACTTTCCAGTAGGGTTGCCAGATTTGGTAAAATAAAGAATGGAGTGACGACTCGCTATTTGTTTAAAACAGCATTTGTTTACTACTTACATGCTATATAAATAAACATAATGAAAATACTAAACTTACTCCACAGGAACATATTTTAGGCACACACACACACACACTCGTATAACATGTAGGAATCTGGGTAACACAGAGTTTCTAGCAAATACACTTCCCATTTACTAATTTTAGGCTGGATCAATCTGGGAACCAAGGTCAATTCTGAAGGAAAAATCCGCCACAATGCAGATTCAAAGCAAAGACCTTTAGGCCAGTGTGTGTGTGTTCAACCACCTAACTATCATGGCTTAAATATACCACAGCATTGCTTAAAAAGTAAAATTCCTGAAGACATTTATCTTTCCTGTGGCAATTAATGGGAGTAAATCTTAAACATTTTACAAACAATAAAAAGATAGAAGAAAACTGAAAACTCTTGGAGATGATAATGTGAAACAGAAACAAATAATGATGAGTGGAGACAGAGGGAGAGTAGACCAAATACAGTATGTTTAAAACCAATATGAACAGATCTAGCAATGAAGACAGGTGAAATTTAAGAGAATAACTTAAGGCAGTTATGAAGTGGAATATTAGGAAGCTTTACAACTAACCCCAAAGGTTTAAATAATTGATGATGATTTAGCAAGTCAGTTAGTCAACAGATTATCCTCCATTGCACATCGAACCATTCAGTCCATAAGTGCTCGGATCCCCTCCTTAGTAAATCCCACAGCGTGTAGCGGCTCACGACCCCCCCCCACACACAGAGTAGCTTTACCTGCAAGCTGACCAGCTTGCTCATTTCCTTGCACACCTATAAAACTGATATGTGTCTACCCTGATTGCTTTAGAGACTCCAGCCTCTGTCTTCAGACCCAGATCTTCTCTGTCTTCCTTGATGATGATGTTAAAGACTTTAACTCTCTTAGAGAAATCTTCTATTTATGAAGTACTACTGAGATGACGCCAAGGCCATAATTTAGAATTTAAAAAAAAAAAAAAAAACCTCCATAACAGTTTTGTTTTCTTCTTTTCCTCTAGTTACCCCAGTAAAGTGTTGACAGGAGATGTACGGATCCTCTGTGTGCATTTTCTAATGTGTTGTGTAAGCTGGTCTTCTTTTCTCTTAGGTTGTTTTTGATACCATTGTTCTACAATCTGCATAATCATCCTCATGCTGTATGTTCATATACGAGTGGAAGTCAAAAATCATTTACACTTTTGACACTGCCCACATTGACTTATATACTTGCTTATTTATACTACTGTTGTGGTAATGCTATGAAGGTCGTCCTAATTCTGCCATTTTTCTTCTTTCTGCTGCAGATAGATCATGGCCGCTCCATTAGAAGTTTGCATGAAAGAGGAACAACGGACAGTGATATGATTTCTTTGGTTTGAGGGTGTCACAGGTTCAGAATTCATGTAGACTATGATCGCAATATTGGGGAAGTGCACTATCATGTAAAAGAGTGTTCTGTATGGATCAAGAAGTTTAAAAGTGGTTGAACAGGTGTAACACATGAAGAGGGAGCAGAACGGCCATCAACCTCCGCTACAGATGACAGCATTCAGCAAGTTCGAGAAGGTTCTGGAGAATAGGTGAATACCATTGATGAGGTAGCATCTGTGTTAAATACTAGTCACGGTTCTGCCCATCAAATCATCCAGGACGAGCTCGACTTTCATAAAGTTTGTACACAGTGGGTACCAAGAAAGCTTACTGCAGAACACAAGCTCACTTGTATAAACTGCGGTGCAAAAGTGGCTTCAAGATTAACAGAAAAACTTTTATTTGGAAGGAATACATAAGCTTGCTGACCACTGGGCAAAGTGCATTGATAGGGAGAGAGATTACATAGAAAAATTATGTGCTTAGTGAAACCCTAGTATCATGTAAGTTGATTGTAGAATGAAACATAGATAATTTGTGGCTATCCCTTATATTTCTTCAGCAATGCTTCCTTTGGAAGCTGTTACCAGGAAACTGCTGTCAGATGACTAAACCATTTCATCTGCTGCTTTCTTCTGAATACCACTGATCCATATTTTTGCATGGTCTCCCTCTTACCCCTTAACAAGCATGTTGCAAACAGAGGTTTGCAAAAACTTGATGAGTTAGGCTGAAAGGTATATACATCACCTCCTAGCTGTAAACCACAAAATAATGTTTAATGCAGAAAAAGAAGAAGAAGAAGCAGAACTTGTGAGCTATTATTTTCATTTCCTGGGAAGGCTAACCTGGGCAAAGGAAATGTAGTGCAGCTTGTTGCACTGATATTTCTTTGCAATACACAAATTCCGGGAACTTTCTCTAATTACCTAGTAATGACATATGTGTGATGACAACGAAACCTTATTCTCACAGACAGACGAGACATGAGGCATTGGCATTAGCAGGTCCACCATGTAGTCTCCATGGTCTTTTTTCAGGGCTTGGACGCAGTCACTGCAGATGTACAGCGGTGGTGGTGTGTCTCCAGAGTGGATTGCTAGGGCTGGATTTATGCACATCTGGGGAGAAGAGATACAGACTCAAATGTAATAATGTGCTATTATTTAATACTGCAACTTGCTACTGTTAAATAATACTGCTTTTTGCTTTAATTATGTCATACTGTTATTTGCTACAACTATGTAACACTGTCGGCTCTGTGGCTAAGTCGATGCTAACGCTTCGTAATGCCGGGATGCTGGGTTCGATCCCAGCTGCTGGCCATGCGCCTTGCGTTGGTTTCGACAGTGTTATCAAGAAAGCCGACCGTCCAGAAAGCAATGGCAAACTACTGGACGTAAATTTGCCTAGAAAAACCACACAACAGCTAGGGGCTGTTGGGGGTTGGTTATTCAACGTCCTGTAAAGGATACGCAACTAACCATGTAATACTGCTGTTTGCTACTTCTACATAATTCTTCTTCTTGCTTTAATTATGTAATACTGATATTTGCTATAACTATGAAATACCGCTATTTGCTACTATTATATAATACTTCTTTTTGCTCTAATTAAGTAATACTTTTATTTGCCATAACTATGTAATACTTCTATCTGCTACTATTATATAATAATGCTTTTTGCTTTCATTACACAATACCGTTATTTGCTACAAGTATGCAATACTTCTATCTGCTACTGTTATATAATACTGCTTTTTGTTTTAATTACACAATACCGTTATTTGTAACAACTATGCAATACTTCTATCTGCTACTGTTATATAATACTGCTTTTTGTTTTAATTACACAATACCGTTATTTGTAACAACTATGCAATACTTCTATCTGCTACTATTATATAATACTGCTTTTTGTTTTAATTACATAATACCGTTATTTGCTACAACTATGTAATACTTCTATCTGCTATTGTTATATAATACTGCTTTTTGTTTTAATTACACAATACCGTTATTTGTAACAACTATGCAATACTTCTATCTGCTACTATTATATAATACTGCTTTTTGTTTTAATTACATAATACCGTTATTTGCTACAACTATGTAATACTTCTATCTGCTACTATTATTTAATACTGCTTTTTGCTTTAATTGTGTAATATTGTAATTTGATTTAATTATCTAACTTGCTTCAGACAAGTACCATTCAACCCTTTATGTGGCAGACTAGGAAATCTACTGACCTGCATTACTTCAGTTTTATTCAAACACATTTTAAACTCTGCAAAATCAGCAAACAACTGCAACTAATACTATAAATAAATGATAAAATAAATTATAGTTATTGATTTGTAAACATCCTAGCATCACTTGAAAATAAGCCCTAAGGCCTCTTATGGAAATAAAAAGTATTATGTTGCTTTTATGGAATACTGCTATTCGCTACTATTGATTTCTGCTTTTTGTAGCATATTATTTCCTATTGTAATGTAATGCTCAAACTACTGCTACTATAACTTATCGCAAACAGCAGAAGGAAGCATCAACATTTGTCACCACATTTTGTTACCACAGGCTAACAAGGAATACTGACAATTTAAAGATCTGAACATCAAGGAAGACTGGCTAATAAACTGCATCTTGTCTCTGAAGCTGACTTCCGTTTTCAAAATGGCGGACAGCAGCTGTGTTTATTGTCGCTGGCTGTCAATTCTCTCGGATTATTCTGTTCTATAATCATGGACTGCTATTTTATGCGCATTTCTAACGCAGGATATTATGTGTTTTTCGTGGGAACAGTGTGTATTGTGGTTGTGCTGTGTCGGGGCGGGATAATGACCGATAGTTTTGGCAGCCTCGACCACGCTGCCTTCGCAATGTTTTGATCGCGGCGGTCCACTCGGGAAGAAAGAATCTCGTCAGCAGGGGACTGCAACTGTTTAGAGAGCAAACTCGATAAAAGCTGTCCCCAGAAACGGAATGTGTCAACCATATATTTGGTGGGGAGGAATCGACACATACGGTTAACTCAATGGCCATGCGCAAATATTTATCCAATAGTGGTACCACCACGTTGGGTAACAATCAAGTGAAAGCGGGACTCGCTCTCACATCTCAAATAGGTTTACCCTTAGCCACCAACAGCCCCGCGGCTTCCTGCATTGCTAGGGGAGGACAGGGTGCAAGACTGTCCTCTCCTGGCGGAGCTGCGGAGCGACATATGGCAACACCCAGTAGAACTGACAACTAAGCTTTGGGGAAACCTAAGAGACCTTGAAAAGACATCCCAGTTTATGACCCACAGTGGATTATGCGCATGACCAGAAATATTTTGGTCATATCAAGCGCCACAGCGGATTTGAAAAAATAATAGCAAAAGGCATGGTACGAGGAAGGAGGAGCAGGGGCCGACCAGTACAAAGATGGGGGCAGAATATAAGTGAGTCCTTGAGGCAGTGAGGCAGGAGAGCTGGTAAGAGACTGAGTTTCTTTCAGGCAGACCGTAATGAGAGAGACGTTCTGCTATATGATGACCATATTTTGACAACTGGAAAGTCTTATGTAATGAGAGATTCAGAAAGACACCGAGAGGCTGTTAATAGCCTTTGTTGTCATAGCACAGAAAGATATAAGAAGGTCAGGAAACAAATTATTATATGTTGAATGAGAAGCTTGATCACATACACAAGTCAGAAGGTATCTGATGATTGGAATCATAATCATCTGCCTGACTGACAGGTGCTAGAAAATAGAACAGTACCCAACAGTACAGCTCTGCATTTGTGCAAGCATAAAAATAAAGTCTAAAGGGAGAAGAAAAAATGACTTATATGGGACTGACCATATCAACCACTAAACATTATTGACCTATGGAAGATGTAGACTTACTATCTAATCGGGGGGCCATATTAGTACAGTAGCTAGCAAGCTGGTGTCCTGACCTTGGATCATATGGGTTTAAAACTCCATTTCTGGAAAAAGTGGCCACAACGGATTTTACACATCTTACTCAATTAAAGGGCTAACATTGAAAATGATTTCCATATAGGAAATTTAGTGATGAGTATAGAAAGCAAGAGACAAAATAAATGAATACAAACCATACCTTTACAGCTTGGCAGTTCCCTTCATTGATGCAGCCTTTCCTCTGGCATAAGATGGCTGGCCAGGCTAAATATTATAGAATACAGAAATTTTTTTAAACACGCAGCAGAAATTTTGTTTAATGTAGAGACCAATAGTTCTAAATGAATTTTGTATTTGTGACCCCTTTATGTTCTTGAATGTTACCGAAGACCCTATGAGCATTCCTCATGTTAATGGTTCACAAGAACATTAAATAGGTTTATTGTTGGGAGATGTATTGTAGAGACTACGATGCTTGCTTTCTATGTGGTTGTCTTCGTTTTCAAATCCTTATCAAAGAAGGAATATTTGACAAACTGTTGTATCTTAAGGGCAAAGTGGCCAAAATGTTTTCTGTGCATCCTGAAAATTGTGGTACTATTCAGCTTTTTCACCCCATCTCATCGGGTGTGAGCTCCTAGACGAAAGTGAGCAACTGTCTTTTCTGTGAACGACTGATCAAGGGTTAGGGTTAGGGTTACAGTTTGGGTTAGATGCAGGAATACTGACAGGTCAAGGAAATTCATGGAGAAGATCTAGTCACAAAGTAAGAACAGCGCTTCCAAACAGGGTAGAGAGGGGGCGACAAAGGAACAAAAGTAAAACACAAGGGAAATTACGACGCAATAAACAATAACAACGCTGAAAAGAACCAATATGTGAGACACCTAGAATATAGGAGTTTTAGGGTTAGTGTTAAATGAACAGTGACTAAGACTAACTGTAACCCTAACACTCCTAGACTATAGGACTGTCCCTGGTAATCCCCCACGAAATCTCGCACCCGGCAAGATGGGGTGAAGAAGCTTAACAGTACCTCAGATTATATTCACGAGCACAATTTTCCAGAGATTCCTAGCTGTCATCCCAAGAGATACAGAATGTGTGCCTAGTGCAATACTCTCAGCAGGTGGCCAACCATGTAGGGGTTTTACTTTTATTTCTGGCCTGAATCATTACATTGTAAAAGATTATAAGGTACTCCTACACCGCCAACAAGAAGATAAGAAATATAATATCATCAGGTGGCATAACTCCATCCATATATATATATACATACATACATAAGTACACAGCCATTCACAGACATATATAAACACATATATCTACCCTACAAATATTTGTGCAAGTGAGAGAGAGCAAAAGAGAGAGTGGGGGAGGGCAGGGAGTAGGTGAGAACTGAGTGCAACAATATTTTAAAATAATGCACCTTATAAGAAACATTAAAGGGAATTTTTTTTTTTTTAAAAATGACAATGACAGTGTATTTACCACTCAAGCAGTGTGAGCGGGCTGCAGGTTAGGATTTTATTATTGCGCCAACAATATTAGGAAATGTAACCTCTTTTGTGTGCTTTAACTGTTAAAAAGTTAGTTGTGTATCCTTTAACAGGACCTTGCAGAACCAACCCCATAAACTGTTTTTGGCTGTTGTGATTTTACTAGGCAATTTTACTTTCTGCAGTTCGCCATGCTTACTGAATGGTCAGCTCTCATACCACTGTTAAAAACAATGCAAGGCGATCTGCTACCAAATGGCCCACAGCTGGGATCAAACTGGCTACGACAGAATTACGAAGAGGCTACATGATAACCCAGTCTAAAATGTGTATCAGAAAATTGTCTGGGTAGGAAATATCTAAGCATAACAATGACAGCATCACCAATGCACATGATTAGTTAAAAAAAATTATAAATTTGGAGCCAGCATCCATTACCTAGTTTAACTCAAGACAATGATAAAGAGGCCTTTACTTTACTGTAAACCTTTTGTGAATGCTTAAAAAAAAAGGGGGAAGGGGGGTGAATCTGTGAGATTCTAAGACAAAAATCCTCTTAAAAAAGTATTTTACATAGGTTACTAACATATTGTTTGAAAATGTATTTATCAATGTTATCAATGTAACCCAAATTCAACGTTACAAGAACTGTGCATAAAGGATAGATGATTTAGATGCCACAGAAAAGACAAAAGACAAAATAAAAATCAGATTTTATGAGCCAGAAAAATAAGATAAAAACTAGCTCGTAAACAGTCTCATGTCTCAGAAACTAGGGGGTATACTTGGTGTTGCCTTAGGCTGCACCAATTTAACTGACATGGTTTAACAGGGTATCAAGGATTTAGTCCTGTTGGACTCCCATTCATATAAGGCTCTTTGAGTCACTGGGTGTCAAAACCTTCAGGTCGCAGTCCTAAGAGAGAGAGAAAACTTCAGCTAAATATACTTACTTCCAGCCAAAATGGCTCACAGCCGGCTGACTGCTGACACTGTGAAACATGTTTTGTTTCCAGTCAGATTTTGCTGAGGCAAATACTAATTTATGGACCATAGTCCAAAGGTTCCGTCACCCAGCTACTGAGCTGAGCACTTTGTGCAAGACTGGGAGCTGTGAATCACATGAAAACTCTTTTTCTTTTATATCCACCCTTTGCTGTTGACTGCACTAAATTGGCAGGTGGCAATTACGTTGAGAATGGTGTGTACCTTTGCCGGTGCAATGCTAGCTTTTGTCACTGACCATTTGACCAACAGCTGCAGTTATGGCATGGGACCATTAATGGTGGCACATCTGACAGCTGTCTTGTGTATTTTTACTTTGTGTGTGCAAGTTTTAAGATTTCGCTGGGACTGACAAGTTTTCAAATGGTACAGCGACGGACATTTTGTGTGACTTCCACTGGCACAGGAATGGATCAGTTGTGGGGCAACCTTAATCGAACTTAAATTATATAAGTGCAATCACAGGTGACTGGGCTAAGTAGGACTACCATGGTATGAAACAAATGGAACTCATAGAAAGAACTAGAAAAGGGAGGGAGGGACAGATAATGGTGTTGGGCAGGACACATACTAGAGAAACTGATAGTAACAAAGCTATACCGCTTTTCTGGAATTCACAGTGTTAAAACATATAAAGAAAAATGAAGGATCCTGTTTATTCTACTGCTGCATTAAGCATACAGGGTGAGAGCCATATTTTTAAAGATCAATTGCTACAGAATGAGTGACATGGTCATCATAATGCCAGCAACCTTCATCAGGATATTTCCCATTTTAGCCATAGGCCAATCTCTAGTGTGGATTCACACCCAAGTCCTTCAGCTCAGTATTTTCCAGCCACTGCACTACCACCTCCCCTTACACAGATATTTTTTTTTTAATGCAAAGAGAATAAAAGAAAGACATGAAGAATATGAAAAGACATAAAAGACAAAGACATGAGATATGAAAGAAGATAAAGTCTAAATATGAGATGGTTGACAAGGAACAGATCTGTGCAATGTGAATAACCAAACAAAAATAAACAAAATCAAAACCTTTTAAAAAAAAAAAAAAAAACATTGACAAGGATTATGTGTCGAAGCAGATACCCAATAGCTGAACTGAAGTGTGCACACTATTTTGACAATTAAATCCACTGCACAATTTAAATCAGCGATAAGCCAAACCAGTAAGTAAACAAAAGAAAAGAGCAAAAGCTGAACATTTATTTACCTGTGAATTCCATTTCTTATGAAAGATTGAGAATTGAATAAAACAAAAAGTCTTCACACATCTAATGTCACAAAACAACATACTTAAACTGTACACATTTGACAGTATATATACAAAACTATGTACACTAATTCCAAATATTTAAATTAACTAAAAAGCTCTTCATATTTAAACTATTAAAAAAATAATAAGCTAAACTTGATTATATTTTACTGTTTGTAAACCATTCAAAATATACACATAAATCTATACTTTAATACTCCACATTATGTATCTTTTTAAAATTATATATATTTTTTTAATTTAGCTGTGCAAGGCATCTTCTTAGTTGCATATCATCTTCGATAAATGGCAGCCCAGCCCTAGTGTTTACCGGCTACAATGTGCTTTTACTGGTTACTACAAGCCCACTGATTCCCGTGCTTTTCTCCTGTAAACCATCAGAAAGTGCCACCATTCGGATGAGGATCACTCGTGGAGAGGTTCCAGAAACCCCGTTCAACCCATAGGTTGGGTTATATTAGGGCCCCAGGGTGGGGTTTCAAAATAACAAAAAATTGTGTCCCACATGGAGACAGAGAATAGAAGTCAAGAACCCAGCTGTTTGCAGTTGGGAGGAAACAGATTTGTGTTGACATAGACAATGATATGAGTGCTATACCAATCAGATAGCAATGGGAAAGTGCTGAATTTAAAATTACATTACAGCCAATAAATTCTGGGGCTGATTTGTAATATGCTGTATAGGACATGCAGCTGACTTGACTCAAGGAGAGAACATGAGAACTTACACGTGTTGAAACATTGTTAGAATACAGTGGGTCGTCTTCTTTTTCTTCTTCTCGGTGTTCTCCGGCTTTAAATTTCAATAGAAAGTTCTAATTTGTCATTCCACTCCCTGAGTTTGGTCTTGGTCCAGGATGTGAGTTTTGTGTGCATCCATTTTACAGATCTGGCTCACTTGTATGCCGACAGCTGCTTCCTTGCCTCTCAGGCAGATGTACTCCGACTGAAGAAAACACCCCTAACTAGTCACTTCCTGTAACATACTTGTTAGGGGGCAGTGGGGCTATTCTATATTCCCAAAAATGGAGTCCAGAAACCCACATGGAAATCTGTGTATCAAGAAGAATAACAACTCTGACATTCTAGAAAATTTGAATACTAAAGGAAAATGGCTAATTATAAATAGCATTAGGGCTTGGAATCTGAAGTAAACATTTTGAAAGTAGGCATTGGTACCATGCAACATACAGATTTCATTCACAGACCATTTAGCAATCTTCTTCTTCTTCTTTGTTCACAGCTATAAGCTCTTGTGGAAAGGCCTAGACTTCTTTGTGCCAGGGCCTGAGTTTTGCATGTACATCCTTTTTACTGGCTTATTTGTGTGCAGCTGATTGTTCCTTGCCGCTCGGGCAGATGCACTCCAACTTCGAAGGATGTCTCCAATTAGTCTGACCCCTAAGACATGCTTGTTGGGGAGGCAGTGGGTCTATTCTTGTTTTCCCCTAAGGTGGTTCAGGAACCCACATAGGGAAATTAGCAATCATTAGTAAATAAAACCAGAGCATATAAATTTACATGGTACAGAACATTTTCAAATAAGATGTATCAAGAAGGATAACACACTGACATTCTACAAGATCTGAACCCTGAGAAAAACCAGCTCGTAAACAGAATTATAACTTTGAAAAGGATGTAAACACTCTGAGAACATGCATGTTTCCTATGGCACATATGAATGCTGAGTCATGAACCAAGCTGTACATGTAACAATACACAGTGGCAGAAATAAAATATAAATTTAAAAAGAATAGTAATGGTTAAAATATTTAAACAGTTTGAGAAAGTTAGTAACATCCAGAGACAATTCCAATACATTTAAATGAGAACTGTCAGACGTTATGTATCCCCAACCCTACGATATGGCATAGAAACCTAATCAAGGAACAAGCAGTCCTGAGGTCCTGGAGTAACCATGTTACTGTTATATATGGTCACTACTAATAAATGGCATTATTAGGGCTAATTGACTGCAATATGTGGGCCACATATAGAGAATAGCAGATAACACTCAAGAGAGAGAGAGAGAGAGAGAGAGAGAGAGAGAGAGAGAGAGGAGAGAGAGAGAGAGAGAGAGAGAGAGAGAGAGAGAGAAAGAAAGACAGACAGACATAACAGACAGACAGACAGTGGGAGTTGACAGACAGACAGATCAAGACAGACAGACAGACAGACAGACAGACAGAACAGGACAGACAGACATTAACAGACTGATGCAGAGAGATCACTGGGAGAGAGAAAGAGAGAGAGAGAGAGAGAAAGAAAGACAGAAAGAGAATAATTATATACACAACAGAGGCGAGTGGGAGTTGACAATAAGGTTGATCATAAAGACAGTGGAAAGATAACAAACACCAGCAAACCAACTGCAAAGAAAAGGATAGTAAAAGAGATAAATTAACATGGCTGATGCAGCAAAGAGCATCACTGGCTCAAAATGCAAAGAAAAAAAAGTAGAAGAAGATTACACACAGTTTTATACTTTTCAACACATAGAAGAATAGGTAGTACTTCATAGAATCAAACCAACAAGTATATACAGGCTTTGGAAAGACCGGAAATGAAAAGATAGTTGCTGAAATAAATTTTTTTTTAAAGGAGACTAGTGAAATATTTTGTTCACATTAGGACTTCTTCTTGTTTTCATAGTCCATGTCTCATGACGCTGGTAGTCATGTAGATCCACAACCTTCTGCCTCGTGCACTTCATAAAACTTTGATACAGATGATCTTCCATGCCATGATGTCAAACTGTCCAACATCTTCTCTCTTGATCTTCTTCTTCATTTTTAAGACATTAAAACTTAATACTCCTATAAAAGCAGTGCTGGAGGAAAAACTTTGAGGCAGGCGTACAAGAGATATCAACATAAGGGGGCGGAAAGAAGGGAATACATGAAGAGATGAACAGAAAATAGGACCACACTTATAATCCAGCAACCAAAGACAGACAACAGAGCCACAACCTGGTTAAAAAAAAAAAGCTTAATGACAAAAAGACATCATGATTCCACAATTATAACTCACACAATGGATAACACAACTAGGCAAACCTAGCCATTAAACATGATACAAAGAGATCAGGATTCCACAATTATAACTCACACAATGGATAACACAACTAGGCAAACCTAGCCATTAAACATAGTACAAAGAGATCAGGCCCCCACAATTATAACTCACACAATGGATAACACAACTAGGGAAACCTAGCCATTAAACATGATACAAAGAGATCAGGCCCCCACAATTATAACTCACACAATGGATAACACAACTAGGAAAACCTAGCCATTAAACATAGTACAAAGAGATCAGGCCCCCACAATTATAACTCACACAATGGATAACACAACTAGGGAAAAACCATTAGAGATCAGGACCCCCATTATAAAACATGATACAAAGAGATCAGAGATCAGGACCCCACAATTATAACTTACACAATGGATAACACAACTAGGCAAACCTAGCCATTAAACATAGTACAAAGAGATCAGGACCCCACAATTATAACTCACACAATGGATAACACAACTAGGCAAACCTAGCCAATTAAACATGATACAAAGAGATCAGGCCCCCACAATTATAACTCACATAATGGATAACACAGCAACTGATTGACAGATTCAAAAAATGTAAATATTAAAACCATGCTATACCAGATGACTGCTTCCGACAGCTTCTATGATGTACACACAGTTACACTGCCTTAATCTGGTAACAAGAACTCACCACTGTATTTGTAGTGTATCCCCCTTCTGTCAGTGAGAGCAGGGTTCAACTGTGGCCAATAGTGGAACAGCAAGTGCACGGCTGGAGCTTTGGCTCCTGGGGGGCCATAGGCTATGATGCTCAAAATATCCTTGAATGAGGAAAGGATCAAAATGAATTTACAACTACCAAATTAACTAATTAGACACATATATTTATATATAAATTAGCACAAGACAAATTAGAATTTGGGATTTAAACGAAGAGTTAGCACACACAAAAGAATTAAATTATATATATATATATAAAAATTTATTTGTCTACTTTTTCAGATTTTGATTCTTTTCCTATTCCAAAGTTCATATTTAATTTTGCAACAGTTCTCCCTGCTCCTCTTTCAATTTTTTTTTTAAACTTTGGTGCATTCCCATTCTATTTCTTCCAAATGTGACTTACAAATTAATCATTGTGATTCAGGATTTTTGTTGATTTTTGACTTGACTAAAACTTTAGATGTCGGCTCAATGGCTAAGTCGATGCGAACGCTTCGTAATGCCGGGGATGCCAGATTCAATCCCAGCTGTGGGCCATGCGCCTTGCGTTGGTTTCGACAGTGGTATCAAGAAAGCCGACCGTCCAGAAAGCAATGGCAAACTACTGGACGTAAGTTGCCTAGACAAACCACACAACAGCCAGGGGCTGTTTGGGTTGGTTCTGCAACGTCCTGTAAAGGATACGCAACTAACCTAAAAAAAACTTTAGATGTTCAGCTATATCTTTTTTTTTCAAACTTTACATTTGGGTCCCAAATTCTAAGCTGTCTTGTGTTAATTTATTAACAATGGCAGGGGAAAAAGGTGTAGAAAATACAAACCTTGTGAAGAATATAAGAGTACACTTTGCAGAAAATACAACAACACACCAGACAAGGAATACAACACTATACCAGACAAAGAATACAACACAGGCTAAGAATACAACACTATACCAGTCAAAGAATACAATACAGGCTAAGAATACAACACCATGCCAGGCAAAGAATACAACACTATATCAGTCAAAGAATACAACACTATATAAGGCTAAAAATACATCACTATACCATGCTAAGAATACAACACTATATCAGTCAAAGAATACAACACTATATAAGGCTAAAAATACATCACTATACCATGCTAAGAATACAACACTATATCAGCCAAAGAATACAACACTATACCAGGCTGAGAATACAACACTATATCAGGCTAAGAATACAATAATACAAGGCTTAAGAATACAACACTATATCAGGCTAAGAATACAACACTATATCAGGCAAAGAATACAACACTATGACAGGCAAAGAATACAACACAAGCTAAGAATACAACACTATATCAGCCAAAGAATACAACACTATATCAGGCTAAGAAGCAACACTATACCAGGCAAAGAATACAACACTATATCAGGCAAAGAATTCAACACTACATCAGGCAAACAATACAATGCTATACAAGGCTAAGAATACAACACTGTACAAAACTATATCAATTAAAGAAGATAACGCTTTACAAGGCTAAGAATACAACACTATATGAGGCAAAGAATGCAACACTATACCAGGCTAAGAATGCAATACTACAAATTTTTAATGAAAATATTACCTTGATGATGTTCTTCTTCATACTCATAAAACACTCCAGAATTTGGGAATGAAAAGCTGGAAAGAAATTATTGTAAAAAAGAAAATTATAATTAAAAAAAAAAAAATATGGAACAAAACAATAAAGGTATCTAACATATTTTGGGTCAAAATACTGATTCTCTTTTGGTTGAGTACAGCAACTGATTTGCATTGGTTAGGTTTTAAACATACTGAAGATTAATCTCACAGTTTATTACTTCATTCACAATTGCTTAATTATTTTGGAATGATATTATGAAGCAAAGAGTTCACATCATTTACAAATCTTTTTCGCTTGTGACTCCATTTTGAGAAGATAAAATTGTTCTCAACCTCCTTCACTTTGTTAACAACATCAGTGAGCATTCAGAAGCTGTTTAAAGGTAAGAGAAAAAAAAAAAACTATGGATCTAGAGGAGACAATCTCAATTTTAAAAAAAACAAGCCTATTGTGGACCCACATGCCAATGGGCTGAATGGTTGCGGGTTATGAAGTCACAGGTGTGGAGCATCTGATTGGCTGGAGGGCCAATAGTTAGCTATGTCCAGATGCACCAGGAAACCCACTCCTTTCTTCGATGTTGTTCCTCCTGAGTATGTTAATAAACAGTCTCTGTGTACTTTCTTGCTTCCAATTCCCTTGCATCTTATATAAGCTAGCCCCATTACTTGCTATTTCTTCTTTCCCTTATTTCAATAATCTCTTTTGTTTTATTTCCCAAGAGCATCTTGATAAATGTTAACTGGATTAGGCCCTGTTAACACTGCAGAAGGAGGACTTAAGTAACAGGTAATTCCGGATTTGAAAGGTATGATAACCTATATCAGTCTACAAGGTACTTGAAGATGACGGACTGTAGCATCATGGTCGAAAGTAACCTTGTTTTCCATTGCCGTCAAAAAAAACAAAACCCAAAGCAGTGTCACATATTTTCCCTGTTAATGAAATGAGAATTATCATTTTGTTTTCCACATACAGCTGGGCTATTTAACTGGTGGCCCACCGGCCAAATCTGGCCAACAGTGGCCTAGCAAGCTGGCCCATGGATCACTGCTAGTTATACTGTATTGATCTTTCTATGGTTGGGTTCAGGCTTTTGGCCAGTGACAATCCCCAGCTTCAAGGTTGTGATGCTGAGTTAACTTAGCTGGATAGCCCTGATGTACAGCATCTGCATTCCAGGTGGGAACGAATTAAAGTTATTTACATTCATATGAATGGGGACAAATAGTTTCAGGATACAAGTGATTCACCACATCACCTCAGTCATGGAATGGATTCCACTCTATTAGGTAAATAGTAAAATTTCTTTTCATACCATTGGCACATTGGGCATAAGGTGCTAGATACATACTTTTTCAGACATGGATGGATGATGTGTCTGCTTCACAATGGCCACCTCTACTTTCAAGGACATTTTCTGGTACCCATTTTAGTCTGGAGAATGGAATGGAGGACTTGGCTACAAGCCTTTGTGACACATAAATGCATGACAGGACGATGATGATGATTTCCGACTTGCTCGACCTGAGTTAAACACTATTTGAGAAAACAAAAATTAAAGCAAAGAGACAAGATCAATTAAACTGAATTATTTCATTACATTACCTCCATTTTCTGTATGCTGAAATACCATGGTTATAATGGCAGCTGCTGATTCACTAGCATATGTTGGGTCTTCACCTGATTCTGAATCTGTCAACATATCACATATCATGATGTAGAAATTGTATAGATAAACAGAATATTTCTGCGGCAGTAATTCTGGGAATCAAAGGCACCGGAACCTGGACGCTCAGGCCTATTGTCTGTAAGGGTATTAAGCCGCCCTCCCCTTCCACCACCTAACCATGTATAGAAGTTCTTTTTTTTTTTTTTTCAGGATTTGTTTATACATTTGAGATTTTCTCAACATGTTACACTACCTGAGTGTCAACACAAATACAGCTTTCTTGAAACACTTCTGTATCATTTCTGCCTGAACTATGTTCCAAGCAGAATTGGTACAGACAGCCTCTATAGCATTAAGTGATGCAGAGGATGAAGTTGCTTCCACAGGCGGACCACAGATCTGTGTTTTAGTAATGACCCACTGCAAGAGCTGGACCCAACAGTGTATTTTAAATATTTTGATGAAGCCTTGGTCAAAAGGTTCAGTTTTTGAGGTCATTTTTTTGTGGCAGAAATTTCAGTGTCCCTCTGATGAGACGATCCACTTGTGGGTTGCCAGAACAGTTGTCTACCGTCAGTAGAATATACTCTTTCTTTAACTTAATTTCTCTGTCAATGTCATTTACCCACTCCTCAAATAGAGCGCCAATCATCCATGTGGATGTGCTTGATCTCCAAGTAACGGGAAGGTCTTCGAAATTCAGGTTCTTGAAAGCACATGGCTTTGTCAATTTATCAGTCAGCAATGGCTTTAATGTTAAGGTACTTCTACTAATTGTTAATATGGGAGGTTAGTTTTAATGTCTCCTATCTCGACCTCAAAGGCAGTATAGATGTGCTTCACCATGTTATACTCCCATGTCACGCAATCGTGTTAGTGTCAGATTCGTCATTATCCTAGCTGTCTGTGAGGGGGGAGGGGGTGGTTGACTTACTGCCCATTATCATGCATATAGTCAAAGGCAACTAATTCAGGGTTTGATGAAATTCAATGTGCTGGGCCAAAAGATGCAGAGATCATAAACATAGATTAGTACAATTGCCATGACATGTTACTAAATATGAGACTAGACTGAAGTTTTGTGAACAAATATTCTCTCCGAAAATTAGATTGCAATGTGCATTACTAGCAAGTATGTAAAGGACCAAAGATACCACAGACAAACTGGGAATGTGGTGCCAGATCCATAATTTTATAGATGTATGATCAATGGTGATGCGGTCAACATGCAGCAGGTTACCTTTACTTTCCAGAACATTTCCTGGTATCTGTTTCAAACAGGATTAACCCGGAAGTCCTGGATCAATCCCTGAGGCCCATTCAACCCAATTCCTTTAGGCCAGCATTACTAGTACACAGAGCTTTTCCCCCTAGAATAAAAAGTGTCAGTACTCACCAGAAAGTGTCTATTACTCCAAGTGCTACAAACCACCAGAAAAAAAAATCTGCTTGAATTACTGATCACAAACAGGACTGAAACAGCGAACAATCGATCAATAAAATCCACATCTTCCAAGAAAAAAAAAAGTCTTACTCAAAGTCATTGGCAGCAAGCTTGTACAAAGGAGATCAATGGTGTCTTTGTGAAGAGTTGGTGGAAAGATGGCCAGAGTTGAGGCTACCGTGTAGGGCAGTGTATCCAGTAAGTCATGTTCAAGGAATGGGACCAGCCAACCCAAAACATTCAAGATTGCTTCCCCTAAAGCTGTCGTGACAAAGAGGTAACATTGCAGATTATCAGTAATAGATACCATGAATAAAAGACAGCAATGTGTAATAACAAACTGCACAATACATGTTTTCTTACTATCTTCTTATACATGATTTATGTCTGTACAACAAATTGGATTGCTTAACTCCATCTCAACTTCTGATTTGTCAGTTGATGATATGATGCTTCCTGAGTACATGAAGTTTTGCAAATGTTTCAAGCTTATTGTGTAAGCTGCATCTTTACTGATTTAAAAGAAAAGTTATGACTTTATTTTGTTGATAGCAATTTTCATGTCATGTTTTTGCACATTTAGTTTCACCTATATCTATCTGATCTTGCAGTTCTTTCTGAAGTATAACAAGGGCTTTGATAGTCCACCAGCAAGACTTATTTAATGTAGTTTAATGTTTATCCATCCTTATAATTCTCTTCCTCTTTCTCAAAACATTTTTCACCAAAAAATATTGTTCATTACTTACCCAGTTGCCCAACTGGCATTACCGGCATCAGATCAAGTATGCTCAGGACAGCCTGGTATAGGCCAGAGTAGTTTAAGGTGGGAAATATTGACTGGCGAACACTGTCTCTCTGCCGAGCACCATAGCTTTCTATTGGAATATTTGGCACATCTTTCAAAACACTGAGGAGAAAAACATTGTTATTAATTGCTTGATTCTGGCCACATAGTTGATAAGGATTGTGCCTTCACAATTATTTACCACACATTAAACAGACATGTTGAAAATGACTCGAGTCGTATCAATAAAACTGATCTCTCCTGTGTTATGTAAGCAAAAAGAGCATATGCTATATTTGAAGTCATCATGGTAAGCACATGGCTAATCTTGAATTTATGGTAGGTACAGCTTAACTTGACAATGCGATTTATGTTTTTCAGCTAAAGAATTAATTTTCATGCTTCATTTTATGTTAATTTAACTTTGTAATAATGCACCTGACAAGGTACAGTGAAATGTGTCAGGCAATAAATTGTGCACTGTGTTGTTTGCGTTCACATTATTTGAACTGTTAAGTGCTATAAAAACATGTTCCTAAGTATGAATCTGAAATATGGACAGTAAGCAGACAAGCTGAGAAACATCTAGTGGCAGTGGAGATGTGGTTTCTAGGAAAATGCAATGAATACTATTCATTCATTTATTGTCCTTCTGTGGCGCTCACAATATATTTATCCATTCCAATCTATCCTGTACAATCACTCTGATATCATGGATGGAATCCAGTCAGCATCTTTGGCTCCTCTCATCAATGTCTGCTTTAGGGTTCCTCTTGGACACCCTCATTTCCTCCATCCTTCAATTTTCCCATTTCAGTGCTTGTTTGGTGATTCTCTGTTCGTCTCTTCTCAGAATGCGCCCATATCATAGATGGACAGAAAAACAAGACAGGCAGTCCTCCAAGAAAGAGATAAAAACCCTAAACTTATTAGAAATCATGGCAGCTGTGATAATGTAGTGGCTAGACACCCACCTACATGTGCAAAAGTCTGGGGTTCAAATCCATATCCAGTCAGATGCTTTTAAACTTGACACAGACTCTGAAGTCAACCAGCCTAAACTGGGTACCATGTACTTGTCCTTGTAAGTAGAGGTGGCTAGCGTAATGCTGACAGCATCCCTCACTGAGGGACAATTTTTCTTTAAAATATGAATGCAGCATCCTATGCCTGATGTGCCACTGGTGTAAAATGGCTTCTTCATCTTACTTATTAGAAAATTTGATGTAAGTTAACAGTCAAGCTTTTTTTATTTTTTTTATTTTGACATATGGGCAGAAATAAACTTGGAAACTTAGTCTCTTCTTCTTTCTGTTGTCCTACTGCTTAGGCGGTAACACATCACACAGAGGAGTTTGATGTAGGTTTCTGTCTTTTACTAGTTGTGTAGCTTGTGTTAATATCATTTTACGTTTCTGTAGTGTCTCTTTTACTCTCTCTCTCTCAACACCCCTCTCCCCCAACATCCCTTTCTTGGTCAGCTTTTTTTTCACTTGTAGCCTGCTGTTCTCATGTAGTATGCTCTAGCCGTTGGCTATTTGGTTCCACTCTGACCGGATGACCAAATCTTTTGATTCTTTGATGTTCTATGAAATCATCAATGTTCTTAGGTCTTCGCTGGTGACTTGTCTCTTCTTGTCTTTCCCGCCGCATTTCTTTTACACCTCATCTCACATGCTGTGATTCAGCATTTATGTTTTTCTAGGAATGTCCATTTTTGACTTTGATAACACAAACTTAGACAGTTTAAAAAAAAAAAAAAATTTTTCATGCAAAATTATAACTTATGAAAACTTTGTTATAAATGGTTAAACTTAATGGGGGAAAAAGCAATGGGGTGTCAAAGAGATAAATATTTAGAACGCTTGGCCACAGAGCATGGGCAGAACAAGAACAAGATCAGATATGTTATTCTGATTGTTGTAGGAGATCAATAACCATGACTGCCTCGGCTTACTGGCATGGCACATGATCATGATGGTACACCAGAACCTGGGTGCCACCAGTCTTTTAAATACATTACATATGATTATTTTTCTTTGTAATTCAGCAAATTATACTATTATGTACTTAAACAAGGCTTAGGCTCTTCAAACCCTGCCTCCCCAAGAATATTTTAAGAAGGCTGATTTTATCATCATCATCATCAACTTCCATTTTTGCCATTAAACATCAGTGATAGGACATTTTGCAATTCAGCACCTGATGAGCAGCACCTGATGAGCAGCACTGGCTGCGTCATTCCATGAGGAAGTAAAATATCTTCGCTGTCATCAGCCTTTCTCACCGGCATAGCTTTTGTTCCCACATCAGATCTTTTCAAGGTAGCACATGTGCTGGTAGCTGTGGCTACAATCTATCAAGATGACCATAATATCTGATCTTCTGCTTCTCAAGAAATTTGGCGCAATGTGTTTTTCCCATAAATCTGATGGCATCATCAGTTCTCGTTATGCCTAGTGGCACATGAGGCTTCAGAGAGGACTTTCCATGCTTTCCTGTCCTGTGCAATCTTCCATCTTCCATCTGATGGCAGCTGGAGTTTACAAAATTACTACCAGCAGTCACAGGTGAAAGAAACAATCTTAAAACATCCTAACCACATTAACAGAAGCAATGAAACAGCAAACATGACAGTGAATGAAACGTTATTTACCTGAGAAGAGTTTGAGAGAAATATTTGAGTGTGTTGGCAATGTCCACTCCTGTAGGCAGTGGAGCGATGTTGTTGGTTATTTTATAGTGGTACTCCTTTAAGTTCCTGATTTTTGATGTAACTGTATAAAGAAATTAACAAGCAGATATTACTGCACATAGAAGAATTACCAAGTAAATGTCATTAATGCAAATAAATATACAGATAATTCACAAGAAAAATGTGAATCTTCTTCTTTTTCCTTCCTGTAGCCTTTTAGCACCAGTGCTGTATTAGGAATATGATGCAAGGCACATATTTTTATAGACCTATTGGCAATCGGAGGATGATGATGTCAACTTTAATTTGCAGGACACTACCTAGCAACCATTTTAGGCTAGATCTACCTGGGAACCAAGAACTTTCTGTCTGTCTTTTGTCCTATGCTTATGCCACAAGACATTACAGAGAGGAGTTAGATGTAAACATCACAGAGCGGGGTTAGATGTAGACTCTTATCTTTTGCTAGTTGGGTAGCTCGTGTTAATGTCATATTGTACTTCTGTAATGTGTCTCTTTTACTCCGTCCACCCATCTCTTTCTTGGTCGGCTGCTTGACCAAGGTCAATAAACACAAATTTTTAAAACACACATAAAAAAAGACTCTGATGCGATGCAGATTTGAACATCAGACCTTTGAACCAGCAGATAAGCATCCAGTCTCTATGCTACAGACGTTCCCAAAATGTTAATAATGTATATAAGTTTCCGAAGAACGTACAAAAATGTACTGACAATTATCAAGCAATTGTTATTTATGTATCTAGCTAGAAATACAAACAATGCAAAAAATATAAATACAAAGAAAACTATAATCCTTTGACAAGTATTAACATAACAGTGTGTGAACTGTCAGGCCTTCATATATATATAGGTCATTAAATAATGAAGCTGGATGACCAAATTCATGACCCTCTTTCCTTATGTGGATAATCTCCAGTACCCAAGTTGCCTGTCCTAGCACAGTGGCTAGTCCATATTTTGCTGGCCCGGTACTCATGTATATAAACCTCTTGTTTTCTTTGCTTGTTTCTTTTCTTTGTTGTTATTGTGGCCTTCTTCTGTGCTTCTCCTTAAAAGGGCAGTTGTTACATTGTGTTGTGGTTTACAGCTAGACTGTGTGATCTTCATTAATGGCTAAAAACATCTAATTTCAACAAACTCCTAAGTGGTTGCCTTATACAACATGTTTGTTAGGAGACAGTGGGTCCATTTCATGTTTCCGCATACAGGGAAAATCTCTTTTAAGGCAAGGGATTTTTTTTTTTTACAAACCCAAACAGACATAGTTGAAAATTACTACTACACCAGGTTCTGAGAAATTAAAATGGCCATTATGATGTTTCCAAAATCCCTGTTTACAAGTATAAGGCTGGCATTATATACAAAGACATTCAGCAAACACACAAGACTTAAGATCTTCAATTCTTGTGCGATTCCAGTGCTAACTTATGGATGCCAGAGTGGGAAAGCAATGACAACTCTAGATAAAAAATTAGACAATTCTGAGAACAGTGTCTTAGACCAATACTAAATCAACACTGTATAGATTTCAGATCCAATAAGTAAATAAGACAAGAAACCAAGCAAGAAATATATCAAATTTTACAAGAAAGTGCAGCTGGAACTATAATAGCTATGCACTCAGAATGGTTATGGCCAGATTCCCACATCAATCTCTCATATGGACACTGGATGGGAAAAGAAAATGGGTAAGACCAAGAGAGACCTGCATAGAACCATCATCAGGGAAGGCTCAACCATGGGCCTTATGATAATCCAAGACCTAAAACAGGCAGCAACGAACTGCCAGACATGGAGAGCTATGACCTCCGCCTTAGGCTCATAAGGAAAGACTAACTAATTATATTCTCAGTATATAACCTTAGTTTCAAACATAATTAATGTTCACCCTTGGCTCCCTGCTGTATAAATAACAGCATAACTTTCACTTGCTAAACAAAAACAGGTTACTTGCTCTTGCTAACTGGGCAGTATTACAATTTTGCCAGATCACAGATAAATGGTGTTTGGATTACATGTTTTGCTTCACAGATGGCATTTTTGTTTTGGCTAAAAAAAACAAATCTCTTTATCTACTGCGCATATTCATATCTGTACATTTTAGAAGTACAAACTAGCTTAATAATGTATTATATAACAATTACTATCGTTCATTTTCAAAGGTGAAAAGGTCTGGACAAATTACTTTTAAAATGTTTGTTATAATCACTATAAAGTAAACTATTTATAAAACACAAAATCGTAAAAATAAATTACTCACATGTTGCAGCTCTTGTAGCCATGACTGAGAGTCAGCAAGCAAATTCCTGATCATTCAAACATGCATCTTCTAGAAAAGAAAAGGACTTAAATAGTTTGGTGAAATCATAATCCATGCCATGTGGTGGTGGTAGTTATGTCTGTCCACAACCTTCTGTCTATCGCAGTTTTAATGATCTCTAACACAGTTATCCCTCCATGCCATGATACCCCATTGTCCACGATCTTCTCACTCGGTCTCTCTGCTTCTCTTCCTCTCTAACTTTCTCATCATCATTACTTACTCAAGGCTTTTCCCTTTTCATAAAGAATATGCTGCGCTCCCCTGAGAGATAAAATTTATTGTTTCCAGATCTAAATTTTTGTTTCAAGTGTGCACATATTTAGGCCTATGTAGGGAAAAACACTGACTAAACACAAACATAATTAGACAGTGAACAACTATCAAATATCTATTCATTTCAGTGTAATCTGATGCAATGTGTTAAATTCAGGACCATATTAAGGATTAAGACAACACTGTGCAGTTGTATATGTCTTCTTTTCCCTCGGTACAATACCATAAACTTTGGCACATAATGAGACATGGGATTTCCAAAACAAGTGGTGCACTTAATGAAGTCTCTTTATCATGAACAACAAGTAGCAGTCAAAGTAGCTGGTGAAACATCAGAATGGTCTGAAGTACAGAAAGGAGTGAGACAAAGCTGCATTCTTTCTTCGTCAATTTTTAACGTATATGCTGAGAATGTTATGAGAAATGCAATTACCGATGAGACATGTGAGAGCTTTCCACTAAAAACTAGAGGAAATCCCAGCCAGAACTCAAATATACAGATGACACAGTTTTCCTTTCCAATAATGTACATGGTTTATAAAAAATAATTCAATAATTCTGGTCATCAAAAATCACAGCAAAGAAGTGAATCTTTTTCTGAATCTGAAAAAACAAATCATGTTCTCAGTAAATGCAGCACACCAATCACATGTCACAGTAGAAAATGAAGAAATAGAAAATGTCGCAGATTTTGAATACTTGGATTCTTTAGTGAACAACAGTGGAGACTGCTTGAAAGAAATCAGAAGAAGACCTGCATTAGCAATGCAGAGATTAAACAGCATGAAGAGCCTATGACAAAGCGCCTGTAAATTAGTTAAAGAAAAAAACATGAGATCATTCATTTTTCCTGTGGCAACTTACGGTTGTGAGTACTGGACTCTCACTCATTTACTGAAGAAAAGTATTGGAGCTTTTGAATTAAAATGTTACATAAAGATTCTTAGAATACTATGGATTAGGAAGAGAAAAAAAAAAAAACATTAACATTTTACACAAGTTAAACATCAAGAAAAACATGCTCATAAACAACATCCTGTCCCAAAAGCTGAAGTATTTTGGCCCCATCAAACATCATGGTGTCAAACTTGGTAAATGTAAAAGTATTTATGAAAATAGTAGTAGTTTTTAAGTAAATAATATAATATGCTGTTAAACTTGAAAGGTTATAATTAGGATATCCTTTATAATTTCCATAGTATTTAATGTACACATATTATGCTTAAGACAATACATAGATTATATAATAATTATTACCATAAGAGCTGAACAGAATATTATTTATTTGATTTATGTGAAAAAAGTAAAAAAGTATTAATGTAGCCTATACATAGCGGATCTGTGAGATAGATCAAACCATATGGGATAAAACTGTGTGCAATGAATTCAATTCTCTCCGCCTTAATTTTTATTTTATGTTAATGTATTATAACATATCTGGTAAGATAATATATTAATAATAATCAAGGGTTATATATAAATAAATCCAGCAACATAACTATATATAATATTAATACAGTCAGTAGCGGTGCTTGATACGATTGATGATTGGATGATTGTATCGATGCAATAAAGAAAATCTCATTTTTATGCCAACATAATGTAGAATTGCATGTTTTTTTAGATGCATGTTTTGCACAACTTCGATAATCATCAATGTGCAAGATTATATAGAAGAACGCTCCTCTACAAACAGACCTAGGCTGAACATAGAAATAACGACCGACTGTCTGCCGTTAAATAGTATACACATTATAAAATCTAAACAAAAAAATCACAGTATAATGTTTTTATGCCCTACAATCTGCATAAATGCCTCTACGTAAATTATAAATATGTATTGAGAAACAGAAAAGATTATACATAACGCTATTTTTTTTTCTTTATATTAAAAAGGAATCTTACAATAATTTTGTTTAGAGTTAGATTCTCCGCTAGAT